AAAGCATGACAAATCTTTCACCACTTTTAAGCTGTGATGAGTGTGAATAGGTGCGATTTCCTCAGATTGGGAAAAAAAAAAGAAGAAGCCTTTTTCACCAGGCGGAGTACTTTTCGCTGTTTTGGAAATTACAATATGTGTTCCAAGAAGCGTCCTGGCAATCCTCTTTGGAAATGACAGTTCAGAGAGAGATGTCTCTTTAGATGTAAAATGCATTCAGGCGAATTCAGGCCCAGTGCTAACCGACTGAAAGTAATTCTCTCTTACTAGGAAATACGTCAACAAATTTAAATTTGACAAACGGAAAATAATTCTCTGACACAACAAACAAAATTTCTCAAAAAAAAAAAAAAAAAAAAAAAAAAAAATCCTATTATTATTTAAAAAAAAGCCCATGAAATTAAAAAAAAATAATAATAAAATAACACTCATCTTTGTAAAGCCACGCAAGTCAATATTTTTTAGTAATTTTGCTTAATTTCTGGAATTTTTGGACCATTTTGATTTTTGGTGTTCCTATTATTGGAGATTGATTTTTAATGAAATCAAACCAGAAAAATGTTTCTGAAATTTGTGATAGATAAAGAAAATAATTGATTTTCCTTTCTGATTTTGGTGTGATTGCGAAAGGCTGTTTTTTTCGCAACCACCTCCAGATCCATTAATCCGTTGTGGTAATGGCGGCAATCGAATTAACTGCCGCGCCAAATGCATTTGTTTTTCGCTCCCGCCGGGTCAAAGGTGTGTTCCCTGCAGGTGGCTTTTCCGATCGACCTGGTGCGCGCGTCATATTATTTTTAATCGGCCGAGCACCCCGGCTGCAAATGCGATTTCTCCCTTTCTCTATCCCGCCGCTTAGTATGTAATTTACTCGCGACCGTGCAGTAATAAAGGATTATTATTATTATCAGACATTTCGCGAGAGGTTTGTGCCGACATGAGCTCGGCGGGTGTCGCCATGGCAACTGTGCGCGAAAAAGAACAAGAGGAGGAGCGAAATGGAAGTATGACAAGTAGATTGCATGCAAAGAAGCAGAGCAGCCGAGCGGACGGAGCTGATCATGCGCCGCGACTTTGCATATCATCAATAATTCAGCTCCGGCGCCTGCCATACCAAAGGGTGATGGGCTTGCTCGACGCTTTCGGCCAAATCATGCGTGCGGCTGTCGGAATCTCTCACATCTGCATCTTATTTTTTATTCTGCCAATTGTTGCAAATTTAAGGCAAATATTTTTCGTAACGGAATTGTGCAAAAGAGCACAATTTTGAAAAAATTTGAATATCTACGTTTAATCTAAATTTAAATGAATTATTGGGGCAAATAAATTTTTGTAAACCAATTTTATTTTTTAATTTTATGCTTCTGAGCTTAGAAAATTCAGACACTAGATTTCTGCGAATTTTATCAACTTAATTCAAAATTTCTTCGTTTTAAAGTTGTTTAAATGAAATTTTAACAAAGAATTTTTATATTTTTAGATTTCTTTTACAATTTTTTTTGCAGATTTTTATTTTTACCATTTTTCTTTAGGAATTTGTTCATTACAAATTTCAAGGTGAAACATTTTCATAATGTGTGAATATGATATAATTTCAAATTTCAATGCAATTTCAAACTTCGTTTTAAATGAAATTGCTCTAAGGCCTTTAACACAAACTGTTTATTAATGAGCTTTATTTATGTTACCTATAAATATTTTGTAATTTAATTTGTATTTTAACATTTCATAAATTTATTATTTTAGAGTGTTTTTGGCTTAAAAATAATTTTTATGATATATTTATTATTTTTTAATTTTAAACTTTTCTAAATAAATTTAATACAAGATAATCAAAATTTACTTACCGAGCATTTTATTTTCAAGTTAAAAAATTTTGCAATAAATAATATATAAACTAGGACAAAAGTCAAATATTTTGTCAGATCATATTAATATAATTGGGTCTTCCTGTCGTCTTGCGTATTTATTAACTTAATAATCGATATCTCCATAATTTATACAAAATTATTACAAATTTTTTTCAACGTTCAACTCTTATCAACTAATGAGAAAATGGGTAAATTGATCCTGTCCAACATCGGTTTATCAATCACAGGACCTGATTTACACATTATATTAATCAGCATTATTAGGCAGTGGAGAAAGTACTTTTGCAGCACGAATATACATTTCACTTCTTGCAATCAGCAAAAATAAATTATTTATTTTCTTGCAAGTATGTGCTGGCGGCTCTGTTTTTTCTAATTGCGATTGGCATGTCACGAGAGCGCATCGCGCGCGCAATGTTAATTTTGTATTAGTCATGCCCCAAATAGCGCGCGTCTCTCTCACTGCGAATTTAAATTATTATTTCGCCGCGAATTTCAAGTACTTCCGAGAAAAGCAGCAGATGCTCGGCACGGCGATGTTTGTTCTTTCGGCGCGCATCTGTTTTTCGCTCGCTCTCGTGTGATTTACGCGACGAAGAAAAAGAGCGCAGCTCGTTTTTATTTCGCTCCATTTCCATAAATCAATTTGGGCCGGAATGGAGAAAAAGTGCCCTCGTCCAGCATAAGACGAGGCCCTTCGTGAATATTTAAACTAGTGTGTGCAGCATATAAAAATTATTGGCCATCAATTGAGAGAGGCGCGCACACACGCGCGAGCACGATGGGGTGTCAATTTATATTTCATATTCGGACGAACAATAATAATATTGCGTGATCGCCGCTCGTATATGCACAACGACCAGGCCGGCACGTCTATATGCAGAATTATGAATAATTCCGAGTTTCTCTCTCTGGCCCACCAACTTATTTTGAATCCATACTCGGTTTGACGCATTTACAGTAAAGTTTTCAATGTTTCATTTGCAATAATAATAATTTTTATTAAAAACTTTCGATTCTTTCCAAACACTAAAATTACTTCAAATGAGGTTGTGAGCTAAAATTATAATTAATTAATTGATTTTTTTAAATTGAAAATCTCAATATCATTTAAATCAAAATAGTTAGAATTGAAATTCGACTTGAATACAATGATTTATTGAATTATCTGATTTTATTTAGTTAAAATATGAAAAAGAAAATCAGAAAAATTGCGTCAATTTATAAGGCTCATTGAAACGGTGAGCATTGCATAGTTTGCAGCAGGGGATGCGTCGAAGCCGGTATGGATTGGGAATGAGTTTTCCGCCGTGTCCGCATCGTTTAATTTGCGCCCTGTTGTGCCGGCTAGTGTGTCCCGCGCGTGAATTATGCATGGCCGAGACGGTTTACTCTTAATGCCCCTATCGATCGGAGGCTGTTATGCATCTTGGGCCCCTGTCTGTGTGTCCGGCCGGCCGGCTCCATTCGTTATTGAAAGGGCCATTTGCCAACGAGTTAAAGGCACCGCAATGCTTCCCCAAGGTGCCACAATTCAACCCCTCGCACTCCCCTTGTTGCAGGACGCGCCACCACGCGTTCTTGGCTCCGAAGCCCTCGGGGAGCCTGAGCCGCCGTCCGAGAGGTGATGATGATCGAGACACCTTCGACTTATTTGAAAACAAAAGTCAGAAGTTATAATTTGTGGCCATCTTTTTTTCTTGAAAATTAAAGACATTAAATTAACAAGATAAGTTGTTAAATGAAGTTATGCTATCGTTCAGATTTTTTAAAATTTTAGTACATTTAAAGTTGCTTGTTGCTGAAATTTAAATTTCCCACATACTTTTTTTAACTTTTAATCTTGTTAGCAGTTTCTTATCATATCAAACTTGTTAATTAGTTATTAAGAATTTACAATTTATACAATTTAATTTAATAAACAAAAGATCACGAACTTGATTATATTTTTGTATCTACAACGCATGATCAATGAAAGTTGAAATGGAAGTATATATTTATTAAAATTTTATCCTAAACCCAACAATAATCGTAATTTTGTTAAAAGTTAGTCAAAATGAATAAATAAATATTTTTGCAAAGTAGTAATGAATAAAGTTTTTATAATAGTATTAAATTAAAAATTTTATTAAATAAGTTTTAAAATTAATAATCAATAAAGGTGGTTTTAAAATAGTTATAAATAGTAAATTGTTTAACAGCTTCAGTAAAAAAATTTCATAATAAATAAAGTTATTATTTTCCTTCCCTTGCACAGAAAAAGGTTAAACTCTATTATAATTATTCATTCACGCTGCTTCGGATGCGCCTATTTTACATTTTATCAGCTTCAAACTCCCCTCATCCATCAACAGAATTGCCGAAAAACTGGAAACGCCACTTAAAATTATGTAAAAATGAATTTATTATTCGTTCGTTACGCCCGCTTCCTGCTTTGCCACAACGGCGACCAGAAGATTAGTTGTCATTATTTGGCCATTTTTTTCCGATGGAGAATCAAACAAAGAACCGCGTCATCTGCCGACAAACGCAGCATGTGCGGTGCAGAAAGTGACCATGTGATAAAACACCGGCTTGTGGCCACTCGAGCAGTCACTCATTTCTACATTTTATTTTTAGAATGGGAAAAAATCGATTTGCATAAAGTACGCGGCGTGTTAATTTGAATTCACTTAGCGTGCACGAGAATACACACATAAAAAACTAATAAATTTTTTAAACCCGGCTTTATCAATCTGTGTTGCTGCTTCGTGTGCTTATGAATAATTAATTAATTAAGGTGCTAAACATGATGGTTTAAATGACAGCTCGAGTATGCATGTCGTCGCGAATGGACAGAGCCCTCGACGCTTATCAGCGCCAACCAATCGCCGGAATAAATTATACATACATGTTTGTGAATATAACACGCCGGCGGAATGCGGTTCAGAATTTAATCAAATCGCGCTCATTACTTCTTTTTCGAGCGAGAGAAAATTAAATTCACGTAACAAACAAATAATTTAATGCCAAGCATGCTTTGCCATTTTCTGGAATTTCTTTCGACACGACGGTGTTGCAATTCTTTATTCGCGCACGCTGGAATTTTCTGCTCATTTGCCTTATATTTCTTGTTCTTTGTGTTCACAGCAGAGCCGATCACCCGCTTGGACCGAGACAACATGTCCTCGTCGCCTCCCAGAGGTGAGTTGCGAAAATTATTCGCATATTTTAATAATGAAATAAATTTTTTTTTAAGGGAATGCGTTGATTTTGTTTAAATTTGGTTTCAAAACTTGAAACTTGAAATGCCTAAGGAAATTTTAACGAAATCGTTTTCATTCAAAACAGTTTAAAATATAAAAAATTGAATTATAAAACTCATTCCGTCTTAAAGAGATTTTTTGTAAATTTTTGATAGAAATTCTATAAAAAAATGTGAAAATTTGAAGAAGAAGAAAAAAATATCAATCTTTCTATTTTCTTTACATATGTAGTATCTTTCAAATTCCAATGCAATTAAAACTACAATAAATATAAAATTGAGCAAAAAATAAGGAACGTCAGACACCACACTAATTAAAATCTTTCGCTTATAAGAAAAATTATACCTTTTTCGTATTTCTACTTTTAAATTTTATTGGTGCAAGTTTGTAAAAATTTTGGTTCATTCGCATTCTTTCATAGAACTCTGTTTTAATTGTTAAAATTTTCTTGTATGTGGAAATTACTTCTTGTATTTTTAACATTTTTAATTAAATCTCATTTGCGAAAGGAATTAACGCTTCCCATTTTCGGGGTCGTTCGAAGCAATAAAGTTCAAAGATGGTTTTCTCCACAATTAGTTTCTTGGTCTAGGGGAAAATTTCATTTGCATTTGTCCAAACGCAAGTGCTAATTTGCCGCATAATTATTCAGAATTCCGAGTACTTCCTTGGTTATGCGCGCGCGTAATTTTCAAATTTCCGCAGAATCGCCGAAAAATAGCTCGGCGGCGTAATTAAATTCATTATATTCTCAGACTAATTTTGTAATTAAAATTTCTCATTGTTCCGTGTCCGGAGACGAATCTGGGAATAATGAAGCCATCCTCTCTTATGTCGGCGGTCGGTCAGATAAGAAAATTATAAAATGCTAATATCTCTTGAAAAAAGCAACAACTCCCCAGATTCCGAGAAGCTGCGCTTAAATTTTTAATTATTACACCATCGTCGTTACAATAAAAGCGTCTCGTGACCTTAAAGCGACTTGACATGTGTCTAATTGGCTGCTGCACTTAATAACAAACAACACGAAAAAACCAACATCTTATTGCCGGTCCAGCAGACTTGGCGCCACCACTCGCGCTCAATGCAACAAATAAATTCAGCCTCTTTTTAATTAAAAAACCGTCCACTTCTGGGAATTAATGACGAACTAATGAATTTTGTAGACGGACAAACACAATTCCGGTGGGGTGATTAAATTACTTTGAGATTGGATTCGCTCATTTTTCAACCGAAAAAAGTAAAATTAACTCCGAGCGCAGACTAACTTTATATCGCGGCGGTCGATCTCGTTCCCACGCGTTTGCATATTGTGTGGATTTTTGTGATAAAACGACCTTTTTCGTTTGCACGCATGCTAATTAATCGTCTCACCCCACACTTTGCGTGGATTTGGCGCTCGCGTGACTCGACCCCTTTCGAGCAGGAGGAGGTTTATGGAAGCAGGAAATCGACTGCATTATAGAACCAACAGAGAGATGCAGCAGGTGGCATTTACATGATTTTTTCGCTCGAGTGACAGATGAATTCGTTTTCTTTCCGTATTGTGTTCTGTGCGTACTATCATTATACCGTGTGTGTGTTTTTGCGTGGCGTAATGAGAAAATAAGTAGCCTCTCTGCCGATATGTATTATATATTTAAAATGCGCCACAATAAGCGCGCGCGGTCAATGACAGACAAAAAAATTATTATTAATGTGTGCTAGTCGGCCGCCGCTGATCGTTTCCTTTTCGTTTATTATATAAATGTTGTGGTGTGTTGTGTAGAACGAGAGCAACGTTTTTAATTTATTAATGTCAACCTCCTGTCATCTTGCGGGCGGCCGTTATTTATGGTTTACTGCTTTTTTTTGCCTTAGAAAATTAAATTTCAACGAATATTTTAAATTTAAATTATTTAAAATGTAAAATGGGAGTTACTAGAACTAAATATTAGTTATTATAAAAAAGTTTCTAACAATTTTTATTAATAACTTTATTTTTACCTTGATTTATTTGATCAATAAAACATTTTTTTTAAACTAAGCAATTAATGTATATTTTTAAAGTGGTTTTTTTTTTTCAAATTGGATCTAAACAAATTACGTAGAATTTTATATTTGAATTTATTATAATAATTATTGGAGCTATATTTGCTGTTAAAGATTATAAAAGTAATTTTATTTGTATTACGTATTTAATGATTCATTAAGTGAAATTTTCATTATCTTATAGTTGGAGCACAATTAGTCTTGGATAAATATTTTAATTAAGAATTACTAAAAAGAAATCATAAATTAACGTTAGTTATTGTAAATTACATTATTGTAAATTCCTGGTTAATTCCATATTTGGATTATAAATAGCCTCTTAACTAATATACAAAAATTTTTTAAACAAATCATTGGAAATTGATGTGCCTCACTGTAAAGAACTTTAACTAAATTGATTCCCACAAATTCAAATGTAAGTCTTCGGTATCATATTATTTTTCCAGCATAATTGCGGCATTATAAAGTTAATTTGAAGTTAATTTGATGAAACCTGTGTAAATTTCAGTAATAGTTAATTTAAATTACCATTCAATATAAATTTGAAATTTACCACGTTAGTAAATCGACAAATTTTTTTAATGGTGAGACTAAAATTATTTTGTTGGCAAACTATAATAAAAAATTAGTTATCCTCAAAATTTTGATCACATCACAGCGGAAAATAATGTTTCTCACAACCTGCAAGTTCCGAGCCAGAAGCTGCATGTCCAAAAAGCCATTCCATCTCCGCCGAAGTCATTATCCTATTTTTGGCCACGTCGCAGTTTCCTTTTTTTCTTCTTTCCTCGTTGCTTTTCGCCAAATCCGTCGTCCTCTATAAAAGTTTATTATATTTTCCCTCGCGCCTTATATTACAGTCAGCGCGTCGAGCAACACAAACAAATCTCCTCTTTCACCCTTGCTTGCGTGCAGTTTCTCGTTTTGCTACCTACATAATGTAGCAAGAAGGATTTTGTGTCCGCCGCAAACAAACCAGTGGCCGGCCAGAGCCGGGCATAATATTGTAAAATCCCATCCCATGTGACTATTACTCTCCATCTTTCGCCCACATTATCCCTCTGCTCCTGATTTACCTACTGGGACAGGATTTGCTTGGGATTTTTTTTACACATAAACTCGGTAGAAATTTTTTATACTGGTCATCTTGGATGTGTGTGAGAGAGAGAGAGAGAGGGTGCCTTTTATTCAAATTCGCGCCTTTATATTCAATTCCCGCACTTTTTATGAGGGTTCGGTCGGTGATTGAGAGATTTGGTATGCGGATTGTGTGTGTGTGATTCATAGCGGCAGCCCTCGGACCTGCCGCCCATTTCCATACTATGAATGTTACATACAGAAGAAGAAAAAATAGCCTCCCGCGGCACCAGATGTAAAAGCAATCGCTTAACGTCACTCAAAAGTGGCCTCATTCGTATTACGAAGACGGATGAGTGACGCGAAAAAAATCGCCTTATTCAAAGGAAGAAGTGTTCTCAAAGGAGCGATTTACATGTGCCATTAACTTGTTCCGCGTTTTTCACACCGCCGCGCAAACTCCTGCCCGCATAGGCAGCCCGGCCCGACATCAAAGTCTGCCAGGTTGCATACAGACGCTCTTTTCAGGGGCTTCCCCGTCGATTGACTCCGCATCATGAATAAGAAATGTCGTTCCGTTCTTTCTCCTATTCAAATGAATAAAACGAGTGCGGGAATGAGCACTTGTGGGGGTTCGCATTTGAATGATAAATTAGTGCGGACTTGTCAAAAACACTCACAATTTCCTTTTTAATGAAACACAAAATTTTGCAAAAAAAAAAATACATTTTACTTTGTTTTAGTTCTCAAAAGAGTAAAGATAAATTCTTTGAATTTTATGAATCATTGAACTTATCTTTGATGAAATTTTTATTAAAAACTAAGATTTAATTTGTTTTCATAGATATACAACGAAATATGCAACGAAACCTACAAATTTTTACAAAGTATATAAAAAATATTAAAATATTTTTTAATAAAAAATAATATTTAAATTATTTGGTACAACTTCTTGAGTTTTGCTGGAATCGATTTAGTTTTATTCTGATCAGGGTTTCGGAGCGGGAGCGTTTTGGAGCGGCGCAAACGCTCCTTGGAGCGTTTTTAGCAAAGGAGCGCTCGGTGGCGCTCCTAAAGCGCTCCGAGGAGCGCAGGAGCGTTTTTTCTACCGCTCCGAGGAGCGTTTGCTCCAAGGAGCGTTTTCCCAAAGCGCTCCAAGGAGCGCTCGCTCCTGGAGCGTTTTGTCTTGGAGCGTTTTGCTCCTTGGCGCATTTCCTATTAAAATGGTCAATATTCATCCCATTCCTTAAGAAAAAATTTATATATTGATTAAGATTCGGATATTTTTTCAAAATTTTTTTTGCATATTTATTTTAGATCTGATGTAATAAATTGGCAAACTCAGTTATTACTCAATCTTTTATAGTCAGATAGATATCATTATACAAAGATTTTATTTTTTGCGTATAGTACCAGGATATCATGCGCTCTTAAAGGTATGCCTTCGAGACGTGTGCTTGAAATACATTTGAAAACCAAGCCCACCCTCGCTCATTGAGCTCTTGCTGATATGTGTCCTGCCAGTTGTTAAATAGAATTCTCAGAAGGAGAATGGTTTTAGAGTTGTCGTGTTTTTCTCTTCTCTTTTATTATTATTTTTCTGACCACTGGTGAATCATACACCCTATTTCAACCTTGAAAAGTTATGCGAAGCAGAAAAAAAGGATTTTCTCCCTACACACGGAAGATCAAGCAATACGCGGCAGTGCTTGTTCCTGCAAGGATGACAAGCTACCCCCTGCAGATGAGAAATATTTTCTTATAGCGTCAGCTCAGGTCGTTTTCCTACTACTTAAGCCCGAAACCTCTTATATCAACTGAACAAAGGAAGGTGCAAACACGAAAATGTCGTCCTAGTTTCTTAGAATTGATCTTTTTAAAATCCTATTTAACAACTGAGTGATTTGACAAATTTAATGTTTAATTTAATGTTTTTGTGAGATAACATACAAGAAATAACACTTAAAAAATGTCACAGGCCCTTTCCTGGCTTTAAAAGTAGATTTACGAGCACACCTCTTTTTGCTGCATGTTTTCCTGATAAGATATACTTAATAGCTTCTTAAAAGAGCCTTTTAATAAATCATTTCATTAATTTAATATAGTGAAAAATGATTTTCATATGCGTGGAATTTTATTTAAATTTTTAATCAATTTAAAATACTAAATATTAAATTGACTTTCATTATAAATCATGAATTTGATCTTACGCAAACGCTCATAGTGCGCAAGCGCGTCCAATTTCACCAAGCGAGGAGCCCACGAGGAGCGTTTGCTCCAAGGAGCGCTTTGTACCGCTCCTAGGAGCGCTATCTCCCAGGAGCGTTTGCTCCTTGGAGCGCAGGAGCGTTTGTGCTGAGGAGCGTTCGCTCCTAGGAGCGCAGGAGCGTTTCCGCTGAGGAGCGTTCGCTCCAAGGAGCGCAGGAGCGTTTTGAAATTCACCGCTCCGAAACCCTGATTCTGATGCATCAATCACCCGGCTCATTGGCTCCCTCTGGTAAACGTTTTCCTTATTCTCTTCCCGCATCGAGAATTCCTCTGCGCTTTGCATACCCAAATAAGCTTCTCCGGCCTCGAATTACTTCCATTCCGCTGCAGCGAAATGGAAAAATTCGGTCGGGAGAGAAGATGCGAAGTGTCCCCTATCACCATCGTCCCGTTTTATTTTTTTATACAGCGCACGAGGGGGCGGATTTTAAATATGGGGCTGGCTGAGTGAATAATGCGCCTGCACTTGAATGTGTATAACTTGATAATCGCTCGTGTGACACACAATGAAGAAAAATACACAAACACCCAGCATGAAAGTCGGGCAATAATTCTTCATTTTTTTTATATTCCCACAGACAACATTAGCATTTATATTGGGTAATAATCGAGTGACACGCAGCCAACTAATTTATGGTTTCGTAATTGACGATGGCTGTTTAACGTTAATTGAAATGGACAATTTTATTTTCATTTGTGCGGAAGGCGGATCCGTTCCCATAGAACCGCAGCCATTCATTCCAACATTCAATTGAATGAAATGGCGGGTTGGTACAAAAAAATTAATGGAAGGATTAGTTCATTTTTTTCGCCATTCATTACACCAACAAACAAGTTGAAAAAGTCTTTTTTTAGCGAGTTGATTTTTTTTTAAATTCAACAGAAGGAAAGAAATTATAATACTTCAATAATAACTTCTAAAAATAATCCAGGAATAAACAAAACATATTTTGACAAATGCAAGTAAAAAGTAAAATAAAATAACACAGTATGACTACAGTTGAATTGTAAAAATTGCCTAAATCTATCAACAAGCTCGTCTGTCACCATTCTTGTTGGCGGATCAAATGCAAATCCGCTTTCTCGGAGAGGGACATTTATTTTCTTGGATTGTTTTGCTCCTTATCCGTCGTAATCTCATCATTGTCTTCTGCGCGTCCCCTGATTTTCCCTCGCACGTCTCAATCAAGGGCCTGCCTGCGATATTGCAAACATCTGCTTGCCTCTTTCTCTCTCTCCCCCCAAGTTAAAAAACTCACCCACGCGCACCCCATCGTCGGCGACCTTTATCCTCCGATAATGGCTTAAAGAAACACTGCCCCCGAGCAGGGGTGCGCTTCCCCCAGCCCGACCAGTAAAAATGTCAGTGTGCATGTAAATTAGCTTCAAGTGCGTTTAATATTTTCAAACGCCTGTTTTCACTCGCGCACCCTCCTTGAGACGAGTGAGAACAGGAAGAGGGTGTCACACTTTTTTTTTAACGAAAAACTTTCACTCAAAACCAGTTGCTTTTTCGTGAGGATATTGAGAATTTTGATCGACGTGACCCAGAAAAATTTACAGATGTATTCAACTTTTGTATGCTTTTGTTGCAGGTCGGATGAACGGAGGTCACTGCAGTGAAGATGATGAGGACGAAGTGCGAAGCCACAGCAGAGGATCCGCCAGCAGCGACAAAGCGCCCGAAGGTGCCCTTGTCCTAAATGAGGACTCGATGGACTCTGATCGCGGAGGCGCTTTAAATTTGGTAAATTTTATTTTAACAAATGACTGACTCTTTTGCTTAATTAATTTCTGCAATTTTTGTTTATTAAAATTAAAAAATCCCATTTTATTTTTATTTTTTATTGATTCCTCCCACTTAGTTTTAGTCAGGACACAAGAAATCCTAGGTTTTAAAGTACCAGCAGACCGCAGGTCGCCTTTGGGGTCAGTTGTCCTTTATTTTTTCATTTTTTCTTTGCAACGAGGTTCGCCCGGTTTCAATCTTTATGAAATCCACCTCAAGTGTTACCATTCAATTTTATTTTAACACTTTAATATAAATCTATACCTGGATTTTTATTTTATAAATGCTTGCTAAAATTTATATTTTTAATATTTAAAGTTATTTTAAATTAATTTATAAATAAAAAGTTTTAATCCAATATTTTAATTAATAACAAAAAAGTAATTTTACTTAGAAGTTTTGTTTTTCTTTTAAACCGATAAATTTTAAATTAAATGGTATCTGATTATATTGTCAGTGTAATTTGAAAAGAAATCTTTGTTATCTCAAAGTCTTCTGCACAGAAAGTGAATAATTTTAATTTTTAATTAAGAATACATTCAGAACTTATAATCCAGGTTGAAATAAAAGCAATTGAACCTGATCAGAAGGTGAATTATTTACCAGAGTTCTTCTGTCCTCCTGGCCTGCATCCCTTGACTTCACCCCTATTAACATAGTGGCGGCCGCAAAGTTTAAATAAAACACAAAGTTGCTCTTCTGAAAAAAGTATTTGTCCCAGTTCTTTTGTGCGCTCGACTTGTTCGTTTGCTCCGCCGGCCCTCCCAATATATATGTATGAATGTTGCATTTTAAATTTGCGGCCGTGCATGTTAGTTTGATCATGAATGGAGAGTGGATTTTGGTCTCGGCCGGCGGCTCTCCTGGGAGTCGCTTTGCAACTTGACCGCGCCGTCGTCCCCTTTGCCCATTTGCTATGCGCAAAATTCCTCCTCTCTACATATACGTTTAGTTTTCTTAAGTTCCCTCTCTCTTTCTGTTTGAATGCATGATTGAGTGGTCAGTACCTGCCCTCCTCGAGCGCCACCTTCCTTTTTGTCCCCGCCGTTTTTTTCGTATTCATGATATTCACCCGAACTCGTAAATATCTCCGGAAAGTTCACCGAAGCAAACGCGACCCTTTTTACCTCTCGATCGAGAGATGGGGTCCGAACTGCTTCAACTTATTTCTCACAAATTCGGCTCGTTTGTTGCAGGTGACGGATTCGTCGCACCGCAACTCGACCACCAACGGCTCCCCAGTCTCGCCCGCCAGCCACGGAGCCAGTTCGCCACTCAGCCAGACTGCAGCGGCCGAACGCAACCTGCAGAACCAGAGCGAGAGGAACCTTCAAGCTGCTCTGGCGGCCATCCAAGCTGGGCAGCTTTCTTTAAATCAGGTATGCAAGTTTAATTAAATCTTATTAATATTATTATTTATCATTTTAATCTAACATTTGTTAATTTAAATTTTATATTATTAAATGATGTTTTTAAATTTTATTAAAATATACTATTAAATTTAATTTTTAAAATCTACTTAAAAATCATAAATGTTTATATATTCTATATATACCACAAGGATATAAATAATACTAAAATATTTTTTATATTTATGAACAATTTAATACATTAAAAATTGTACTGAGAGTAATATGGTACAAATAAGTCTGATGAAAATATTAATGGTTTACGTGAGCGAATTTGGAATAGTAATTTTATGATTAAGCTTCATTAGTACATATGGCTCATTTTAACTCATTAAAAAAATGGGTAACTTCCTATCCTATCTAAAAAAGGTATTATTTAAATCGTTAATAATTTTATTTTATTATCAATTTGATCTGTCATCAAAAATTTTTAATTTGAAATCTCGCGCAGCTTATGAGTCTTGGCGCCCCCGGCCAGTTGCTCCTCCAAAACCACCTTGCCGCCCTCTCAGCCGGCATCCAGACAGGAGGCAGTGCGGCGGCGGCCGCAGCGATGGGACTGCAGGGCCCCGAGCAGCTCCAGGCCCTTCAACAGGCGCTCACCCAGCAGCACCACACCCTCCAGCAACAGCTGCAGCAGTTTGTCCTTTTCCAACCTGGCGCGGCCGCCACAGGGTCTCCGGCCCAAGCTCAGTTCTTCCTGCAAAATCAGGTAAGCAAGTTTACAACTTTGTAAAGTGGTGTGAGGTGCTCTTCTTTGGTGATGGTTCTATCCTGCTTTTCTGTCCTCTAGGGCTTGGTACCTCATCAGGGCTTCTCTAGTCCTCAACCTATTCACCCACATCGCAATCAGAATCATGCAAAAGCCATGCAGGTATAAAATTGAAGGGTGGATTAATTTGCAGCTTTTTATTTAGAATTTTTTATAAATAATCTAATTTTTCTAATATTCTTTTACTTTTTACTGCCTTTTATTCAAGAGAATTTCCTTTCTGTATTTCTTATTTGACTGGACTAATTTAATTTTTCATTCTAAACTTCTAATGTTCTCTCCTGTCTGAGCAAATTTAAAATTTTGCGATTTAATTTTTTCCTATCATTTTTTTACTTAATTTATTTTCTCATCAGGTTCAACAAGCCGTCGCCCAGGCAGCTCAGCAACTGCAGCAGCTTCAGAAGCAGCAGCAGATGCACCACGCGCACCGCTCCCCCCAGCAACCCCAACAGGGCAGCACCCCCCAGCCAATCTCTGGGTCCAGGGGCTCGACGGCCCCTCCGCATCTTCCGCAGGCGGCCACCGCCTCTCCGCAGCAACAGTTGGCCGCAGCAGGTGGCAGCCCTGCCCACACTCATGTGCCCACCGTGGCCTCTGCCCTGCAGGCGGCCACCAAGGCGGCCGCAACCCTCCAAGCCGGAGGCGGCTCCATGATGGACGGAGTGGAAGAAACCACCGACTTGGAGGAACTTGAGCAGTTTGCCAAAACGTTCAAGCAGCGCAGGATCAAATTAGGTATGTTGTGAATTATGCAAATTTTTCATTATTATTCATGTATGCAAATGAGAAGGAGATTTCAATGAGCGGTTTTATATCAATTTATTTACATTTTGTAATAGCAAATATTAATTTTTTTTATAAAGAGTAAAAGATCACTTTGATTAACTGATAAATCAATTTGATCTTTATTAAGGAGAAATCAAGGTTTTCTAAAATCATTATTTAAAAAAAATTGTATTATTTAATTTATAATGTTGTATTTATAATTAAAAAGGATATATGGATTTAGTTTTAATGCCTTGGGATCCTTGGTTTTTAAAATACAGGCAAACACGAACAAAACATTTTTTTTTAATCATTAAACAAATGGATTTTATTAATTTTTTTCTGTAATCATCTCTAATCGGACATTTTGCATTTGTTCACAGGGTTCACCCAGGGTGACGTAGGCTTGGCCATGGGCAAGTTGTACGGCAACGATTTCTCCCAGACGACAATCTCGCGCTTTGAGGCTCTCAACTTATCGTTCAAGAACATGTGCAAGCTGAAACCGCTGCTGCAAAAGTGGCTGGAAGACGCGGACAGCTCGCTGGCCAACCCGAACTCTCTAACCAACCCTCTGACCACGCCCGAGGCCATCGGTAGGCGCCGGAAGAAGCGGACGTCTATCGAAACCAGCGTCCGGATAGCGCTGGAAAAGGCGTTCATGCAAAACCCAAAACCCACCTCGGAGGAAATCACCATGCTGGCCGACAGCCTGTGCATGGAGAAGGAGGTGGTGCGCGTGTGGTTCTGCAACAGGTGAGTTTCACTCCGAAACCGAATTTTTGTGTGTTAATTTTATAATTTTAATTTTGTTTGAACCAAGAAAACGTTACTGGAGTCTAAATTCAGATTCAAAAATTTCAGACGCCAGAAGGAGAAGAGAATAAACCCGCCGGCCTCCGGAATGATCAGCCCTCCCCTGTGCGGCCCTGGCAACAACGGCGGCCACACGGCCAGCATGCTGGCGGCCGCGGCCGCCTCCCTGGCCTCCTCCCTGGGCCGGCCTTCCTCGCCGCGCATGTCCCACCACGGAATGCACTCGCCGCTGTCTCTGGTGAGCCACTCGGTGTTCGGCAACCCCAACAGTCCCCCCACCCCGCACTCGGCGCCACCCTCGGCCCTTTCGAGTGACTGAGACAGGGCGGTCGCGCCCACGACTTCCTCGTGGTCCTGCGGCTACATTCCACGCATCCCCAAAGGCACCCTGCTGTTCAGCCAAGCGCCCAGCAAGTAGAGATGCAGCAAAAAAGAAAGAAATACCAAAGCAATGCTTCTCCGAATATTCCGTGAACTCAAAAACTAGACAATTAACCAGTGCGTCAGTGTACATACTGAAAAGTGGACTTGTATGAAAACATGATGTTTTGTATTAAGGGACACTTTTAGAGGCTCATAAAAAAAACAGTTGAATGTTTCTCACTAGAGGCACCGAAGGAAAGCCTCCGAACATGGACACTTTACTTATTATGTATTACATTTGCAGCTCGATTATTCTCCCTAGTACATCTCCGTAGAGTTTAATTATTTTTATTGATTAATTAACACCAAGACTGTTTCAATATTACTCCCCGTCCCACAAAATATGTAATAATTCTGCGTAGAGCATTGCGTTCTCCAATCAACCACCCTAAGCGATAATCATATAGTGTAATAATCTTTGCATTCCTCGGCACATTCTCCACTCTCTATCTCGCTCTCGTTTTAATGTTTTGTTAAGATGAATGTTGTTGCAGTTAAATTATTAAAGAATGTGTAGTGCGTGTTTCCAAAAAAAATAGCGGACCCAAAGATGAGTCAGATTTAAAAAGAGTAAACTCTCTCTTTCTCACCAAATAATATCATGAAGGATCTCAAGAAGTGATCAAGAAAGACAAAGTGTTTTTGTTGTCGAGTGCGCTTTTGGACCTCCAACTCCTATTTGAAAGGCCTTTCTGCGGCCCTGTCACTTTCTAACCAACTGATTTTTCAAATACGAGAAGCAAGGTCCGTAAATAATTAACAAAAAATTAAAATGTATATCATTAAGCATCAGCAGTTGAGTTCCTATTCCGAATAAAAAGTCGCCGTCTCTTTGTGGAGGCGGGATGATGTATACCTTGTAAAAAGAAGAAACTGTATTAAAAATAAACGCATAATTATCAAAATCTACTCGGTGTATTTGACCCATATCAAAAGTTGAACAAAAAGGGTCAGACGGTCATTCTCAATGTCCATTGGTGACATTCCGATGTTTTCACATTTTGTGATTATCCGACTACTTGTTTGTCTGATTTTGAATAGATCTTGTCACTGTATTTTTAATAAAAATCTGGGAAAGATGAAATAATAATGCTTCCTTGTACAATAAAATTGAAGAGTAAAAACACGATGTACGCGTTTCCAAAATGGAAGAGCTGCAATTACAAAAATCATATCTGGGCACTCTGTATAATTATAACGAGCATACACATTTGCTATGGGTAAAAACTAAAGTGAATAGAAGTTGTATGTTATAGTGAGGAAAAGATAAATGTTTTTAATTATATATTATCTACCTCAATTTTCATGTAAATAGTGAAACACACACACACACACTTTTCCAACATATAGAGTCCGATCGATCCAAATGAATGTTTTATAAAAATCGGTGTTGATGATATTTATTTCCAAGTGACGCAGTCAGAAAAGATAATCTCTCTGATGCTCCATTCATTCCAATGCAAACCGTTGTTGAGGGGAAACAGGGACGCGGTGTGCGTTCCGTGGCGTAAGCGCTGAAAGCTGCTGCCCTGTGCGTACCGACCACAACAGTACTAATTTTTGTATTTTTGTTTAAAACTGATTTTATTGTTAAATAGTAAAATATAAATGAAATATTAACTTTCTTGTTTTATTTCCAATCAATCCAATCATCCAAAATAATTAAAGATGAGACATTTTTGTAAAAAATGATTAATATTGAAAAATATATACAATTCTTCTAAATGACATTAATTAATTTTACTTAAGTGAGCAATCTACTTCCTAGAAATCCACCTACTGCTCCAACAAGACATTGCTTTGATGAAGCAAAGAGAGAATTTGCTGAGGATATGAAGCATCTGTTTCCGTTGCACAAGGAACCTCCTCTCCACGGAACCCACGAGTTGTTGTGCAGTTTAGGGTTTGCTTCAGGATCACCTTTCGTGTTCAGCTTCACAATTTAAGATTAATAAATATTAATTATTTATAATTATTCAAAATTTTCACCTGTGGCGTGAGTTGAGAGCTGTACGTGTCCAGTTTGGCAAGCATGAATTGAACTATTTCAGGTTCTTGAGCAATCAGGTTGTTCTGTTCACAAGGATCGGCGTTTAGGTCAAAAAGGCACGGCCCTTCCCCAAGGTTGCAGGGCGTTGTTGATTCCTGAAGTTTCAAATTTAAGATAAATGTTATTTAAATTGTCTTGGTTTTTACCCCTTGGCTGCATTTAATCGTATTTTCTCCGCGCACTTTGGCAATGTGGTTTTTGTCAATGGGCCGTATCGCTGGGAATTTTTGTTCAAAGTCTTTTGCAACCTCAGATTTTGCCAAATTTTCTAAACTGTAGGAGTAAAAATCGTTTCTGTAATCACCCATGTGGCTGTCGTAAGCGCCGTTGACATAACTGCCTGTTATAATATTTATAAAATTTTTGTTCTGTATTCAAAATTTTTTAAGATAATTGTTACCATTGAGGTATTTCCAGTTTTTATATCTGATTCCAGAGAGGCCAAGTCTTTCGTCGATGTTCAACAAAATCTCTTTCCTCACTTGATACTCTGAATTTGCAATTGAGTTTTCAACGCTGTTTACTTCATCATTGATGACTTCCCACTGAGTTTTTCCATCAAGTCCACTCAAATCAGTCAAATTTCCACCTGTTACAAAGTTAATAAATAAATTTAAAAAAATAAAGTTCATGATGTTCATAATGTTTCTTTTTGGAAACATGAGATAAATAAGTTGAATTATTGCAAATTAATAATAAAAATGCTTACCTGCCGCAGCATATAAGGTAGGCAACCAGTCAGTCACGTGGAATAATGATGACAAAGGTCCTAATTTTAAGAGGAAAACTCAATTTTAAAAAATTACCAAAATAAAATTTAAAATTACCAAATTGCTGTCCGTGCATACCAGAATGCCAAATAGCTCCAACAGATCGAATACCACCCTCATACATAGTAAACTTCAGCTGAATAAATGATTTTTGTTATGCCGTTTTTCAATTAATTTTCTCAAACTCACTCCTCGCAATGGGAAATTAGACCCGTCGTTGGCATACAGGCCCCTTGTTTGCGCTCCGTTGTCACTCATAAACGCAATCAGCGTGTCCTCGAGCAAATTGTTCTTGGCTAGGGCCTTCACTACTCTGCCAACCGACTTGTCCAAGCTCCAAACCATGGCTGAGGGAAGAAATTTCATGCAGATATTATAAATTTTTAATTGGTTAAGATTAGATTCAAAACTAAGGAATTCCATTGCCAAAAATTGTTATTTTATAAATTTATTTCCCGATATTTCTTACATATATTTTTTATATTTTGCTTAGATTAACAATTAACAAAACAACACAATCATTACACTAAAACAATTTTTAAATTTTTGATAATATTAATTGATTTTTTTATAGTTTTTTTCAGCTACATTTTTTTATAAAATGGATTTGGAATGATAATTTAGCTTAAAAGTGAAATGTTTTAATTCGTTAATTGTATTAATTTGGGGAGGGGGAAACTTTGGAATGGTTGTTAAATTAATGGAAAAAATTAATACATTTTAATAATATTAGTGTTTTAATTTTTTCAGCAAATAAATGCTGAAGATTTTTTTTCAACAATAAACAAATCGTTCTAAATTAAAGAAAATTTTGCTTATTTTGTTTCTTATACCTGCGTACTTTCTTCTATTTTCGTCGGGAATATAAGAAAACCGCTTGATATCCTCTTCGTGGTACTCGTGGTCGGTGCCTTCGTTGCCCGAGTGCACGGCCAAGTGCGACAGAAGCATGAACATTGGTTTCTCGTCTTTAGCAGCACCTTCGATTAGACGCTCTGCTTCTTCCGTCAGCAAATCGGTTACGTATTGACCTTGGAGGTGCAGCATTTGCTCTGTGCCTCTCCAAAAGTCGTGACCGCTCATATTCTGGGATTGAATATAATATTCGTTAAGGTTTATGTAGACAAGAAGAACAAAGACTTTTCTCTTTTTAAACAAATCATTTTTTTTTTTCAATTAATATATTAATTTCATCTTTATTAAAAATAATTAACATAATCACTCAGATCAGAAATAAATACTATTAAAGAATTAAAATGGTATTAGAAAATTAGTGATGTCTATCTCTTTATGAGTGTAACAATACAACAAAATTTAAACAAAAAATATTTATTTTTTCTATAAAACAAAAAAAGAAAAGTTTCTAAAAAGGCTTGTTTGACTTGACCTGGGACTTTTGCAACAAATTTTTTAATTTTTAGGACATAAAGAGATATAATGAGATTTTTTTCATTCATACCCTGGCATTCATGCGATGGTCATAGTAGCCGACAAATCCGTTCATGTAGCCAAAGTGTGAGTCAAAGCCCCGAGCCAAAGGGGTGAACTTCCAGTCATGGTAGCCGAGGTGCCACTTTCCGAGCAGATGAGTCCTGTATCCGAGATCCTTCAAATATTCTGGCAGGACTTTGTGGTCCAGAGGAAGTGCCCGAGGTTCATCTGGCCCAAGAGGGTACCCTTGCATTCCTTTATAATTAAAAACATGATTAATAAAATAAGACTAAGCAAGCAATGGAGTAAACAAAAGCGAAATAATAATGAAAACAACTTCATCAATTAACAAAAGCCTGGTTCAACATTTATCACGATTCGCCCCTCTCATGACTTTTTCTCATTTAAAAAAAAAAAAATTTGTATAGTAGTAATTGTTTGGTAGTAGAAAAAAAACACACTTATTTAATTCCTAAACTCGATTAAACTGATCGGCAGTAATATATAATAAAAAGTCCGTTACAAACATCGCATTGAAGGTTTTAAAAGCATTTACATACGCGGATATTAACCTGAATAAATTTCCAGACAGCAGTGCCAGACTCATTGTCAGCTCTCAACGAGCCTGTTAGACGAGATTATTTATTAACCGACGCGATCATAGAATAGCAACTTGTTAACGTAGAATTATATAAAGTAGGAAACGTGCAGTAAAACACGTGCAAACTAGTTAGTGATCTTTGATTGTATGAAGTAACAGTTCATCAAACTTAAGCTATCGCATTTGTCTTATTTTCAAATTAATATTATTTATTACTTTATTATTGTTAATATTATGGATTGACCTCGCCTATTTTAGACCTTCAATTAGACAATTACATTTTTAATGGAATCCACCGTGAGGAAAACTTTTTTAAGTGTATTATTTTTTAATCTTTAATTTCCAACTGATACGATTTGATACAATTAAATTTTCTAGCAGTACAGACACTATTTTGTAATAATTATGTCTTCACTTCCTTTCAAAGGAGAATGTCAAGTTTACATTATTTGTTGAGCAAACGGTTTCGTGCTGCTTGAATCACGAAACGCTGATTACGGACTGAGCTTTAATAATAATCTAGGCAATTCATAAACGGATATTGCCTTGGAATATTTTTAAAAGTTCTACTCGATTGCATTTCAATGGCAAATAAATTAGAAAACATTACCTGTTCTAATGGGGTATTTTCCTGTGAGGAGTGCCGACCTAGAAGGCGTGCAGGTCGGCTGCGCATACTGCTGACGCAGGACCCTGCCATTGTAGGCCAGCGTGTCAATGTTGGGCGTCTGCAGGTCCGAGTTGCCCGTGAAACCAACGTCATTCCATCCCTGACAACATCACAAAGGAGTTTTTACAGCTAAAATTATTTAGTGGCTTTTCTGTTAATAACAAAAATTGAAATATCAGGTAGAATATATATTTAATGTATTTTCCATTAGCATATTTGCTTGGAATTTATGCAAGTTGTACTCTGATTTGTTTCGGTCGTTTTCCAGCATAACTGGTCGCCCAAACTTTATGAGTTAAAAGTGGTCGCGCTGCTTTATCAGGTTTTTTTATTGACCTAAAGAATTAGCTCAATTTTTATATAATTCATGACATTGATGAAACTTCTTTCTATTGGTGGGAAGGCCGTTCTAAAAATGGTCGTATTTGTAATAATTGATGGCCAATGTGAGTGCCCGTTAATGAAATCGGCGTCTTTTATCTCTAGTAAAATGATGCACTTTCATACAGCAGTTGACAAAACACTGGCTACAAAAACATTAGAGCTGAAAAAGCTTGGAATTGGCCAAAATTCAACACATGACTTTGCATTTCTAAAAAAATTACTTTTTTCACACTAATTTTAGGGGATTATTTGATGAAGAGCATAAACTATCAAGACAAAGTCTTGAGGTGTTAACATAAAGGTCTTATTAAAAAAATATAAATAAAAAATAGTGTTATCACTTATCAGGATTTTTGTCCAAATTTATTATTATTACCAAAATATATTAAACTACATCATAGCGGAAATTTTTATATTTTAATTACACTATCCAAAGGTTTTTCTCTTTGAGGATCCAAGAATCAAAGAAATTTATTCAAGATTTCTTACTTTTTTGTTCTGCTTAAACATATATTTATTGTTAATTAATTAACATAAATAACGGAAAGCATTATTATTTAAAATTTAACTTTGAACCCGTGACCCCACAAACATTGACATGTTCACTGTTTTTCTCAAAACATAAGCATACAAAAATAACACCCCAAACCACACATACCACCGGATGTTGTTAAGAATGGTCAGTTACCACCAGGTTGCCACTATCATAGGAGTCAGTGACATTATATAATTTTTGAAAAGAAGCAGATAAACAAAATTAATTATATAGGGGTCTAAATTTCCTAATTATTAACATATTACTGCTTGCAGCCCAAAATTCGGGATTATTTTTACCAAGAATTATATACTAGTAAAAATGATTTTGGGAACTTGTTGGTATTAAAAAAAAAGAAATGAATTAATTGCAAATATAGCAAAGACAGAAAAATAAGCTGAAATTGTACTTCATTCCATAAAATGTATTAAAATAAATTTCAGTAAATTATTTAAGTGAAACTACTTTTCTTAAGACTTATTTAAACTATATGCTAAAGTTGAGCCATATATTAAATATAAATTCGGCAACTGTTAAATTAATAAATTGACAATAAGTATGAAAAAAAAATTATTAAATTTCATTTTATTAAATCTATAAAATACTTTTTAATTTACTTGCCTATAAATTGCCTATGAGAGATAAATATGTGTTTGAATTATTGTAACTTACCATGTCATCGACCAAAATAAACACAATGTGGGGCTTTCTTGGTGAACCGAAGACCAAAAAGTCCGCGAGGATCACCAGCACAACCACCAAGGTCCGCATGGTCTGTTGGCTGCGAGCGTTGTGTCTGCAAAAGGGACGCCGGCGTTTTCGGAGTGAGTGGAGTTGGTGCGGCCAAGGCTGCTGCGAAAGGAGGGAATCCGCTTCCTTTTCCAACGCCTGTCTCCGCCAAAACTCAAATACCGCAGCTTAAATTGTAAAACCCGACCCGTTATCAGGGGTTCGTTGACAGGCGATTAAGCAATTCACAAAAAAGACGTTTCAATTGCGTATTTTTTACAACCGACCTGAATTTTCAAATTCAAATAAATATAGGACACTGATAACAAAATTACACTGCATGCCGCTCAATTTTGTTTGCGTGGAGCCAAATTAGCTCCCCGGCCTGCTTCTCTGATAAATTCAAGTGCACGTGATATTGCTAAAAGTGTATTTTCATTTAACACTTCTTTCGACATTGACTCAAAGTCGTAGGATACATCTATTCTTTTCCTGAACATTGACTAGCAAACAAACTGGTTTCGAGAAGTATGCATTTGGTTTGCACAGACTGCGTACTTTGTTAAGATTACTAAATAATATGCATGGTATGACTATTGTTCGTCCATTTATCTAACGAAAAGCTTGCTATAAACATCAGAAGATAACAATAACTGTGCGCTTGTTTGAGGAGACGTTCATGGGCGTCGTCCTTGTTAAAAAATATTTTTTTTTTAATATTTAAAATAAAACACGACATTAAAAAATTTTGTCACAAATTCTAAACCAAGAAGTGAGAATAAAATTTAGAAAATTTTCTGAAATCGCTATGTTATTATGCCAAGAAATACCTAAAATTAATTGATTGTAAAAATTATTTTTGTACACAAATAGAACTCAATTTTATAAACTTTTTTTAATAAATAAATAAATGAAATGGTCAATTCCCGTTTCCTATTTGATTAATTTATTTTAGAATAATAAAAATTATAAAATAGTACAGTTGGATCCTTATTTAATTATTTAATTTTCTCATAAGTAAAACTCTCGTATGTATCAATTTATTTTTGCATGCTTTGTGACATTTTTCATGAGACAGAACAATAATAGTGAGGTTTCAGCTATTGTGCATGAGGATTTGGCTTAAAACGTTTTTCCTCTCAATATATCATCTAGAATTGAGCACAAAGACAGTATAATATGCTTTAAATTTTTCAAGAGGTTTAATTACGCCAATGAGTAGAAATTAATTTTATATTAAATCTAGCACCTTCAAGCTAAACAATTTATCGTGTGGTTTTACTGGTTTACCCAGATTTACTGCGGAATCGAGATATAATTTAAAGTGCTTCCTGCGATGAATGCACTTACTGATTTTCCGATCCTGTGGGTGTTTCCTTGTGGGTGAATTTGAATACCTGCGTAGTCAGTTTTTTTAAGAGACCTTTTTGCATAACCTTGAATGCAGGATTAATAACTGCGCCGACCGCGAGCGAGTTCCTCTTAATTAATCCACACCGAGACTTGATTTGTTTATGTCCCTTTCTCTCCCTGCTAGTTTTCAAAATGTATTTCAAGATCTCAAGTCTATTCATTTAGGAAAGTCAAATTATTTGTGTAATTTATTGGAGCTTAACAAATTATGAGCAATAAAATAAAAAAAACCAAAATCATAACATAGCTTTTTACAACGATAATTATTAATTATTAAACACGCAGGGGAAAAGCATTTTGACCACTCTGAAATTCAAATGTTTAATAAAAATCGCATTAATTAAAGAATTTTGCAATGGATATTTTGTAAAGAATAAAACGGGAAGGTGTGTTATTTATTTGAAAATAATTAATAATTATTATTCAGCTTTAAATTTGTCTAATGTTCTTTTGTTTGATGATTTTTTTTATTGCAATAAATTCTGATAAATGCCACAGTTAAAATCTGTAATACATTATTTTTTTTATTATTATAAGGCAAAATAAATCCAGATATACATAATTATAGTTAAATTGACATTCTCATTACGGCCCCGGGTTTATAAAACATAAACACGCCCCAGCCGCTTTTATTTATTTCTATGAAGCACCTTATCAGGTTATAATATACCAGTTTATGTATGGGGTGGATAGATAATGAAGGGGATTTGAGCACATGAACCACGGATTCTTTTTTAAATAACCCTAATAACAAATATTTGAAAAATCCTACACTTAAAAAATAATCAAAATTTCAAGATAAAAGTAGGCCACTGGCTAGACACGTGAAGTAGTCATTGATAAGAATCTTATGCAACTTGAAAAAAGACTGTCTGGCTAATCTTATAACAGACCAAAAGATATCAAAATATTTAGTGAAAATTATTTCTGTATAGACTTTAACAAATACCAAAAATTTCTAGTTCTCATTTCAGTGGTTATTACGCATAATTTTAATTTTTTTTGCCCCAAGACGAAATTAGCTATTGTTGTAATAAAATATTTTCTATTCTTTGTTTCAACTTCTTTAATATATTATTGTTTAAAAAGAAAAAATAAAAAAAAAAAAATGCCTGCGCGAAACGGCAAAATATAAAGTTGGATGTTATTATCTTGTTTAGTGTCAAGTTGTGGCACGCCTGCAGCGTTCAATCCAATAAACAACATTATTACTTTTTTCCTCTTTTTTTACCTTCATTTTTGCGCATTAAAACGAGAAAGTTTAATATGTACATGATATTCCAATGCTAATGTCGCTGAAATATGAAATTCCCTTCTCCAATAACAAACTAATACCCGCAATAAAATATTTTCCGCCAAGTGTCATAACAAGAAGTTTAAACGCAGCATGTGTGTCATCCTCTCTCTCCCTCCAATTAAACGAACTTGAATTATGCATATATGATATGAGCCTCTTTAACCAAAAGTGTTTTATCTGACCGTCGATTTGATGATTAATTGTGCTGAGCATGCGCTGAGCATGTACTTAGTTGGTGACTCTGAAACTGTTTGGTTGCAGGTCAATCTCTAATAAAAAAAATCAATCCGTCAAAAAAAATATATATTTCATAATTAGGGAAATGAGAAAAAAACGCGCACATATTAAATGAAAAACGTAATCACTAAAAAAATGCGAGAAATTAATTGCAATTCAAAAAAATCGTATCAAAATCCAGAATTGAAATTGTAATTAGTTGAATTACTTAGAATAATTAAATTAAGTTTTTGCAATTGTTAATTTAAATTTGTTTTGGGTGAATGAGCTTTGGATTTCCGTTTTGTGTGCTGTTAAAAACCTGAGGATGGATATCGTGTCACCGCTAATGTCCAGCGTGGGGGGCGTTAATTACTAGAAACGACTTAAAATTTTGTCAACAACAAAAACGCACTGCTTAATCAGTGAACTGTGTCTCCCGAGCTGGCTGTTGCGACACCTTACACCTTTCCATTAGTTTTGTGAACATGAAAAATATTACTTCTGCTACTAAACAACAAACTAGGCTCGGTTGAACGAATGCTTAAAGTTAAAACGCAAATCAAAACATAAACTTCTAGAGAGAGATTGCAAAACGAAGGTCAAACTAAAAAGTGCAAATATTCTGTATAATCATAAGATTATATTCTAAAAATAATTTGTGGATAATGTCAATGATAAGCTTATGGATTATGTGGTGCTAACTTATAGCAAGTGATAATTTCGCCCATATTTTTTGTAATCATTGCTCCAAAATTACAAAACTATATGATTATAAAAATTAAAAAAAAAAAAAAATTATTAAGAAGAACTCTTAGTCTCAAAAAGCAGCCAAACCACTAAAAAATAAAGATTCATTCAGAAAGGTCAGAAAACATACAATACACAACAGCTCCCTGAAACTAATAATTAAAAATTAAGTAATAAATAATAATTATTCAAGAATTTAAAAAAAAAAATTATTTATTAAATTAACACAGTTTTAATTTAGAGACTGAAAAAGTCACTTTTTTGTTTTCAGAAATATAATTATGCTAAGCCATTATCAAATATTAAATCACTGCACATCAATTCATCCAAAAATTATCACAATATATTTACAATTAAAATTAATTAACGGATCACACATATATTTTAGTGCCTTAAAATTTATTAAGTAATCGTTAGAACCTATTTAGAAGAGTTTAAATTAAAATATTCGGGGAGAAGGGAGGACTATTTTAGAATTTTGAATAACGGTGAATGAACTTTCACCGTGAAAAGCAAAGTCTGCCTGAAAAATTGATATATTATTTGCTCTGTGAGATAAATTGATGCATTCGGTGAATCTTTTTAAGAAACTCCAAATCGGTCTGTTTGATTAGTTTGACCTTTGGCCGGGTGTGCATTTGCTGACAATGAGGGAGATAAGTGTCGTGTTCTCCAGTCTTATTTCTCTCATTCTTTTTTTCTTGAAGCCCCTCGAGCCTCCGGCGAGCGCGCCGACGTAGTGAATCCGCGCTCTGCATGTCAGTGTTTATCATGGGGAGTTGAGTGGCAGTCGCGTTCTTTGATAGACCACTTGCAAGCGGTCCCCTCCTGGATTTGCCTATTTGCTGTTGCAGCTGCAAAAAATCTGCCACTTGTGGATATGATTTCGATTCGCGACCAAGCCTCTCGGAGCTTGAGCTTAAGTTGAAGTGCGATTACAGAGGATTAAAATGCTTATCAAGGTAAATTGGATTATTGGCTTTTCATTAAAATTTTTTTCTCTATCTCAGTTTTGTTTTTCCCGTTTTATTGATTTTGAGACTGAAATTAAACCTACTTTAGGGCAATAAAAAGCATTTATACTTTACTGGAGATTTCCAAATTTAATCTATTTAATGTGGAATCTTAAGGGATTAACTTGACTTTTAACGATCCCCATTGTTTCTGTTTATAGAATTTTAATACTTTTTACTTGCCAACAATTTTAAACATTCTTATAAATATTAAATCAGGGGATGAATATTTTTTAATAATATTAAATTAACATAAAATATTGACACAATAAAGAAAATAATGTAATTTTATTCTTATATCATATGAATGTACTTCAATAATCAAAATAATAAAAAAAAACTTTAAAAATTAAAAATTATAAGTTTTATTATAATATTTTTTAAATTATGTGTTCCTTATTAAAGCATTTTATTTTGTTATTTTTTAACACATATTTTTATAATTTTATTTAATTGTCACCAAATATTGTTTGCACTCTTTGGTATCATATTTTAAGTGATTTTAAGCAAAAATTTTCAATTTTCCCTTTCATTACAATTAGTAATGATAACAATAATCACAATAAATTATTTCAAAAAAGTTTTCAATATAAACACATGTATATTTACAAAAAAAAAATCTATTTTAGGGTGAACGAGGTATTCCTCTGACGGCCCAGCAGCCGAGGATGGCGCAGCAAGAGTGGGTCACCAGAATGTCCCACGATCAAAAGTTCATTTCGAGCACCCTGTTGAGCGACGGCCACAAACAAAGGGAGGCCATGACAGAGAGCACCGTCGTCGTCTACTATCAAGGCAGCCACATTGGAAAACAAAAAAATAGTGAGCAGTTAATTTTGTTTTCTGAAGAAGTAGCTTTTGTTTTACAAATGGACATTTACTTTTTTGCAAATTGATATTCATAGTATTTCTCAAAAAAGGATTTTGCTTTTTTACATTTGAGCTTTACATTTGTTATTTCCACTCCTTATTGGCCACAAAAAATTAATTCTTAATGGAAAAAACTGCTACTTTTTGATAGATTGACTAAAAGAACCGATAAAGATGTGCCGAACACAAATTTTATCAACAAAATGATAAAATAGACATTAATCAAAGCCGCAAATTTGCATCTTATTTTATCATCTTAACGAGCAACTTTACATCAATCCCAACTTATCTTTTGTGCACAGACTGCAAAGGCCATCCAATAAGGAAATTGATTGTCTGCGGACAGGCGCCGTCTCGCATTACACACATTCAATGTTATATAAAAAATCATGCTTTTTATTCTAACCATGAAAGTATAATATCTCGATAACCGAAGAGTTGAAAACAACTCTGTGTGCATCTCCTCGAACGTAATGAAATCATAATAATACATGTTGCGCAGTTATGCAAATTGCAAGATGAAATCGGATCCTGTCGCGCGCGACCAGTTACAATAAATAATAACACCGCGTGACTCTTGTGTGCCTTTACTTTTTTTGATACGGAGTGGCGCTCGGGCGGCGTCCCGCGACCCGGACGCTGAGCACCAAGTGAGCACCAGCGACACCTAACGAGTTGATCGGATAAAAATTCGAAATGCAGCCAGAGAGTGAAACGCTCTTTGTCAGCTGTTGTTGTTTTTTTCATATATTCTACGCGTTTAATCTTTGCTCTCTCGTTGAGAAACATCTCTACAGATAATTTTGTTAAATATGATGTGACCCCTTTAATGCTAGTCAATACAAGTAATGAGTTCGAGTGTCCACGTTTTTGCTGAACTGCAGGTACTGCAAAGTGATTTACGCCCGTCGCGGCGCCAAAAAGAGTTAAATTTATTTGCATAGCACCTCGCGATCGTTGTTTGTGCAGGGATTTTTTCCAGCTCGAAGCAACCGTGGTGCGAATTTCGAAATTAGCAGCCGGCGAAATAGCATCGAGCAACAACGTTGCCGCTCCTATATCTTTTGACTGTAAGTTTGTTTTTTGCAGGTGATGCCAGCATGAGGGGTGCGAGAAGAGTGGTGGCCTTTTGCCTGCTCACGGCGGCAATTCCTACCATGTTGGTCATTTTGCCACTGTACCTGAGAAACACTGTGTTCGCCGAGAGAAATTTTTCGTTGACTGAGTCGGACGTCATGCCACTTGGAGATGGCATTTCTCCATTCTTTTGCCAGGTATAAAATATAATATTAAATTCCGTATATTTGTGGGGAATTTTTCAACTGTGCTTAACCTGTAAAAGTTTAAATTTCTTGCAACCAAACTGTTTAATTGCTCAAATATGCATTTAAAGAATAACTTTTTATAGAAAAGAAAAATTATTGTAGGTATTTAAGCCTAATTGAAAGTTAATGGCTATTTTATAAAATTTTATGGTTGTATTTTGTTTTAATTTTGAGTAAAATTGTTGCCCTTGATCATGAAATTTTTGTGCATTGAAATTCACCAATTTTTTTAATTTCAAAATGCAGGGTCATAGCATCAGAGCAGCTGTAGGGAGATTTTCGGCCCACCAAATGATAGAGGAGCCTGGGATTTCTGATGAGTGGAGGACGGCAACAATCGAGAGGGAAATGGTCATCCCTGACGACAGACTGGAGTACTGGGGCTTCCATCTAATGCCAAAATCCCATTTGAACGTCGCTGTGTGTGCAGGGTATTTATTTTTTTTATTTGGTTATGTTATAATTAACAATTTACGTCATAGCCTCTTAAAAAATTTAATGACTCAATTGATAAAATTTGTTGATCAAACCATTCCTCATAGGAACAGAACTTAATAGAAATGAACTTTGATTATCATGTTTTAAACAAGTAATTATTAAGATAGCAGGTGTTATAAATTTAATTCAAAGTCTAGAGTTAAATTGACAAATTTAATCGATGATCTTGCTATCAGTGATTTATTGTTATTTTGGATCTGTTTGGATATACAAAACTGTTTTCACTACGATTCATGAGCTAAGAAATTAATTATTTTAAAAAATAGCTTTCATAATTTTTTATGTGCTCTAAATCTTTGAAGAAATACCCATTTAAAAAAAAAAAAAAATTCAAAACTACCTTTTTTTACGGTGAAAAAGATTTTTTTACCATCAGTTGATATTTATTAATTTATTTCAATATTTCTTAAAAAAAACAAGTGATCATATTTGTGTGAGGGAAATTATGTGGAAAGTATATATTAAAATAAAATAAATTTAACAATTTTCCAGGTCTCCCGGTGCGCGTCTTTTAGTGGTGCGAGGGGAGAAGAATCTCGAGTTGTGCGGCCTCCTGCAACCCCCATTGTCCTTGGAGGCTACAACTCCATCCATAGTCAACAATGACGAGATTACCTTTGAGGAACACCTTGAGGAGACAGGACCAGTTGACCCAGACGAAGCCGAGAACACAGGTGCCGAAATCCTGGACAATTTCGATTTGGACGCTGCTCAAAACGAAACGGAGGAGCACCACAAGCACCGACATGAACGGAGTCGCTTGAGGGCCAAGTTGGCCAAAATCAAAAGGGAGACTCCGGCCGACGAGGAGGCGACGACTAAACGAACAAAGTTCAACCACTTGTCGGACGCAGCGCATTTCGAAGGGGCCATCGAACACGGTGGAAATGCGGATTGGAACATCACCGAACCAGAAGGTGGTGGTTCCTCTGTGTCCAGTTTTGAGGCTGGACTTATGACTTGTTTTAAGGTGACTCTAAAATTTTCAAATTGCAGATTTTATTCTAATAATATTGTTGAAAAATTTTTAGTTCAAATTAATGTTATAAATTTACTACAAGACAATTTTTACCCGATTTTAACTTTTTCTCGCTCGATTTGATTATTGAAAACAAATTTAATAAAATATAAATAAATTTATTGATTTCCAATAATTTCATTTTAGGGCAAAACATTGTTCCAAAGAGGATTTGAATCAAGTGGCAAAATGTGTGAAGAAGCCGACTGGACGGGTTCCATGCATTTGAGCCAAACAATTCGGACCCAGGGACATTTTTACTACGTTTTCTACTCAGACAACGACCTCGACATCAACCACATTAAGGCGCGTTTCTTCATCAACGCGACCAGACTTGACTTCTCGTCTGCCCCCTACAGATGCCAAAATGCAACAGAATGCACTTTTACTAGGGACTTTTTGGGAGGAGACGGTGTCGTTTACATCGAGGCAGAGTCCGACCTGGAACTTGTGTCCACCTGCGAACCGAGGATTGCCGTCTACCTCATGTTCCCAGTGTGTGCAATTGTGTTTGTGCTGATTTTTGGTCTGCTGTAGGCCGCGAAAGTTGTGATAATACCAAATATTCCCCCTATGTGTGTAGAATATTTTATGAAAAAAAATAAACGCTCTAAAGAAGCTGCAAGACTGAAAAACTTACCGCCAAGTTTGATAATTACGTGAAAAGTTTTATAATTTGATAAGGAGAGCTGCGTTCAAGCAACTTAGTGGACAGATTTGAGAAATGACAACATTTTATTTATAGAAATTAAATGCTATCAAAAAATATAACAATAATAACGACATGGAGATGAAAATAATCTAATTAATCAAAAGTAATGATTAGTAAATGAAAATAAAAATGGAAGAAATTTACTACGAATTTTCAACTGCTGCTCATTTAATTCGCATCACCTGTTGAAAACGTGACAGAGAAAAAGACTAGAGGGAACATTAAAATTATTTCGCAACATTTCGCTGACGTGCAAGGCCAACAGTGTGTTGCTCTCTTCCTGTTGCCGATTCGTTTTTCCTGTGTATCAGTATTTCCAGCAGCGCAGCCATGAAGGTTGGATGGAAAATTGATTCTGGAAAAATTGATAAAATAACTTTTCCACAGTTTTTAATACTAGCATTGACTACCCTCTGCATATTTGGCGCAGTTTTTGCGGCTCCAAAAGAATCTGTCGAAAATGATGGAAAAAAGGAAGAAGTGGAGGTGCAGGGAGAGAAGGACGCTGAAACAAAATTAGTGCGTCCTGCACCACCGAAATCAGCAGGTGTTCAAGGAAACGGGAAAAATGATGGGCAACAAAAGCAGCTAAGGTTTAAAAAAAAGAAAAAATGGTTTAATTTTGACTAAAATATCCTCTTAAAAATTCATCCAGAGTTTCCAGAAAGTTACAGAAAACTAATTCAAAATCTAGGAACGGAAATAAAAATGGTGTCATCAGGAGTAAGTCCGGTAGGCAGCAGTCTGGTGTTCGTTCTGCAGGAACAAAGGGCAAGGCTGGAAGACAGAGTGGAAGCACCCCTGATTATTACGGCGCCTACGACTACAATTATTACAACTACAACTCTGGAGGCAATGGTGGTGGTGGCCGCAGGAAAAAGCATGGCAAGGGCGGCTCGTCTGAAGAAAATTAGTAGAGGAGATCATGGAACGCGGTGCATAAATCACCACAGTTATAAACTCTCTATTTTGAGGAAGAAAAATTAAAATTCAAAGTCTAATTTGTTTTCATTGACATTTAAAAGAATAAAATTAAATAAAAATTAGGAACAAAATCTTGTTGCAGTTTTATTTGAAGTAATTCTTCTTATAACCATCCACAGGAATAATATGTCGGTTGAAAAATCATAATTATATTTTGAAGCGGAGCAAAGAGAACCAAACCTTATAAATCACGAAAAAATGTATCCCTATAGAATCAACTTAACTTATGGTGAATTTTTACCACTCTACAACTTCCTTTTAACGATTTGGATAGAGGATTTTGTTTAAAAATTCAATCTCATGGCTGGCTAAAAGGCATTATTAAATGCGATTTTATTCCCTTTGAATTTAGATTACAATTTAAGGCTAGTGTGGCCTTACGTTGGGCAATAAATTCTCTGAATTAAAATTTTATGCATGCCGATAGTGAATTCAAGGCCATTAATGAATATTTCACAGAAAAGGCAAAATAATTATTGATGATAGGTTATTCCCAAATTAGAAAACCCTTCAGAAAATGTGTGTTCAAGTTGTTAGACAAAAATATAACTTTATCTTTTTGTACTCCAACAGGAGCAACAAAATCTCAAATTTGAAACTCTGCACGCTCTGATGGCCTAATTTAGATAAATTGCTTGTCAAATTGCTATATAAAATGACACATGGTTCTCGGAAACCAGGAGTGCTGGCGTGGCTGGAATTTCCACTTTCTGTATCCTGCACCAAGCAGGAGTCAGATGAGCTTCATATTCTGAGGAGCAAAGTTCCGATCATGATTCGCTCGGTATGATCATAAATATCATAGCATTTCAGATAGTGCAAAATTTTTATTCGTCTTTGTTTTTTTACTAATTCACAAAAAATATTTTATTTAATTTAAAATGGCAGAAGTTGCTGTTGATTTTCCTCGCATTTTTTGCCTTTGTCATCGGAGCAGTATCAAGTGCTGCTATCAAGACAGTGGACGAAGATGATGGAGATGAGTCCGCGATTGCAAGTGTAAATGAAGCGAAGGTTGCAGCCATAGCTCGACCTGCGCCACTGGCATTTCTGGCGGCAGGAGCAAATAATGGTGGCAGAAAAGGACCAAAAGGACAAAAACCAAACCAGCAGAAGTATAAAAACCCTATTTGAATTATATTTCAAATTATAACAAAAAAAAATTGTAATTGCGAGTAGAAGCCAGAGACAGGGAGGAGGTAATCAGGGTGGTCCTGGGGGCTCAAGTGGTCAGGGCAGTCGCGGGGGTCCCGGTGATCAGGGAGGTCCCGGGGGTTCCAATGGTCAGGGAGGTCGCGGGGGTTCCAGTAGCCAGAGAGGATCTCGAAGTGGTCAGGGAGGTCAGAAAGGTAACAAAGGTCAGGGAGATCAGGGAGGTCAAGATCAGGGAGGACAGGATCAGGGAGGACAGGATCAAGGAGGACAAGATCAGGGAGGTCAGAGTATTCAAAGAGGTGGGCAAGGAGGAAGGGGAGGTCCAAGTGGTCAAAGAGGTAAGGGAGGTCCTGGTGGCCAAGGAAGTATGGGAGGCCCGGGTGGTCGAGGGGGTAGAGGAGGTACGGGTGGTCAGGGTCAGTCAGGAGGAAACAATTCTGGTTCTGGCAACAGAGGCCCACCTCAAGATGGCAATGATGCAAGTGGATCTGATGGTTCTGCTGATGTTAATGGTGGAGGTGCTGATGCATGAATGATTTTCTAATAAAGGAAAACTGCATACACATATCTAAATTTTGTGTTTTATTTTTGTGCATAAATAATTTGCATATGATTTCTATTTAATTTAGTACATACTAATAAAGCGTTATCATATTTTTATTTTCCCTGTGAAAAAAGTCATGCAAACTGAATGCAATTTCGACAGAAAAGAAAGCAAAATTTTCTTCTACAAAATACTTATTGATCAAAAGTAATTGTGTGCTGGGAACGCTGCTCTTTATTATCATTCAAGATTGGTCCGAAATAATCAAATTTCTGTGGCTTGCCAAATTAAATAGAGGATCCATATTTTCATTTATTAGTATTTGTATTCATTTTGATCAGTTTTCAACTTGAAATTATTTTCTGAACCCAGTTCAAGACTAGAACTTAAATTATAAATTTATTTATTGTTATATACATATTAATGTGTTCAGAAATTGTTATGGATTAAAAAGAATCTACCTCAAGGATATTTTGTTCCACGGCAAACTTTTAATAAGAAGAAAAAACGGATTATTGTGGAGTAAGACGTCAGACTGAGCCATTTCAAATTCTTTTAGTCATAACTTTTGGAAGTAAAGACGTAAAGACTCGGCACCTCAAAACGTGATTCTTAAATTAATTACTCTATGCGCAATAACAGATAAGGTACCCGAATAGCTTCACTAGGTCTACAATCTCTTGTTTCTGCACACTAGCGCACTTTCCGTCACAATTAAATAGAATTGAATTAAAATAGCAATAAAAAAGACGCTACCATAATGTTTAGAGACTTATTAAATGGGTAATTTATGTATTAAAAACTTGTGACCAATCGCCTTTACGTGGAATTACGTTCCAATTAAGAAACGATATATTCACAAGTTATATAATAATATAATTATTTACCGTTTTGAGTGGTTTTTTGCGGTTTTAAATTCTCATAAAATAAGTAATTTGTGTTAACTTTCAAAAAAGAAAAAAAAAACTAAAGAGCCAAAAATATAATTAAGATAAATGAAAATAAATATGCTATAATAAAATTAGTAAAATATAATACAATATACATGAGATTCCCCTCGCATTCGGATCTGAAAATTTGACGCGAAACAAGCACTCGGACGCAGATTGCTAGTGTTTCGCAGGATACTATAGCCAGGCGTGCAAGGTCGATTCATATTTTTGCTCTTCCGGCCAAGCATTCATATCACCGTGCTATACACGTATCACTTCCCGCAGCGCAGTCATGAAATGCAAGGCAAGTTTCATGAAAAATTAAAACGACGAAGTAATTAATTTTAATTAATTTTTTTTATAGATTTTAATATCTGCATTTATCATCCTCTGCATTATTGGAGCAGTTTTTGGGTTTGCGGATAATGATGAGGAGCCACGGAATGATATTGTTGCAAAAGACAAGATTCTAAAGGACGCTGCACCAAAACCAGCGCGTCCTGCACCACCATCAGACAAATCTCCGGCTTTTCGAGGAAACAGGGATGGGCAGCAGCGCAGGTTTCAGCTTCCAATTTAATTTGGATTTTTTTTATAAACGAAACAAAAAATTCATTACCAGAGCTCTCAGAACTTCAAGACTAAAAAACTCGGCGGTTTCAAATGGAAATCAAAGAAGTGCTGCTAGAAATAAGGCCATAAGGCAGCAGTCGGGTGTAAGGCCGGCGGGGTCTTCAGGAAGGGGCAAGTCGGGAAGACAACAGTCCGATGGCTCGAGTACGTCCACGCCTGAATTCAATTACGATTATTACGGCGTCGAAATCACTACCTATGCGTACAAACGTCGTGGTCATAGAAGAGGCAAGGGACATAAGAGGTATCGCAATCACGGACCTGACGAGACTTCAGAAGAGGACAAGGTCACTGGAGATTATGGAAATTATAACTACGGTGGATAAATTGTGTTTTGATCTTTTTTTAATTAAAATAGCAATATTAAAGTCGATACAAACTGAAAGCTAAATCATTTGCACAATTCACGGAAACATGCATGAGGAATCAACTTAATCAAGTCATGTTTGAAAAAAAAATTTGTTACATTACTGACGTTCAAATGCAATAATTAGAGCAATTCTGTAAATTGTACTTTAAAAGAGGAAAAAAACTTTTGGAAAATAATATAATAATTTTTTTACACTTAAAAACTAGAAACAAAGGCGGCGCGCGTTTTTCTTCTAATAAGTATTAAAAAATCTGCAACTAAACAAAAATTGACAAAAATTATGAATTTGAACAAATTTATTTTATGGTTGAATTTTATTGTAATATTTTAAGCAATATAATAGGCAGTGTCTGCAGTGATTGCCTTTCTGATATAACAATAAATATCATCATTCACCTCGAAAAATGCTGTAGAAAAAATCAGAAGCCTGTAATAACAGCATTAACACCAATTTAAGCAAAAAGATTTTGTTTAAAGCCGCCTGCGGAAATGAGACTCTTCATCCTCATTATTATTGATGGGCGTAGATGTGCCCTTCGATTCCTAGACAACCGAATATGCTAAATTTTGTAATAGCCGATGACTGGATCACAATAAAGTTGCTTGAACTGCTTGAAGTATTATACATCTCTTTATAAAAAGATTTTAATTATTTTGAAATTCTTTATTATTTAAAACGACTTTCGATCGTGAAAATAGTTTTTTTTTAAACAAATCAATTCAGAGGATATCTCATAATTAATATTAAATTAAGGTATTGAAGTTTTAAATGTTTTATTTTTAGCAAAACGTTATAATAATTAATCATTAGAAAATCATCCTAAATAATGAAAAATTTTATTTTGCAATCATGATTCATTGCCATCGTTTGACTTGTGATATATAATCATTATAGTACATTTGAATTAAGAAATAATTCAGGTATAACTAATTTCGACAGTGGAGTTTGTTCTATCTCTTTCTATTGCGAATTAAATAATGTGTACGAGAATCATGTAGTTGAAAAAAGCTGGACGCAATAATTAAAAAGAGCTGTTTCGCTTTGAGGGAAATGGAAACCGCGCTGACGTTCCCATAAATATGTCAAATAATTTTGATAAAATATTGACTGTCAACTTTGAATATCGAGGTGGCAGAAAAATGTTTTGCAATGTAATTATAGGCTACGTAGTGCTGACGTGATTTTTACACATCCTGCCTCGAATCGATCGACTGCTCTGATCAACTGCTCTCATTTACTAATTAGCTCGCAGCTATGGAATGCAAGGCATGATATAGTCAGAATTTTTAAGTCAGATTCTAAATTAATATTCAAAAAATTAGAAACTCCTTTGTGCATTTGCTTTTCTTTGCCTTGTCGCTGCAGTTCTTGGCTTTGCCGTAGGGGCATCGGACGAAAGAAAGGAATTAGAGGGAACGAAGGAAGAGAAAAAGGTCGATGATGAAAACCAAAAGGGCGTGGAATTGAAGAAGGAAGATCAAAAGCCAGTACGACCTATACCTTCAGATGGAAAGTCGGGAGCGTTCATTCGAGTGAACAGAAATGGACAGCAGAGGTTTGATTGGTTAGAAGTTGCATAATTTTCACAAACATCTCAAAGAATTTTTGTGATAAGGCCGGCCAGAAGGGCACAACAGAAGAGTAGAAACGCAGCTTTGACAATTAACAAGCAAAATGCACCAAGGGTTTTGGTTAACACGCAGAACGTTGCACCGAGAATTCCACCTTATCAGCAGCCTGGACTTTGGCCAGCAGGGCCTGTAAGAGATGTCAATACTGGCCGGGGAATTGTCAACACAGGCGAATTCCATTACGATTACCCTGAAAACCATGACGTGTACGATGTCAAGTACGTGTATCCACGGCAGAATCGGAAGCTGACGACAAAAACCAAACCGAAGAAACAACAACATGGGTCTGACGAAACATCAGAGGAGCAAATTACAACTGTTAAAAATCAAGTCAACCCGTACTTTTACTATGAGGATCACAGTTTCCCATGATTTCAATAATGCAAAAAAAAATTAATAAAATTATAATTTTACCTTTTCACAATATTATTTTCTTTTGATTTAACAAAATTATTTAATATATAATAATGATTTACAAGGGAATATATCAGGTTGAGTTTTTTGTAAACAAATTCTAGTCAGTTAAAATTTTTATCAAAGAGGCTTTTTCAGATCCATGCAAAATTAAGATTTTCTTGAAGGAGAACAGGCAGGGGTTGAAATTGGCGAAATGGAAAATTTAGTCAAATTGCGATTTTATTTTTCCTCTTTTTTATAAGAAATAAAAAGGATATTTTACAATAAAATCCAAGGATCACAAGAAGTGAACCAAATATGTAATGAATTTGAACAAAATAAAAATTAGCCGTTAAACGATCAAACTCTATTTCAAATTAAAAGAACAAAATTTTATATTTAAATTTTTAAGAAATATCTGATAGGTATATACAAAATTTTCAAATAGACTTTCCTGACTTTCTAATAACAAAATAAGCACGATTTGTAAAAAAAAATTAATGCATAGATATTTATAATAATTGAGCAAAAATATGTGCTTGTGTTTTGTAATAATTTAAAATTGTTAATAATTGCATTGTAGGAGCAGATTTTGGGTTTGCGGATAATGATGAGGAGCCACGGAATAATACGGTAGCGAAAGACAAAATTCTAAAGGACGCTGCACAAAAACCAGCGCGTCCTGCACCACCATCAGACAAATCTCCGGCTTTTCGAGGAAACAGGGATGGGCAGCAGCGCAGGTTTCAGCTTCCAATTTGATTTGGATTTTTTTTTATAAACATAACAAAAAAAAATAAATTATCAGGGCTTCCAGAACTTCAAGACTAAAAAACTTGGCGGTTTCAAATGGAAATCAAAGAAGTGCTGCTAGAAATAAGACCATCAGACAGCATTCAGGTATTAGGGCGGCGGGGTCTTCTGGAAGGGGCAAGTCGGGAAGACAACAGTCCGATGGCTCGAGTACGTCCACGCCTGAATTTAATTACGATTATTCGGCGCCGAAACCACAACCAATGCGTACAAACGTCAAGGTCATAGAAGAGGCAAGGGACATAAGAGGTATCGCAATCACGGACCTGACGAGACATCAGAAGAGGACAAGGTCACTGGACTTATCTGGAATTATCTGATACACACAAAAAATTTTAAATTGACAAACTTTCTAATAACAAAATAAGCATGATATGTAAAAAAAAATTGGATGCATAGAAATTGATAATAATTTTGCAAAAAATGTGCTTGTGTTTTGTTATACTTTTAAAATTGTTAATAATTTTTTTGCACATCTAATTAAATTTCGATTGACGTACATGCTTAGTCATAGATATTGGCGCACGCGATCGCATATGGTCGACTGCATCACAACGACCAATGGCGCACGTCCATGTCAAACTTCCTGACTCTGGTGTTCTACATTACGTTTTGCAGGAACAAAATGACGTAGTTTAGATTTCGACTCTGAACAACATGAAGCTCTCAACAATCGTATGCATTATAACTGTTCTCAATTACAATTTTTAATTCTAAATCTTCCAGTTGATTCTGTCCACCTTTGCGCTGGTGGTGCTCTTTGCTGTAGCATCAGGACAGGAGCCTTCGACCGAGGTGAGCGCCAAAAATACTCCCGCGTCTAATGGCGCAGCTCAAGGCGCGGACACAAAAGCGGCTGGAAAGAATAAGAATCGGAAGAAGTTGACTCGTTTGCAGCGAAAACTGAAACTTAAGGAAAAGCTGGCCAAAATGACTGCAGAAGAAAAATCTGCATGGAAGTCTGAAAGGGCATTAAAAATTGCAGCTAGAAAGAAGAAGCAACAAGAGCAGACACAACAAAATTAGCAAGAAGTTATTTAGAAAAATGCTATTAATCTGTAGCCCAACATTAATAAAGGCTATTTTATAAATTAACTAAAACTTATGAAAATCATTTACAAATAAATATTCATGGGGTAGTAATTAATCTGCAGTATCACATAGTAAATGAGGATTTGTTCTTCCAGTTAATATAATAATTTCCCATAAAACAATAACTATTTTAATGCCCAACGCATATCAATTTATATACTTGTATTAAAAAAAACATAAATAAACAATATTCTGCAGCCATTTGGATAAATTACTTCGGAAAGTAAAATGTTTCAGTTTTTTAGAATAATATTTGAGATGTGGATTTGCAGTAGTTTTTGAGATGTTTTAATTTTAAAGTTTATTGTTAAAAATTGACCATAATTGAGTGGGCTCTTGAGCATTGTTTTTCTGAAAGTGGCGGTTAACAACAGAAATCTTACGTTTTTTTTTTTACATGAGAACCATGTTCATTTTAATCATTAGTGTTTTGATAATTCCACGGATTTTATATCAAAATTTTTATACCAAGGCTCGTGTTTGTCTTTTATAAACGTTTTTTAATCTTACAAGTACTAGCGAGTTATGCAAGTTGCATAAATCGGTCAATACCATAAACAGTATTTGATCTCTTCCAAAATAGATAGCTTTAAGCTTTCCACTATAAAGTAAAAACTGAACACCAGTGTTTACACCTTACGCTATTCAAAATTTTCTGTGGCAGCTTAACCACAGCCTAATTTTGATGAATTGCGTGTTGACAAATGACTCGCGATGACCGGGAGCGCTGATGCGATTGGGAATTTGCATCCTGAGTCACAATATTGAACGAGCTCTACCTCCTGAAGAGCGAGTTTTCCACCATGGACCGCTCGGTACGTTTCCAAAAAGGAAAATGAAATCCGACCTAAAATGAAGGGCTTTCTAAATTTTTATTTATTTATCAAATTTAGACACAGAGAGCTCCGGAGGACAAGGAAAAAGTGGAAAGAAGCCATGCAAAAATAAAGGCAAAGGAGGAAAAAATAATGATTACGCATCAGCAGATTATCCTACTGATGATGGCGCTGTTGAATATTAAAATTTAAAGTTAAAGACAGCTTGAAGTCCACTTGCTTTCACGCTTTATAAAACACAATGATTGAAAAAAAAAATATATAATTAGAGCTCCTAAACTGATTTTCACTTATTTTATAATCTAAAATTTTTAATGAAAAAAGATTCTATGAAATTAAGCATTAAAATTTGTTTAAAAAAAAATATATATAGCTTTAAAACTTCGGTGCGGATTTAAAATGCTATATAAATTTAAAAATACGGAAAAATTAGTCATCACTTAAATTTTATCAAATTACGCAAATTTTTAGTGTTTAAGATTGAAAAATGAAAAAGCTGCAATGTGTAAATTAAAAAGTAAGAAATACATTAGAAATTTTACTCTTTGAAATGATATTCAGCGTTCGATCAGAAAGCAAAAATTCACAGGAATAACCCGAATAACAAAGCCACAACATCCTTTTCATCCAAGGACATCATGGCGTGTGCGGAAAATATATAGAATTGATGCAGTGGTTGCTACACACCGGCAGCAGCACCATGAAATACGCAGTGAGTATTGATTTCAAAAACACAATTTCTCAACAGCGTTGAACTGTTTCATATGATATGATTAATTTTTTTTATTGCAAATTGCAACAAAATGAAAATTAAAAATTTTATTACGCAAATTAGGTGCATCTGTTGCTTCTGACGGTGGTGCTGGCGGTGGCTTTTAGTAGCCCTGCAACTAAGCCAAAAGAAAACAAGCAAGCTGCAGCAAAAAAAGCAGCAAACTCGGGCAAGAACGTTCACAAAGCCGGGAATACTAAAAAGGCCCAAAAGGCGAAGGGAAAGAAGTCCCAAAGTTGGAGCTATAATGAAAACGACGATGACTCATATCCCGATTCTTACAAAGATGATTCTGACAATGAATATGGAAGCGATTCCTCAGGATCTGGTTCTTGGGGTGACGAGGGGCCGAGCAAAAGATTTGGAATGTATTAATTCCTTGATATTTCTTCTAGACATGTCACTTAATTTCTCAATTTTCAGGGAGAGTTTCTATAACGACGATTATGAATATGATTATGATTCGGACTATGATGACCTCTGCGTTTCCCGGGGCTCACCATTTATTATGATGATGTTTTTTGCACCTCCCCCTGGATTCTTTGGTGGAGGACCAAGTAGGATGGGGTATGGTCCGATGGATGGTGTCTTTATGGGAGGTATGAGAGGGATGGGTGGAATGGGGATGGGGGGAATGGGAGGGATGCGTGGAATGGGGATGGGGGGAATGGGAGGGATGGGAGGAATGGGACGTTTTCCTCCACCACCTCCACCTTGGGAAGAAGACCCTGGCTATGGTGAATACGGGGGCATCGAATATTCACCTGACAAGCGAATCAACAGCGGAAAAATCCCGTCGACTGGAAACAAAAACGCCAAAGATTTGCCAGCAAAGCAAAAGGCCGCAGCCTCTAATAAGAAAGGCAAACCAGCTCCAATCACTACAACCACGAAGGCAGCCGTAAATAAGCGACCAAATAAAAACAACAACATTAAGAAAACTGTGGGTTAAAAAAATCAAAATAAATAATTTGATTCATCCGTTTGCAATCATGACGCAAATAAATAAGATATACAATAGACTTTTTTAAATAATCATTTATAAACCTAAACTTTTCGCAGAATTATAAATATATTTTTCATGACCAAGCCCGTTGGCTCAGTGGTTATAGAATGTCGCATTCTGATCAGTGAGTTGCTCGGCCGTCATAGGATCAATGCTCAGCCTGAGAGGCGCTTTGTGAAAACAAAGAGCGTCTGGTAGGCGACTAGAATTAATTAATTTTGACCCAATAGCGGTTCGCCGGACTTGGTCCGAAAGGAAATATTCCGAAAGTGACTTTCTGGACTTTATCCGAAAATTTGGAAATAGTCCGAAAAAAATCGGAATTCATCCGAAAGGAAATGGGCCGAAAAAAATCGGAATTAATCCGATAACCGGCTATGAAAATAATACCGTTTTTTGTTTATCAATCAACTGCATTAGGAGTTTGAACATAAACAAGTTTAGTGCTGAGTGAGATAAAAGGAAATGGCACTTCTTATACCTGGCAAAAAGTTTGGGAAAACTGTGTGATTTTGTAATGCGGCTGAGATATATTTTCATAATAAATTAACGACTACTAAAAAGCCAAACGGATAAAGGATAAACAAATGCATATTATATATTCTTGATTTTGTAGAAAATATTATATAGCCGTCCTGAGAAAATCGCCTGTCACTCATCTATTTTGCGAAAAAAATATAACACTAAAATTTGATTCATAATTATTATAATAATCAGTGATTCTGAAAGTAAAAAATAATCCAAATAAATTTGTAAATTTGATAAATATGTTGTGATTATTTATTTTATGAAAAAATATGAACATAATTATTACAACGATGCCCATGGACTTTCCGCAGCGGCGCTGCAATTTCAAATGTGCAAATCGTGTGCGTCAAATAATTTATAGTTCAAAGGCAACTCCTTGCAGCAAGCAACCATAATCCACATTTCCATCGGTGACATGAAATCTCTTATCTGTTTCTTTTCTCTGTATAGGAAGCCCGTCTTGACAACTTCCCTCACATTGTGAGGCACATAGAGGGTGGTACTGTGGTAATTGGATGAAAAAATTAATATTAAAAGGATTTAATACAGTATAACCTTTCAAATTACTTTTCTATGTTGAAGCTGCTGCTCAAAGTCTTTCTCATTATTCCAGATGGTTCTGCTACTCCCATAAAATAGGACTGAAATGGTCCGCCTGAAACCGGAATTCTTCGAATTCTATTGGTGTCCGAAAAATTGCCATAAATAAAAATTAGTATGCTCGCCACACATAAAAAAATTATTTTACCTGGTCTTGTAGCCCTTCTGAGTCGGCAGGTCTGCTTCGACTCCGGCTCCTCTTTCTTTCTTACTGTTGGACCACTGTGGTTGCTGCCTCTGGGGTTGCTGACTACCCGACTCTTCTGCAGCTCTGGTCAGAAGAGCTGCCGTATATGATGAGGATAACCTCGAACTCTATTGTTGTCCGAAAAACTGCCATAAATAAAAATTAGTATGCTCGCCACACATAAAAAAATTATTTTACCTGGTCTCGTAGCCATTCCGAGTCTGCATGTATGCTTCCACTCCGGCTCCTCTTTGTTTCTTACTGCCGGACCACTGTGGTTGCTGCCTCTAGGGTTGCTGCCTACCCGACTCTTCATTTTCTGCAGCTCTGGTTCCTTCGTGTTTTGCTGCTCGTGATGAGACCTGAGGTGGGTGAGCAAAATCTTGTCTGCGTCCTCTGTGAACTCCACCGGTTTGGCAGATCGCTTGAGCGAGACCAATCGGGAGTAGAAGAGGACAAATCATCTTCATAACAATACTGCTTAGCACCGTCCAAAGGAGAGCTAGAGCTTCAAACAGAAAGTCTCGAAATGCACTTTTTAATGCTCTCGGGAATTCTTCTGCAAATCCTATCCAGAAGTGGTATAGGATCCTCTTGAGGCGCGCATACATCCTTTGATCTTGACTCTCTATCAGGCCGGGATGGTTTTGAGTTTCCAAGTATTCCTGCCATTCTTTTTTGAGCTGCCACAGGGATGCTTCTAGACCACTTAGCATGGACTCCTTGAGAACCCGCAAAAATAGTAGCCAAAAGAATCCAGCTCCGAAGATGTGGAGGAGGCGTTTCGTGGTCCACTCATCAAGCAACTCGCCTGTTATGTTAATAGGTAATTGGTTCTTAAAATTGTTCTCAAAAGTGTCAATGATGAATTTAAATTGGCATTCTCAACAATTGGCGCGTACAATGCATTATTTAAATTGTTTTATAGCTAGATTCTAGCTCTGTTAAGGCGTTTTCATGGTTTCATTGTTGTTTGATTATTGAAATTACAAGTTTGCAACAATCGAAAATGAAATTTTTTAATCGATCGAAACCCCTTGCTAAATTTTGAATTTTTTTCTATTGAAAGATTTAGAAACATAATAATATAGTGATGCCTACAACTCAAAATTGGGCAAGGATGACGATTTTGATCTTTTAAATGGGAGAGATGTTGTTTTAAGGGTGATTTTTTTACGATTTTGTGCCTTTTTATATGAAAGCGTGAGAAAATCTTAATTTTCACTTCATCAATATTGAATTATGTAGTGCTAATTTAACCTCTATATAAATTTTCATTTATCAAACCTGCGTGTTTCTACAGAAATTAAAAATTCCTCATCAAATTTATAAAATAAAAATTATTACGAGTTGTCCAGGAAAAAATTAAAGCAGTTTTTTTAATTTGAAAAAGTTAAGGATTTTTCTTTTTGGTATACGGTAGGTGGAACAAAAAATTTGAAATTAAACACCTGCCTCTCATCTATTTTGCGAAAATTTGATTGATAATTTAAATTATTATTATTATCCAATAATCAGTGATACTGAACATAAAACACTATTCCAAACAAATTTGTATCAAATTGATCAATATGGTGTGACTACTATATCTATCTATGAAGTTATATAATATTAATTTGTACAAACTACAAATTAGGCAAATCTCATGATGGATGTACTGTTTTTTAGAGTTAGACAATGGATCAACCGGGGAGGAAAATGTAAAAATAAGAGTTCAAAATTCTTAGTAGCCCTCACCGCCAATAAAGGAAAACGTCAATCCAAATCCGCTTGGCTTCTGCACTGGGTGCTTTTATGTGGTTGGTGGTTGGTGCGCTCCTGAGCACTTGACCCAAAAGGTAAGACCAGGTTAAGGTTTTTCAACAAGTTCAAGTGGTCTGCGTAGTCTTCCTCTATTTCGTACTATAGTTTCAATTATTTAAAATTTTAAAGAAATTAAAATTTTTTTTCAAGTCTGTATTAAATCAAAATTGGACCAAAAGAATGGTGTAAAACGTTGCATGCAGTTTAATTCCTTAATTTCTGCTACTGATCTTATAAATACAAAAAATATCCTTTTCTAGGCAAGGGAATTTTTAAGATTTTTGGGGTATTTAAAAGTTGTTTGATTGTTTTATAGATTTTGAACTTAAACAAATAGATATTAAAAAAAATGGGATAAAATCAAAGTTGAAGTATTATTTTATTTGACAGTACGTAGTTGAAAGTAAGGACAAACTTGCCTAATTATAATGCTGTAGCATAATTCCTTGAGAAAATTACCTTGAAATTATGCTCCGCCTCTGGCCTTTTTCTCATTTTGATTGGAGTAGTATGGACAGAACAGGGACAAGATCTGTCAAAAATGAACCACTCGATCTTTATTTTAGGCACATCTTGTGGAGGCAGCCGCGGCAAGAGACGTTGTTCAAGACCACACGGTTGCACCTGATGACCTGGACTCATGTCAAAGAGAGACATAGAGAATTCAATATAAGTTTAATAAAACATAAATTATACTGATGAATTACAATTTACATTTGAAATCGTTAAATTTCTTTTGAAATATAAAAATGGAAAAATAGAACAACACAATCACCACAAAACTATACTCGAAAAAATTACAAAAAAGCACACTCTGCGCTCGAACAAAAATGCGGAGTCAATTTTGTTTTAAAGAATTTAATTTTTAGCTTTCAATAGCATCTTAATTTGAGCGTCATGGAGTAGAAAGAATGAAACAGACCTGAATAATCCAAGGAACACTGCCTTGCCTAAAGAGAAAATAATCAAACAGTGATAATGGTGCTGGATAATTCAGCCGCTTTGAATTCATGAATACCTGTCTATAATTAAATAAATAAAATGATTACATAAATAAAGCTGCTGATTTTTTTTGCCAAATATAAATAAAAATCTTATTAAAAAAAACTACAATTAATTTTCTAGAACTATGATTTTGCTCAAGTTTATTTTCTATGCTTGTTTGCCTGTGCCTTTAGTGGGGGTTTGGTGTCTGGAAGCCTGACCGACAGTTAAAAGTATTCGTAGCTGGACGAGGCGGGCAAAAGTCTGCTGTTAGACTCGGCCTCTTGCTGCTTCACCTGCGGGCAAAAGCGGCGAAATATTAAAACGCATCGTCAAATGACAGGGATGACGTTAAAGGCGTTTAAATTTAACAAAGAAAAACTTCACTCCAGTTTTGACATAATTTGTGCAAAATTTCATGAGGAATCGAATGGTTGTTTCAATTTTTTTTAAATGTGCGGTCCAACTTTCAAATTGTAGTTTGAAAATTTGAAGTCATGAAAAATGACTTTGAACTTTGACCGAAGACTTTTTACTCAATATCAAAGTTGTAGAAATCGTCAAGACAAATTCAGTCATACCCGAAATTTTGGTATACGATCAAGAGAACCCGATAAAATAGGGTTTTTTCAATTTTTTCAAAATGTCCCATAAAACCCGAAATTTTGAGGGGCGTTGCTTCCAAGTCATGCTTGTTATTCTGTGAAATTCTCAATTGGCTAACTTCAAATTTGGGCATGGCGTGTGAAAACAGAAAGAATTGCACTATTCGCAGACCCAAAAACTGCCCCAACGTCACAGCAGGTGATCAATGCGAATTTTAAAATCTAATATATTATTTGCTGCTGTTTTAATAAAAAATAAAAAAGATTTTCACGACAGAATCACAAGAAATGAATTAACTACGTAATGAATTTGAACCAAATCAAATTTAGCCGATGAACTATAAAACTTTAAACAAGTGCAAATTAAAATAAAAAATTGTTGTAATGAAATAAATTAAGAAATATCTGATAAATTTATTTTAAATTGATATCCTTAAAATACAAAATAAGCACGATTTGAAAAAAAAATAAGTAGAAAATGATAATTATTTTGTTATAAATGTGCTTGTGTCGCATTATAGTTTCAAAATTGCAAATTCTTTCTTTTGAGCATCTAATTAATTTTTTATTGATGTACATGCTTAGTCGTAAATTATATTGGCGCGCGTGATCGCATATGGTCCATACAGAGATTCAGATAAAAATTTCGGCTGCATAACAACGATCAATGGCACAAGTCCTTGTCAAACTTCCTGACTCCAGCGTGCTACATTAAGTTTTACAGTAAAAAATGACGTAGTTTAGATATCAACTCTAAACAACAATGAAGCTCTCAACAGTCATATGCACTATAACTATTCTCCAATTACAAATTTTAATTCGAAATCTTCCAGTTGGTTCAAACAACAAAATTAGCAGGAGAGAAAATCCAGAGAATTACTATCGAACTGTAGACCAACATTAATTAATTAATTAATTAAATTAACTAAAACTATGAAATTCATTTGCAAATAAATCTTCAATGGCTAGTAATAAATCAGCAATATCAACATTGTACATGCGGGATTGTTCTTCCAGATAAAAAATTAATTCCTCCAAATATTGTTTTATCTGGCAACCGAAATCAATTTATTATCTATGTATTAAAAAAAAATCTGGAGCCATTTGGATACATTACTTCACAAATTCAGGAAAGAAAAATTTTTAGTTGAATAATATTTGCGATTTTTGAGAATGTAAAACCCAAAGAAACCACTCGAAACGTGAAAATAATAAAATTAGTCAATGGTTGATAATTTATATATTTGAGATGTTGATAAGTCGTTTTAATTGAAATTTATTGTTAAAATTGGCCATACTATATCAATCAATATAATAGATCGGTCGGTCGGTCTATTGAAAATTGTTTCCTGAAAGAGGTTACCAACAGAAATCTTTCACTTCATTGATTTTTACATAAAAGCCATGTTCATTTTAATCATTAGTGTTTCGATACTTTCACGGATTTTGTTATTAAAATTTTAATACCAAGTCAAAATGTAGAACGTGCTCCGTGCTCTACCTCATGAAGAGCGAGTTTTCGACCATGGACCGCTCGGTTCCAAAAACTGAAAATGAAATCCGAGCTAAAAAAAATGGCTTTCTTAATTTATTTCATTTATAAAATTTAGACTCTTCTTCCACTTTTCCTTAAAATTTCTTTCCTTGTTTCTGCCATCGTCAGCGGACGGAGATGAGAAGTCCTCGAGCGATGTTTCTGATGTGAATGCAGCACCGGCGGCGGCCGTGGCTTGACCCGCACCCCTGGCAATCCCAGACGGCTGAGTTCAGAGCGCCAAGGAATGGGCAAAAACAGCAACGTCAGCAGACCAAGTTGCCAACGAAGAAATAAAATGATTTTTTTAGAATAATAAATATATAACACAGAAGCAGGTAAGCAACAGCAGCGCAACGCTGCTCAGAAGAATGGGAAGCAAAAGAAGGGAGGTACCAGAAGTCGATCTGGTAATGCTGGGAATGGAGCCTCGGGCGATCAGGGTGCTGGAGATTATGACACAGAGAGCTCCGGAGGAAAAGGAAAAAGTGGAAAAAAGCCATGCAAAGATAAAGGCCAAGGAGGAAAAAATAATGATTACGCATCAGCAGATTATCCTAATGAATTAAAATTTACAATTAAAGACATCTTGAAGTCTGCATACTTTCACGCTTTTTAACACACAGTGATTAAAATAAAATAGCTTTGATTAAATAGAGCTTCTAGAATGATTTTCACTTTTTTTTTATTAATTTAAATTTTTGAATGAAAAATGGTTCGATGAAAATTTTAAGCATTTAAATCTGTTTCGAAAATTTTTTACAAAATACGAGTGCTATAAAAATAAAAATACTGAAAAATGAGTCAACACTGGAATTTTAACGAATTACGCATTAAATTTTTGTGTGTTTAAGATTAAAAATAAAAAAGCTGCAGCGTTCGATCAGAAAGCAGAGCGCGAGCGCATAATTTTTGAAAACTTTAGCGCGAGCGCTGAGCGCAGAATCTCGTTGAGCGCGAGCGCAAAATATCTGAGCGCAGAAAAGTATATGTCAAAAATTAACATTTTGCCAGTGTATTACTATAAATAACATGCAAACGTTGCTGCTACATTTGTATGTAAATAAGTAGTCTTCAATTTTAATATTTTTCACCCAATATCGTTCCCCACGATAATTAACGTTCCCTCTCTTCCATGAAAAATGGATTCGCGTCACCCATCCGTGCTCTTCCGGTTCAGTTAATATTTTGAAAATACATATAAATTCAGTTCATAACAGCGTTTTCCGTTGACGAACATCATGATGTCAATAAAGGTTTGCAATTAAATTTTCTTTAGATGTGGTTATTGTGGTTTATATTAACTTTTTTTAAGCTTTGCCTGTTTTTGGTGGTTATTGCAATGTTTGCATACAACGTGCATTCAGCGGCCATACCCATAAACGACGATGAGGATTTAGAAGCTGCAAGACCTGCCCCGGTCGGCAGTGCTGGTGCAAATAAGAATGCCAATAACCGCAACCATCAAGCCGCTCCGAAGAACAAAAATCAAGTGGCTAAAAAACAGAAAGCCACTTCGAATGCTCCAAGAAAAGCAAACAACCCCAATCAAAACAATAGCATCAAGAAAAAAGCCGCAACTAACCCAAACAATGGAAATCCGGAAACCACTCCTGGAACCAAAAATACTCGCAGCAAGCAGGTTGAGGTTCCGAAGAAAAAACCAGACTTGCAACAAAGCGCGAAGCCCGAAAATGTACTTTCTAAAAAACCAACCAATAACGCGAAAATTGGAGTACCTTCAATCATTCCTGCACCTTCTATTCCATTAAAAACTGCAGATAATAAGCAAGTAATTGATCAAGCACCTTCTGGTGAAATACAAAAGCCCAGCATCAACAGCGTGTCTGTATCCGATCCTAATGCAGCAATCGCCAATGCTCGTCCTCCTCCTCCTTCTCCAATTAAAGAACCCTCAATTCCCGAGAGTACGCCTGGTCCACGTGTTAGTGAAGTGGTGACGACGAAAGTACCAAATATTTCAGCGATAATTGCAGATCCAATGGCAATGATGCCTCCAGGCGGCATGAGTATGCCAGGCATGCCTCCCATTGATATGAACACCCTCCAAGGCATGGCTTCGGGAAATGCTGGATTGGCGGGTTTGTCAGACGAACAGAGCAAGATGCTCACGTTGATGAAAAGCCAAGGGTCAATGCCCCCTATGGATCTTTCGCAATATGCAGGAATGCTACCGGCTGGTGCACAGCTTCCCAACATAAATATTTCTCCTGGCTATGGAGGACCATCAATGGCTGGAATTCCAATGGCTGTTATGCCCAAACCTGCCTAAGTTATTCTGTTCAATTAAGTTAAAATTCAACCCAATTATTGCATAATTAAAGAAAAATTAATTAATTAATTTTCACAATAAAATATGAAAAAATAATAAAATACATTTTTATGAACATTGGAAATGAGATTTTGTTTTAATTACTTCGTCACGAGAATATATTACATTCAATCAAAATTACTAAATTCATAGTTCTTTTTTTTTTTTTTTGCTTATGGCACCCTTGAGCTTATTAGGCTATTAGGTCGGTCTCTTGCCGAAGTCGAGCACCCTTAGCACATTTGTGCTTCCCAACCAACCTGACCCTTGTTCGGGGGCTTCATAGTTCTAATACGCTTCAAATACTAATGGAAATTTACGCTACATTAAAACAAATTAGCTATTTAGGACTTGGAAATTTAAACAAAAACTGCTACATAAAATAAAAAAATAATTTCCCGACTTTGAGCAAACCTGATTTGATACGTGAAGTATACTTCAGTTTACAACACGCAATTCTTGCAATTCACCCGCAGTTTTTATATTTTTAGTTACTTAAAAGACGTCGATTTGTTTAAGCTGTAGGATCGCACATCTTAATATGTAATAGAAAAGAAATTTCATGAATATGACAATCACTCTATGAAAATCAAATAAAATTTACTCTAACTTTGATAGGTTTGCTTGATCAGAAAAAATACCGTATTATTTGCAGCTATAAATAAATAAAATTATTGCAAATAAAAAAAAATACATTTTTTTTTTGAACTTATAGAAAAAGAGTAAAATAATATCAACCCCAAACACTCTGAAATGCTTTTCTCACTTTCAATATTCCTCGTGCAAGTTTTGGAGAATGAAAATATAGTGAAAAGATTGATATTTCCCTGTCACGTAAAAAGCAATCACTGTTACATTCAATTTTATTTTTCAATTTCCAATTTAATTCCGTAGACCGAAAAATAAATTGTTGTTGCAAACCTCACGTCACAGCTGAAAGTTCATCCGCAATGAGATCTCTATCGGTACACAAAATGTTGTTATATTTTAGCAAAATATTAACAAAAGTATGATAAACGAACAATAGATTTTTTTGCTGATTGCGGCCGTTTCAACGGCGGGCTGCTTGGCCACGCAGCAGCAAAGGCAGAAAGCGAAGGGTGGTAATTCTCAAGGTATCAAGCCACAAGTTGGTCAAGGCAAGAAGAGGCAAAATTTGGTTCAACAGCAGACCAACAAGGTGGCAAACGGAAAGCTCGGAAATAACAAAAAAATTCAAAATCCGAAGAGGGCCAGTGTGGAAAATCAAGCAGGAAAAAATAATGTAGCACCAGGACGTAGTATTTTAACCAATCAAGCGTTGAACTTGAATAAAGCAGGGGTGAGCAACAAATTAGCTAAAAGCAGCTCTGGATTGGCCGCAGGTCGAGCTCTGGCAGGAGTTGCCCTAATGCCCGCGGTTATAGGTTCAGATCAGGTTGAGGAGCAAGGGTTTTCATCAGGAGGGCAGCCAGAGGTTGACCCCGTGCCGTCGCAGATGGTCAAACCTGAAGTTACGCACTGCATGATGCCATTTATGCCATTTACAGGTGGCAATTTCATGCCAATTATGGGACTTCCTCATCTTTTTCCACCCGATCTCCAAATGCCTGATTACTTTCCCCAAGTGATGCCACCATTGCCACCATTTGGTCTCGATGGGGATCCAAATTTTCAAAATTTAATACATGTTTTACCTACACCCGGAAATGAAAAAGATATAACTGTAGGAGGAAAGGAAACTGCGTCTTTTGATTCCAATTTTGTTGCGGGTGATGGCCAAGAAGTTAAGGCATTATAAGTAAAGATTAATAAATTTTCATTTCATTCTAAAATATTTTTTATTTAAACATTTCTCAAAGTTTTTAAATTTCAATGCGAATATTTTCAATTGACAATATAAAATATATTATTTGCGCGATGGGAAACGCTTTCAACATCATATACTACACGTCACAGGAAGTGGTGACGAATAATGTGCTAGTTATATGAGAAAAATTTGCTACTAGGTGGAAGAGCAGCAAAATGCAACAGCTATGGGTGAGTTTATTGTGAATTCATTTTTAAAAATACTTGACAACTTTAAATGAAAATATATCAGTTTTTGCTTTTGCTGGCCGCCTTGCTTTTGCTTGAGACTTCGGACGCGAAGAGGAAGTCTTCTTCATCCAGATCTTCAGGCCGTGGGAGTGCGTCGAAACCAGCATCACTAAAAACGGCAAAGAATACAAATTTACGTAACAATGAAGCCGTCCAAAAAGCAGCAAATGCGTTCAAAAGTGGTTTGAATAAAAAGGATTCAAACAGAAAATCCGCACTTCCCACTAATCTCAACCAACCTAGTGCAACCAATTTAAACCAGCCGCAATTATCGAAACATTCTTACAAACGACCGCCGAGCTCTAATAGCGAATTAAATTACGCCCAAAGAGCACCGAACCAACAAAACTACCCTCAACAGCCACAGGGCTCGCCACCTCTGATTGCAAACTATGGAAATCCACCACCTAACAACCCCTACCTGCAACCACAAGGATCTTTTCCTCAAAATGGAATGCAATACCCAATGATGCAGCCCATGGGCTATCCAATGCCCATGCAACAACCAACACAACAAGCAGGAGAAAAGTCTTCTTTTTTGTCAAAATTGATCCCACGACCTGTTGTTGATTTAACACCACTTCTTATCCTTCCTGCTATTAAAAAAGTGGGTGAGGTATTTGGTGGTAAAAAAATTAAATATTTAAAGAGACACATTTTGGTACATTAATTAATTTCAGGCAGAAAAAATCACCATCCAAGGACCGGGAATGGAGGGAACGCAACTTTTGACGGTGGAAACAGCAGCGTGTCTAACTTTGACCAATTAAACGGCACAAACAGCACGCAAGATATGGACTTCAGCTATGGTCCCCAGCCGTATCACCCGTCACCATTTTACTACCCACCTTTTATGAACAACTCTGCTTTTCCGCATCCACCTTTCTTCCCCCGCCCTTTCATGAACAACAACTCCGATTATCCGCATCCACCTTTCTTCCCCCCTTTCATGAACAACAACTCTGATTATCCGCAACCACCTTTCTTCCCCCGCCCTTTCATGAACAACAACTCCGATTATCCGCATCCACCTTTCTTCCCCCCTTTCATGAACAACAACTCTGATTATCCGCAACCACCTTTCTTCCCCCGCCCTTTCATGAACAACAACTCCGATTATCCGCATCCACCTTTCTTCCCCCCTTTCATGAACAACAACTCTGATTATCCGCAACCACCTTTCTTCCCCCGCCCTTTCATGAACAACAACTCTGATTATCCGCAACCACCGCCTATCTACCCTGGCATTTTCGGTCCATACTTACCAATGAACCCTCAAAATCAATCTATTCCCTTTCCCATGCCGTTTCCCAACTACGCAAAACCTCATTTCCATCAATACAATTTGACCAAGGGTGAAAATGATGGTCAAGCGGGTGGAGCGGTGGCTACAGTGGAGGAAAATGAGAATGAAATAGGAAGAAACAGCTCTGTAACAGGAGAAGACAATTCTGCTGCTAATCCAGCTGTCGATGATGAAGTATTAGTTGATCCAGAAGAAAAAAGGATCAGGTTGAAACAAGCTCAGAAAATGTAGCCAAAGATAATGATGTACCTGCTACAGGAGTTGTTTACGCAGTTAAAGAGTAGTAAATCAATAAATTGCTCTTTGTATTAATATTTTGGAATAAAAATAATCGCAGTGGATTTTATTGAAAAAAAAAAATACAATTTTTAATTTATTAACATAAACCAATCATTAATTTTTAACTTAAAATTCACAAACTTTGAATGAGAAAATGCTGCTAGGCAAACCAGAGGAAACGACCAAGGGCAAAATATTATGACGTTGAACACGTCAGTCGGCGCCATCGATTGAACGGAAATAAAGTCAGCCATGTTTTAATAAACCTCTGTGCGTTTGTAAAGTTGACAAATATGGGGGCAAAACTTTTGGTAAATCTAAAAATTTTAATTAAGATATATTTCCCAATCATATGATGAAAAATTTACAGGTTTTATTTACATTGTTCTCGATCACGACGGTTGTTTTCGGGAAAGCGGTGCCCAACAACATTGATGGAAACCCTTTGCTGAGCCTTTTCGGACTCGGCGGCAGCAATAGCAACTGGAACCCTCTATCACTTTTGGGTCTACGTGGTGAAAAACGTGATGAAAGTCCTAATCCAGCAAAACACTTTGCATCGATCGCGAGTGGAGTCAGCGGACTCATGCAAGACATGATGAAAAACGCCGCGAAATTCGCTGAGGCCAGTGCTTCAACCACAGAAGCACCAAAAACGTCTCCAAAGGACCCGCTAATCGCAGGATTGGAACTGCTAACGGGAATTTTCTCCAACAAAAATGGCATCCCTGATTCGTCGAAAACTAAATGAAATAAAACAGATTAATTTCCATATCATTCTGTAGTTCTAAAAATGGCCTTTTTTATTCTTCTCTTTGGTCCTCTCACAGGAGTTAAATGTGGTTTTAAATCACATTATTTTTTTAATATGTGGTTTGAATAGTGCGAGCATATTAAAATTAAATTTATAAATTATTACTTTATTTTATTTACGACTCCAACATACATAAAAATAAACATTTTCTAGCAAACTAATGCAACCGGTGCTACTTCAGAACACCCCCGGTTGCCTAGTCTTCAAATTTACAGGCATTACGCACGCTTTTTGAGAGAGCCAGGATGTGCCACACGTACCTTTAGAAGGCTCATCAGGTCCACCAACGGAAAACTTTTTAGTCGTCCTTCAGCAGTACCAGCACGGCAACAATGAAGGGCACCATCGCCGTTTTCCTGGTATTCACAGCAAAATACTAATTTTCGTATGACCTTTTCATTTAAAACTAATTATCCGTTGTTAGGCGTTGGCAATTTCAACTCTTGGCATGCCCAAGAAAGACAGCAAATCTGGAAAGTTCATCGATTTTGACATCGACCCAGAGGTTGAGGAACAAGCGTCGCTTGGTGAGCAAACTAGGAAGGATTTGAAGCAAGTTTCCGGAATAATGTTGGAGCAAGTCGGATTTCCCTTCCTTTCGTGGCCAGCGTAAGTTCAGTTTAATCATTTTCATCTTGTGAGTTAATTTAATTTGAGCAGAGGAGACTTTTTAAAAGACGCGGCAAAGACGATCTTTGGACTAGGAAGGAGAGATAAATCGGATCAGGGAGACAAGCCTGTCGGAGACGAGGAAGTTGATTCAAATCAGACTCCTAAACAAGAAGAATTAAGCAAAGTGAAGAGGGCGAAATTAAAAAATGCTTGATTTGTAACTAAATTGAATAAAATTGCAAGCATTGGAGAAAAATTAAATTTGTCCTTATTAAAAACAACTTAATCATATAAATTAACAAATGAATTTAACTTCATAATATGTCCAAAAATTATGTTCGAAATTGCTAAAAAAAGTTTTAAGCTGAAAGCTCCCCAATTAAAAACAGATTACCCTCTGCGGCAAACGTTACTTCTATTGTGCAGAAATTTTATTAAAATTTCGGGCTCAAAATTGTGCAGCAATTTTCCCGTGATAATGACAGTGAAGAGGATGCTCTACTCTGCGATACGTTCTGTTTTGAGTCGGGTGTTCACGGCCATCATTATTTGTTAGTGACACACTCGAGTTCCAGCCACTCGATCCTGCACTCGCAATGGCCGCGTACACAAAATTTTTCCTGGTAAAAATTTGGAAAACACATATGATTAAATTAAATCAAGAACAATTAATAATTTCAATTTAATTAATTTCAGATTTTGGCCATTTTTTTCGGATGCATTTGCCAACTGGAAAGCAAAAATATGAATATTGCCCAAGACGTTGAGGTGTTGGCTAAGGTTGTGTCCTCCACAGAAGGCACTACCCCCAGTAGAGGAAGACGTCGTTTCACCAGCAGCTCGCCGCAGCCTGGTTCGAAGGAAGGCAGAAAAGACAACCAGTCGGAAGATTTCACCATGACGGGCAGCCCTTCCCTGGATTCGACCATATTCTCGACAATCGGCTCCCTCGCCTCGACTCTTTTTAAATCCATCTTCAGGTCTGATTCGGACAAATCAGGGAGGGACGGTGGCAGTGGGGGTGGATTTGTCGCCTCCGTCAGTCGAATCTTTTGCACAATATTCGGAGGACTTTTTGGTTCAATTTGCGGAACGTCCTCCAGCGGGCCAGGCGGGGTTGACTACGACACCCCTGTCAACTTGACCAGTCAGCAGTACCAGCAGCTTCAGGATCAAGTTAAACTAAATGGAATAGGAACTAATTAATTAACTCTGTGTGGAGAAATTTAAATTTGAATTATAGCACCAATAAATATATTAATATGGCGTATCCTTTAAATTTGGCTAATTTATTTTAATAAATATCATTAAAAAGTAAACAAAATATTTATTTAAGAAATTTAATTCTTCTGTCTGTTTTCAGACTATTTTTATGTATATTTATCAAAGTCATTTCACAAGGTTGTCATTCAAGGACATTAGGCACATCCGTCAGAATTGATGATGACCATGTATAAGACTGATGCGACGAGCGTCATCAACTCGGTTCCATTTTTCCGTTGCATCCATGCGCAATTGCTTTCCCAGCCAGACAACAAGATTCACAAGGCGTTCATAGAAATTCAAAACCATGCGAATATTGCGACAAATTGTAAAAATGCACATTCTACTGAAGCTATGTTCTGATATTTCTTATGTAACATTATTTCCCTCAAAAGTTGGCCATTTTAATTATGATGGAATGTGGAGGCATATTGGCGAGGGAGGTGCCGGCCAACGAGAAGAAAAATTTAATCAGGCGAAACGCCGCTCCATTGAGCCCGTTTGGAATTTTCCAAGAAATAGGCACAGGACTCGAACAAGGGCTGGGACAGCTGATCAACCCGAATAATTTTCAACAACGACAGGTTTGAAAATTACAATGAATAATTGGAAAATTGCTTAAATAACTTTACAATTTACTACTTGGTGTTTGAAGCAAAAGTGACTGAATATAAGTTATATTATAAACATCATTTCTATTTCGCATATTTAAATTAATTCAAGGAAACTAATTATTTATCAGAAATTTACGCACCAGAAAATATTTTCCCAAAAATTAACAATTACTTTTTCTAAATTTAATAATAAGAAAATATCACAAAATCATTTTTTTTTTCAGCAAGAGCAATCAGAAATTTATGATTATATTGACTGCATTTCGTGAATATTAGAAATTGCAGATTAGAAATAAAATAAAAATCAAAACAAAAATTTGTTATTTCAGTCTGACCAATGACACAAAATTTGAGTCGTTCTTTTTGAGGCCTTACATATATGTACTTTAATTTGTCGTTCACTGGCCATCTTAACCCTCCATCTCCAATGTTTAAAATTGAGTTGTGTGTTTCCAGATGCATTACGTTTATGACAAATTGAGTGAAAATATTTTCCAGTGTCGTTTCGTCTTGCATATTAACATTTGAACATTTTTTTGTTTCTAACAAAAATCCAAATTTGCAGTTGCAATTATCTACAAAATCGCCTATTGTGGTGAGGGTGATAAACCCCAACACCGGTGTGAGTGAACTGTACACGACCGGTGACGCCAGAATAGACAACACCATCACGAGCTTCTTCAGCACCCTCACTCAAATCATGGACAACACTTTTATGACCTTCGTGACGCCAGCAATGAATGGCACCATTTGGGACAACTCGCCAAGACCCAACGGCAGCGGCGGCCTTTCCAACTACCTCAGCTCCTTTTTCTGTGGAATCTTCATGGGGGTGCTCAGCCCTAACAACAACGGACAGCAGTGCTTTGCTTACCGTTCAACGACATTGGCGCCTGTTGTTGGCTAATTCACTAAAACACCTCCTCAAAATAAGGAAAATGATAACAATCCATTTTTGCTTATGAACTACACAAATAAAAATTAAATTGATTGGCTCCAATTAATAGTCCTTCTCTTAACAGATAAAACGTGAGCTTGACAAAAAAAAAATTATTTTCACACTATTGACATACTACAAAAAAAATGAAGTGAATTCTTAAAATTTTACTTTAATTAATTTTAATTATTGAAATGTCATCAAATTTCTTTAGATATTTTTGGACTCTTTATATAAATCACGGTCATTTCACAAGGTTGCAGTCTAAGGACACAGAGTACATCCGTCAGTATTTGTGGCGTCATCAACTCAGTTCCATTTTCAAATCCATCCATGCGCAATCGCTTTCCCAGTCGGACTTCAACGGGATTCACATGCAGCCATTATTTTGTGAAATTCTATCATGCGGATATTAAATCGAACAGTTTAATTAAAAATTGTAATGTTCTGATTTCTGAAGTAACATTTTTGCTTTAAAAGGTGGTCATTTTAGTGCTGATGGAATGTGGAATCGTAATTGCGAGAAATGTGCCAGCAAACAAGCAGAAAATTTCAAACAGACGGACCGCAAAACCGTTGAGGTTTTTCCAAGAATTAGGCATAGGACTTGGACAAGGGCTCGGACAGCTGATGAACCCCGAAAATTGGCAGCAACCACAAGAACAGGTTTGAAAACTACCCAGTATTTTCATTACAATGGAAAAATCTTTCAAAAATATTTCTAAATATTTACTAATAAAAAATTCAATAAAATTATTTTTTGGACGATTATTGAAATGCCTGAGAAAGAAAACAAAAAATACGGAATAGAGAAACTTAATAATCAAAGTGAAACTTGTTAGGAAAAATAAAAATTAAAGAATCTCAAATATTCAGTCCAATACATTTTTCTCAAAAAATCAAATTTGCAGGTACAATATCAACAATTATCAACGGAATCGTCATTCGATGTGATCACAGACATGCCAATTGTGGTGAACGTGGTCAACCCAAACTCCGGTGTTAGTGAACAATACACGACCGGCGACACCAGCATAGACCGGACGATCACGAGCTTCTTCGGCGCCCTCACCCAAATCATGGACAATATGTTCAAGACCTTTGTGACGCCGGCCATGAACGGCACCATTTGGGATGACACGCCGAGACCCAACGGCAGCGGCGGCCTTTCCAACTTCCTCAGCTCCTTTTTCTGCCAAATTTTTATGGGGGTTCTCAGCCCTAACTACAACGGACGGCGGTGCTTCGTCTATAGATACCCTTCAACGACAAGAGCACCAGTTATTATTGTTGGCTGAAACAACATCCTCCATAAAATTAAAATAAAAACTATTTTACATTTTAATACTTTAAGTAAAAATTTACAGATAGTGGGTTATATTGAAAAATTAATGCCAAAGTACATTTTTCTCTTTAACTTTTTCAACAATAAATGTGTTTTCAAGTTTTTTGATAATTGTGCAAACAAGCATACCATCACATAATATTGATTAATTGGAGCTCCTCATAATTTATTTTGAATCTTCATATAAAATAAATCCGTTTTTTTTTACTTGATTATATAATTTTTAACAACATTCTTCAATATTGGGAAGGTTTTTTGGGCTTTTTTTTAAATATGCCACAAATAAAGTTTGTTCATGAAATTTTCGTCTGACATTTCTACTGTGATTATTTCAACTATGATAATTATACCTTGATATTTTTTGTTTCAGATTTAAATTCCAAAAATCGTGAAATTATTATGAATGAAAAACATTTCTTAATTATAGTGTAACTTATTATGAAAATGACATGTTACAAGAATGGTGATCATTAAAGTTATTTCCAGACTATCAATACATTAATTTCTGGCAATTAAGCTTTCAAGCACAGCTAGTTTCTTGTTTGATTTTTTTTTAACAAGCTTATTTTGTAAGAGATTTATGAGACATTAACTTCTGATCTAAATATATAAACAGCACCACGCAAAATAAATAAAGCATGCCAATTATAACCGAGCACCGACAACTATTGCTGACACAATTCAGCAAAAATAAGAAGTGAAGTTTTGAGAGCGATGCCACGAGTGTAGTAATAAGTCGCGGTTAAATGGTTTCTTATTATTATTGACGTACTCAAACTTGCACCTGAAAAATAAATGGCCGTGTTTTTCACCCAAGTGTCAGTTTTATAATCTGCTCGCGGCGAACCAAACCAAGTGACGTCAAGTCTTATCGCCGGCCCCATAAGCAGACATTTACAGTCTTCATCTGCACTCGCCCCGCGGTGCACGCGAAATTCACGTTGTTGACCGATGGCAATCGCGATCGCAGATTTCGGCGCCAATCGAATTATTTGACTCGGTAAAAAACACTATGTCGCTCGTGTACTCCGGATTGTCGGCGGGAATCGCCTTGGGATTCGTCTCGGGAGCGCTTTTCATCCTCGGCAACACTTTTTACGGCAGGTACGTGACTTTCCGCTTTTATTTTGAGCTTTTTAACAACAGTCCAATATCAGATGGATAGTTTTAAATGGAAATATTGGGAAACTTGATAAACAATAATTATTTATTTTAATAGGAAATATTCAATTAAAAATGTAAATATCATTACTACTTTTTTCTATAATTAGTTTGTCAATCATTATGTTCGAATTTTTACTTTTCGTCTCCTGTATAATGATAAGAAATTCTCTTTTTTCCCCTAACGTCATCACAATTATCTTAATTGTGTGAAATTTAATTCGGCAGCACCTACGATGTTTTTTCTCATTGTCAGGTCCAGAGTTCTCTTATCGTTTTAATCGTCCCCCCTACTTTCTTCCCATGTAGGCATGGTGATTATCGATTTTTTGTAATAACAACTGATAAGAAGCAGTAATAATATAATAAAAAGGGTTATGTCACACTAAGACTGCATCTCCGCAGAGATAAAAATCACCAACTTAGTGTTGGACAGAGCAAGAAATGTTGTTCGTATGGCAATATAAAATGTGTGTAAATTGCATAACGAAAAGTGAAAAGAAAAGAGAAGACCCTCAAATAGTGATAAGTCGTAAACAACACTTTTACTTACTGATAATGATTGGCGTTCTCATCCAACCGGCCTCGAAACGCGTTTTGTAATCGATGACTTCACAACTTGTCACCGTCGACTTTGCCGAGAGAGGGTTGATGCCAATTTACTTCGATTGTGCACTTCTTCACTTTGAGCACAAATCACCCTTAAGCACACTGCACTCAAAAACTTTCAGTCAAAAAGTAAAATTTGGTTCAGAGAAGTATGTAACTTTCTTGAGAAAAACACCGCACGAATTTCATCAATAAAGGCTGAATCAATTTGAAATTGTTTTTACAAAACTGCACGCAAAGTTCCGATTTCCACTGAAATGAAAAGCAATCCCAGTGAAAAGAAATTAGAAAACGGCAGCCGGCTGCAAAATGTAAACAAACACACCGCATAATCAAAACACACCAAGGCGTGCCAGAGGGCGCGCAAATTGAGTGGTGACTATTTTAGTAACCCTGAAAAGCGGTGGGGAGGAATTGATAGGAGAGTCTTGCGCAGATGATTCTCGTCTGTCTGAGCCGTCGGAGGTTTGAAGAAATAGAAATATTTTTAAATTTGTAGTTTATGAATGATTTTTTTATTTTAGAATAAAGATTTTTTATTATGGTTGTTTAGTGTCCCACGTTTTTAACAAAAAAGGAAAAAATACTTAAAAAAATGTGTAATTGCTGAAGTATGTGTTTTCTTTTTTCATAAGAGTTTGAAATCTTATGAAGTTCAGTTTAAAAAATCTCAATCAAAAAATATTTGAATTTGGCTTGCCGGAAATCTTTCTTTTATATTTAATTAAAAGTGATAAAAACTAATGAATTTTTCTTAAATTAAATAAATAATGCTTGTTGAGGGTTATGGAATGTGTATCTGGTATACATTCAAAAGTTTAATTAAAAACTTTTATTTATAGTACTTCTTATTTAAGAATTTTTCCAATGATTACTGATTAAATATATTCATTTTTTCTGAATGAATTTTATGGCATTGATACAGGATTGAGGAAACAAGAATTTTTAAAAGTTACAAAAAACAAAAAATTATATCAGTAAAAACAAGTTTAAACCGTCAAAACTGCAAAAAAAATTGTTTCTTTTTTTTCTTTCGAAATTCAATACCATGTATACCTGAACAATAAATGTTAGCTTTTAAAATATTTCGCTTTTTACAGGGGAAAAGAAAGTCAGCAGCCTTTATTCATTAAACAAAATTTAAGTTCACAAAAAATCAAGGTTGCGAAAGGTTACTGCATTTATGTAGTTTATTCTAACAATAAGCTAACTTATTGTCAATGATTTAAAACTAAAAATTGCTTCTTGTAACAAAAGATTTATCGATCTGATAGAAGAGTAGATGAACTTCATTTGTATTGTTGCATTTTTTAAATTTATATTTTTCTCTCTTAATTATTATTAAAAATGATAGAATATTAATTAAAATTCTAAATCTAAATAATATTGCGTACTCGTGCAGCACGTTTGACCTCGCTCTCGTCACGGTCATGCAAATGAGATGACCTTTTATATCAGGCACCCATTTACACGATTTATCAGCAAAAGGCGTTGCGTGCAGGGACTTTGTTTGACACGCGGCGCAATAACGAAGGTGCGCAAAGGTGATAAACGCGACCATGTTTGGGACGAGTGGCGGCGCCCCTAGCTGCGATGGACGCGGATGAAGTTGGTAGTGAGTGATTTCCGAAAGAGTTGTTGCCGCTGGCTGGCGTATGTCACGCCTGATGGGATCGCTCTAGCGCTGAAAAACAACGGTGAGGTGCATGCAGCAGTCTGGTGCCGTTGCTGCCACGGCCGCCGGCGAAAATCGGCTCCTCTCCGCGCTTTTCCGACCGTATAAGGACTGGAAGTTTCGTTTTCCCATTTGGGTTTCGGTCAGAAACTGCATGTCTTCCAAACCAGAGAAAAAGAAAAGGTCAGTGAACTGCAGGATTTGCATCTCAATTGCACCGCAGGTCTTTTTTGAATTATGCGATGTTCAATTTATATGAATTTTTCTACAAAATTATGTAAAATGACATCAATTGTAAAATTAGGAATTCACAATTAGTGGAAAAATTTTTTCTACAAATTGTATTAATAATATATCTTTTGAATTGAGGTAATTTTTGCTAATAATTTGAAGTGAAATAAATTTCAAAACTTTCAATTGTGAAAGCAAAATGTGTTGAGAACTGATGAAATTGATAAATAAATTATTCACCTCTTATAACAATGAACCAATCAGTTACTATCGGCTGATTATTAATTAGAGTTCTTTGAATGCCACCACTAGTATACCTATTAATTACAATTTTATAATGTAGGTCACGCACATGATGCAGGTATTTGACGTCGACGGGCGTCTCAATAGTCAATGCCGAATATTAGCTAGTCGTTAATATCCATCCAAATAACAAATAACTTTACTTTTAACAGGCCCTTCGTTATCATAGATGCGTGTACAAAAAATTTGAAAATTAGTCCCTGTTCAGATTAGAAGTTTTCCCACCAAATGTAAATGAAAAAAATTTAAAGGGGGATTCGACGGCAGGTGTATAAGAGTAGATTTCCAATTTAGGTTGGCCGGGACGGAAGTCAATCTGGGAGCGGTCCCTTCTCTCTCTAACACAATGACCGTTTCCGGCACTCCATAAAAAACACACAGGGAAGAGGCGGGCAGACACGGAGTGCGTTTCATTTAAAATGCAGCGCGCATTGTAATCACCAGCGCCGTCTCCTCTTGCCTGTCATTAATACTATTATTTCTTATTTCAACTGACAACACCCTATTGAGAAAGCAAAAGCCACGCAGCATTTTGTTGTTAACTGTTAATTTTAAAACAAAAAATCAGGAGTAAAATCATGTATTATTATCTAAATTTAGATTTAAATATTGATTTTTAAATGAATGTTTGAATAATTATAGATTAAATGCTTCAAATTCTAATATTTCTTTAAATTTAAATAAAACAACGTTTTTTAAAGGTTATAAAAATATTATATGCGTTTTTGTACACATATTACGATATTACTCTTACAAAATTAGCATAGTCTACTCCTTTTGACCTTCTAGAATGCGTTATTCCAATTATTGCATTATAAGATTCTATATTCTCAAGCATAAATGTTGTGGCTATTATTTTTGTTTTTGTGGTACGATAAGCGTGTGAGAAAATCCGATCTCCAATCTGTAGTGTCAATGACTTCTCCTGCTATTCCTTTTCAATGGCCAGTACTTACGGACGCGCGGTTTTTTATGCGGTCATCAATTAGATTTGCTTCTCTTTTTTTTCTATTCCTTCGACGCCAATACGCTATGGTCATCTTGCAAAAAAATATGATCACGTGGTTGCATAGTTGTCCTTGATGTATCTGCAAGATATTCTTTCAAAGTTTTTAATTATATGAGAAAATGGATCAATTAAAATTTAAGAAATTTAATGTCAAAATCTTCAAATTAATGTCTATGAATTACAATTAAAAAATAAAAAATTAGCTGTGTAAAGAGAAATTTAGCAATTGAATTTCGGTATGTTCAACAGAAAAACGCTTTTAAGCAGTAACAAGTTGAGCACCTTGAAAGTAAAGGTTAAAAACTGCCGGCACTTCGAAGAAAATTCGGAGCAGCTGCGACGTAACCTTGAGCGAGCTCTTGAAAATTTTGCAACTTTCATACGCGCACATCTCTTGGTTAGCAAATGATTTTGCATACGGTATAAATTGAAACAGAAAATAAAAAATATTCCGGAGCTCAAAAATTATAGCAGCCGTTCAAAGGAGATGACTTTGCGTATTATTTTTTTTCTAAACAAATCTCTATTCTTTTTTGCCTCTTGTCTCTCAAACAATTTTGCTGCGTTGGAAAATTTAATTGTATGACCCGATTTGAAACAAAATTAATTGCATTTTTCTATGGGAGCTGCAGAAGAACCATAATGATTTGACCTGTGTAGAGTTATTTGCAATAAATAGATACTGTCTATAAAAAAATTAAATTTGAAAATGTATATTGCATATAATTTAAAATCATTACAATCAGCCTTATTGTATAAAAAAAAATGACATAAAAGGGCAAAGTATATTTTTTATATAGTATTTTCATTTCTCTTGCTGTAAGCCAATTTTGCAGACATTAAAAAATAAAATTAAAAAAAAATATTTATGGAATTTAAAATTGGGTTGGGAAATTTGGATATTATTGATATATTACACAATATTACATTATTTTTATGCACAAAATCCACTACACCAACTTAGTATAATTGAAATATTAAAAAATTGTATCATATTCGCATTGGAACCTCTCCAGTATTTCACAAACGAATCACACATTTTGCAACCATATATATCTATAATAAAACAACGCAATCTTGCATTACAAATAAAATACCGTCCATTACCTGGGTTAACATCGGAACAAAAATTTCATTATGACGCAAGGAGCCGCGAACAAGCGTAACACACGCGATGCAGTCGCGCGCGGTGAAAGTGGAAGTGCAACTTGCAAATGTCTAATGCATTGTGTTGTGTTAGAGCAGAAATGATTTAACTTTATAGAAAGCAACTGGAGAGAAAGCCGGCGCAGAATAATGTGCTCAACAGTCGCGTTTGTGTTCTGAGCTAACTAACTACCTATAAAAGCGCGCGATTTAGTTAAAGTGGGAAATGGCAATGGTGCGAGAGCTTTGATTCCTCTCTTCAGAGCAGTAGTTTGCCTTCGAACCTCTTCTCGCGAACACACCGTGCTGTTCCTTCTCAGTCTGGATTTTTGCAAGGGTTCGCCACCGGTCGTCGAGTGATTGTTTTTTGGCACTGGTTCGGCTCAGTTTTTTGTGCTTTGTGAACTTGTGCGTGTGCGATTTTAACCCATATAATCCGGAAATTGTGTTCTTCATCCCCAACTTTTTTAGTATTTCATTCATTAACAAGCAAACATTTCATTTGTGCATATCCATTTAAAAGACTGAGTGAGCAAACATTTTGAAATATTAAATCGGTGCAGAAATGCATTTTTACCAGCAATTTAAAGATAGGGAATTTTTCAATACAATAACATTTTTATAATCTGTGAAGGGAATTTTTATGTTTTACGGGGAAAATATTTTTCTCTCTATAACTGCCAATAGGATATCATATATTAACAAGTTAAATTTGTTCATTTAAGATTAAAATTGATCGTTAAAATTACTAATTTTTTATTTTTCCCTTAGTTTTTTTTTAAACCCTCTTCTTAAGTCTTTGCTTCAAGCCACTCAATATTTTTATGCTGGAAATCCGATAAAAAATCACAGATGCTTATTTTCAATCATCTACCTGAACTTAATATTTGCCAAAAAGAAAAATATCGTTTTTGCATATACATATTTGTTTATATTTATTTTTATTAAATTCAGTTCGTGATCATTCAAATATGTCCTTGCATTAAAAATTTCTGCTCAGCACGTGCTTATTAAAATAATAAGCGCCACGCGTTTGGTACTTTTCAAATTTCATTGACCTATACGCGTGTATGAGCTATTAAACGACCTTGCCTTTACTCAACCTTGTTTTTTGAATATTCAACTTTTTACGTGCATTACGCAAAATTATTGACACAAATGAAATATTGCTTTTGCAATTGAAAATTTTCTCTCCTTATTATAGAAGTCTCGCAAGAAATGCGCAGGAAAGGAGGACATTCCTCAATGTCGACGCAATGAGACGCAGATGAGGAAGTGAAAATTCGCTATATTCCCAGCCGTTAATTTTATCTCACGTCGCCTTCGTCGTGTGGGAAATAAATATTAAAATCTTTTGCTACAAGCGAAAACAAATAGACCGTGACGAAAGCAGAATAGAATTTGAAAAAAAATGGGCAGCTACCTGTACGCAGTGCGCGACTTCGGCAACGAGGGTGACATGGGCCTCTTTGTCACCCTCTTCGTCGCGTGCTTCATCGAGGTGATGCTGATCAAGGCGATCACGGAAATCGCCTCAGCGAGCATCGCCTCTACCGCAAGCCAGGTAAAGAACTCACTGGGACAAGTCCATGACCTTAAATGTCAAAAGCGCATGAAATACAGCCCAATCGATGGGGCGATGGGGAAAACCAAAAGTTATTTTAACTTGGAGCAGCTCGATTTTTTCCTCGTAGAAATAAATTGTGTACATTTCAACAGAAGGAAATTGAAAGAACAGAATCAAGAAAAATAAGTAAATAGATAAATAAATCAATAACAAATAGCACGTTTGGAGTAAAAAAACAACAAAATTAAAAATTGGGTTTTTAACCAAATATAATTTAGGTTTATTGGCTTAAAAATCAAATTTAACATGAAATTACTTCCCTAAAAAACTAAATTTGAATACTGTTTATTAATTTCATTTTAAACTTCTAGGAATGCAAACTTTATTTATAATAAATCAGATTGATTATTTAAATCAGAATAGCTTAAGCTTATCTTGGTCAGTCATAATTAAGCCTTATTTTATATAACGTCAATGGTATGTCAAGCGTGACAGCTATATATTGAAAGTAAAAAAACTAAAAGTTCTGAAGATAAGGAAAAGCTTATGGATGGAGGTGTGATGAGTTGTGGAAAAAATCGCGACATTTTGCTAAATTGCACTTTCTACTAAACAGCTGGTTCGTTTGATGTTGTGATATAATAAATTACTTGCCAAGTAATTCCCCTTGTAAAAAATATAATATTTGCAATCTTCTGCGAACACAAATTACGACGTAGAACTATTATTCTAGCCGCAGTTTTCTCAATAAGCTGAATGATGTTTTATATCTGCACAAATTGACCAAACGATAATAATAAACTCTTGCTAGAATGGTTGCGTCAAACTGACTACAATGTAAATCAATCTGCATGCAGACAAATCTTAACAAATTTCTCCATAAAAATTACATAATGATATTTCAAATACATTAAAACTTGTGTTGTTTTTCCAATGCATTTTTATAATTTGATATGAAATTGAATAATTGTTAAAAAAATTAATAAAATAAATACAATATTCAAAACGACTTGTTACTTCTTTAAAATATAATAATTTTTACCAAAAAAATTAAATTTTAAAAGACATCATTTTCTCATCTCTTAATCTCTCCAAAAGTTTATATTTATCTTGGTATTCATCAAAGATTTCTTCTTCTAACTTCTAAATTTCAACCTTCCTGATTGCAGTAAAAGTCGGCGGCGGGCTCCAGGGCAGCCGGCGTTGAAACGGGCAGCATCGGAGAGCTGTCCATGCGCCGGCGAGGAGGCAGGCGCCCTCGAACGGAGGTCGTTGCGCTCGCACACCAGTCTGCGATGCTCCCTTTGCGGCTCGGTGGTGTGTCGCGCCTGCAGCAGGGTGGTGCGACCTTCGGCCCGCATCCGACTCTGCGGCACCTGCTATCAGCACAGGTACGACCTTCTCAAGTATGCATGTGGGAAATCATTTCGCAAGAGTTTATCGCGCCTTGAGTGTGTACCTGGAAGTGTTTAGCCTACTTTTCCTTGTACCTGCATTATATCAGCTAATGACTCAATGCCACAATAATTACATGTCTAGCACTTTTTCTTTCTAAATTTTGAACACCAAAATTGCATGTACTCAACGGTAGCTGGAACCTGGCTGGAACATGACAAAAAAAATTTATTAAAAAAATATAAATTTATTTTTATCACATTAGAAAAAAAAATTAAAAATTAGATAACTTGAAATTAGATATTGAACAACAAAATGCAAAAAATTCCCCTTCAATATATATTTTTAAATATTATTTTTTAAGCTGATTGCATGTACTAAGCATTGAGCATTGTACTGATTTTTAAATATATTTTCTAATAATAAAGTTTGTATTTTAGGGATTTGTCCAATCCGAGTGGAGAGTGGTTTTACCGACAGCTGCAAACTAAATTTCACGATGTGATTCCTTCTTCCTCAAGTGAAAACTGTGAGTTGCGACAGTAAATTTCTAATTGTTAAATTAACTTTGACAAAAATTACTCTCTCTTCCAGCAATTGATGCTAGTCTCGAAGTGAGGGAGTTCATAGAACGTCTCACTGAAAACTTGGTAGGAGGATCTGTAGATGATGTCACGGTTGAACCACTCTCCAGCCAAATCGAATGTGAGTTTCCATTACAAATCGATTTAATGGTTATATTAGCTCATTTATATCTATCCTTATTTCTGAATTCTTTCGTAAGAGCTGCAATCTTATGACACCTTTCAAGCCAAAGCACAGGTCGGTTGGCAAGGGGTCGTGGATTTATTTGCAAAAAATCAGGTGAAAAGAACACAAAATTTGACGGATTTTGGCGTGGAAAAAACTCGGAAAAGTCAAAAGCTTTCTCGGAAAAACGCTACTGTAGTTTCAACTTAAAAATGGAATATCTCGGGTTCTAATTGAGATACAGAAATGCGGCTAGCACCAAAAATTTTCTTTTTACCTCCTCTTCAATCCTGAGGGGTCAAATAATCCAGAGGTCAAAGGTCAAGGTCATTTTTCAGGGGTCACAAGTACAAAAAAATTCTAGCAAAAATATGCCACCTTCGATTGGGCTGAAATTTTTTTCTAAGATAGTCCCAACATGTAGGAACAACATATTAAAAATTCAGAATGGCATATATTTTAGATTTTTTATAAAAAAATCACAAAGGTAAAAAAACGTGAATTTTTCGCATTTTGCTCATGATCAAAAATTTATTTTGAGGAAGTACGTATCTAAAATGGGTAAATTTATTTATTTATTGACAAAACATTTCTAAATTTTCAAAAAATTTCTTAAAAATTCTCAAAATCAATATCCGACCATTGGCAAAATACGAAAAATTCACGTTTTTTTACCTTTGTGATTTTTTTATAAAAAATCTAAAAAATATGCCATTCTGAATTTTTAATATGTTGTTCCTACATGTTGGGACTATCTTAGAAAAAAATTTCAGCCCAATCGAAGGTGGCATATTTTTGCTAGAATTTTTTTTGTACTTGTGACCCCTGAAAAATGACCTTGACCTTTGACCTCTGGATTATTTGACCCCTCAGGATTGAAGAGGAGGTAAAAAGAAAATTTTTGGTGCTAGCCGCATTTCTGTATCTCAATTAGAACCCGAGATATTCCATTTTTAAGTTGAAACTACAGTAGCGTTTTTCCGAGAAAGCTTTTGACTTTTCCGAGTTTTTTCCACGCCAAAATCCGTCAAATTTTGTGTTCTTTTCACCTGATTTTTTGCAAATAAATCCACGACCCCTTGCCAACCGACCTGTGCTTTGGCTTGAAAGGTGTCTTATAAAGTTTGAAAACTTTTCCATATCAAATAACGCAGTCTATTGCAACCTACACAAGTTTTTTCAAGTATTACAATTTATAATAATTAATTTAATTAAGATTGAATGTATTACATTATTGCTTTTCCTTAAATTTTAAATTAATAAATTTCTTTTAATATCCTTTTTGTTTGATATTATATGTTTTAAAATTTTATCTATCCTTTCCAAAATCTTTAACTGTGTTTGTTGAACTCCATACCATACTTACTAGACAGGCGACAATTTTTCTTAATTATTTAAACGTATAAAACTGAATCTTTTTAGATGAGCAACTGTGCTCGGAATTTCATCCAAAAGTTCAAGATGCTCTCACTCGTTTATCGGGAGCACTGCAAGTAGCAATTACAGGTAGAAATGCAAAGAAAACAACTTTAAAAAATTATTAACAACAAAAATAATTTGACGCAGATTTGTCAACTGTAAAACTGGGCATTGGCGAGTCACCAAGTGAAATACACGTCCAATTGAAAAAACTCGTGTCCGAAATGAGAGCCAAATCGTACGAGCTGCCTCTTTTGGAAATGGACACGTTCTTGGATCAGGTAAAACACATAATTTGAATAATTTCCATTGTCAGCATCTTCCTCAAGAGTGCTGAGCAATCGGAAAACTTTCGTTCAAGGGCGTGATCTCGCGTGTAATAAAACTATATTATATGCGCGAGTCATTATTTGACAAACAAAAGGCGGAGTTGAAAATTGTAATCACGGCAAAGTTTTGAGCCCAGTTCAAACACAGCGCGGACAGAGTCTCTAGTCTTATTGTGGCTCATGTCACGCAAGTTTTTATGCATCCTTTTGCGGAATGACAGAACCGCTTTTATTACATTCTGCTGACCAGGGACCTTTTTAACTCCTTATTTTCATAACACATTAACAGGAAGGCGGTAGTCCGCTGCGAAAAAAGTCGCCAATCGACTTCAGCCAGAGGACCTACGAGGACCTTTTGAGTACTGCTATAATAAATAAGGTAAATAATATTGTTTTAAGCATCTGAAAATTAAAAAGGCCTTGGATAATGCTGAAAATTTTGTTTTGTTTTTGAGCAAGGAGATCAGAGAGATTGGGATAAGGTGAAGGGTTCAAGATCATTTTTATTGCCAGCACTAGTATTATATATAATATGTAGATGGTTTATTTAATTATTGTTGGTTGTAATTATTTGTAGTTAGCAAAAGATTAAGGCATTTTTTGTTATTAAGTTAACTACGGTCATATAATTTTTATAGAATTAAATTTAGTTTTGGGCGGTTTTGGGTATTTAAAATAATACTTTAAGATCATGCGTCTGTAACTATTTTAGATCGCAGATTTCCAGGTAATTTATTGCTTTTAAAACTAATAAATTATTCCGATGAGCTCAAAACTTTCAATATCCTGAGAAAAATTGTTGGTCATATAATTAATAATTTATTTATTTATAATAATTACCATAGTTCTTCAGATAAAAATCTTGTGGTTTTACACCAGGTTGAATCAGTTTAAATTTAAATTTTAAGTAGTTTTTTTTTAATAAAATGCCACTTTTAAATCAATGAAAAATATGAAGAAGAAAAAAATTAATTTTTGAACATTATTTTTTAGATTGTTGAAGGTGGCCAGTGTGCTCTGATGGAGCAACACCTGAGGACTCCAGCGTGCAATAGCTGCAACAACGACAAAACCCGGTTTATCAGTGAGTATGCTCTTCGCAAATATTTTCATATTTATTCATGCTCACGCCGAGTTTATTGCTTTTGATGCAAATAACTTTCGAGCCGCGGTTTTCACAATTTTGTGTTAAGTGCACGACCCACATTGCTTTAGCTGGCAGACGCTATTGAATTAAAGGTGTAATCTAATTGAATTTACTCCCGGCATGTCACCACTTTAATTCTATTAGATCGAATAAGTCTCCATTACATTTTCGCCCAGCATATTTTTCACTCGCTTCAGTCAAATGGAATCATTTTTCTTATACGTGCCGTTCACCATAATCATTTCCATCGTGTTGGTGCTGCTTTCAGCTTGCTTGAAGATTGGGGTTAAAGACACCAGGAACTCCGCAAAAGGAAAACCAGCGTCAAGGACCAACAGTACTGCCCAATCGAGACGAAAGCTCCAAAGAGTTTCAAAGGTGGGTTTTTTTCGTCCCAAAAAAATCCCGCTCACATATATATTGCAAATCAAAATTAAGCAGGAGGAAGTCGATAGCTGGAGCTCCACCGAAGACACAGACGAAGATGAATTCACCGACGAAGGAAACGAAACTCCGACCCCAAAGAAAAAATCATGCACTCACAGCAAACAAAGCGAAATGGCCAAATTTTTCGACGGGCTTAAATACAGCACTAGGGTCCCATTTCCGGAGCTGGGAGCGGACATTGTGGAAGGTATAGTTTGACTTGAATCAAAAAATTATTCAATTCAGGCAAACAAGAAAAATATTCTAAAATTTTATTTTCAAATTATTTAATTCAAAGTTTTTACTAGCAAAAATTTAAGTAGTAAATCCGTTTAGCTACAACAATTTTAATAAAATAGGAACTAACATACACATAAAAAGGATAACAATTATTTTTTAATGTTATTTGGAAAGTATTTTCTGCGCTTAAAATTATTAATATTTGGCAACTTTTGACATTATTGCTATCATTATTTTCCATTAACAAAACAATCGCAATAAATTAGGCTCTGTCCAAGACTCCATGCTCGATGACACAGCGCGCTCAACTTTGTACCTGGTCCACAGTGACTCGCATCACTCATCTCTCTCTTCAGCATCTTGGGAAGAAAATTGGCTTTTCCAAAAAAAGAGATTAAACTTCCGCTCAACCAACCGAGTAAACCTCAAACTTACAGTATTATCTTTTGAAATGTAGCAAATTTAAATATAAATAGGGTGAGCGAATGGGGCGCGTCCCAATGTTGGTGCCCAACCCGAAACATGAGCACCAGAACGTGAGAGCGAAAATTGGAGACACTGACGCGGACCAGCTCTCTTCTGACCTTTCAGACTACGAGAGTTACATGAGCAGGTAAAATTAAATATATGAAAAAATAATAGAATCTAAAAAACGAAATTCTTATTTCTTCAGAGAGGAAGAAACGACGAGCTTCGAGGGTGACAACGAACCTTCCTCATTCGAGTCGGCAGACAGACAGGAAGCCGATTCAAAACTTCCACCTGACTTTTTAATCGAAGCTACTAACCAGGAAATGCAGGGAACCGTCGTGGGAACCACCCTTATTTTGGCTCCTCCCTCGGCTAACGGCACGGAGAGTCATGAGTTTGACCAGCAAGAAGGGGAATATTTGGAAGACTTTGCTTCCGTCGGCCACAGAAGCTTCTACAGTTTGCACGGAGACTCCAACGAGAACAGGTGCGCCTTTGCAGCATTTTACTCCAATAACCCAGAAATGTTAAAAATTTTAGCCATTGTTTTATTAATTAATTAATTGATTTCAGCATGCCAAGCACTCCGACTAGCGAATCGCTCTCCAAAGCCAAAAGCGTGCCTGACATACTAGAGTCGGCGAAAAACGCCATATCCGCTTCACCGACACCATCTGCCAGGGAAGAGCAGGTCGGCGCTAACGACGAACACCTGTTCAAGCCGCCAATGCCTGGTGAGTAGATTAAAAATATATTCGCTGTTCGAAAACGAGCTTCTTTTAATTTAAAAAAAAAACGGCTCACTGAAAGAGCTGTGGCAAATAATTGATTTTTTACAACTAAGTAACAATTTGTCAGGAAATGTTTCATTTTCATGGAGGTACTTTTGCTTTATTACGTAAACTATAATTTTGGGGGAATTTAAAATCAGAGAAATTTAGCAAATTAAACTCGATTTTATTTTAAAAGGCACACTTGCCGAGCGTGAGCATCTCAAGTGGCAGCAGGCAAGACCCATTCCCAATAATCCATATTCGGAGGAGAACATCGTCAAAAGATTGCACGAACGAAAAAGGAGCTCTGCGTTCACCACGCCTATCTCTTCCAACCACTCAAACGTCCCAGTCGAGTAAGTTTGATGGCCAAAATAATTATATTCAAAATTAATGCACTTATCCTGATGCAAAAACGGGGAGGTTTATCTCTAAAGTGAAAGATAATTACAAGTAGCGATCGTCATTGCATGAGGGTTATTGGATTAAATTTCCCCGTGAGCCATCTGATAGTCCGCGTGATATTGCAGAGCACCGCAGCCGACTGAGCCGGAGGAAGATTTGAGAATCGTTTGCACAGGCGACGGCGTCAGGGACATCAAAAAGTGAGTTAATTGTTTTTTATTTTTTGTTCTCAATAAACAAAAGCAAAAGAAATCCATTTTCAAATTTTAAGAGAAACATATTAAATTTGATTGCAATAAAGTCAATCTCAGTCAAGCTTTCACATTTAGAGATTCAAATTTTGGTAGTTTATTTAAAATTAATAAAAAATGGAAAAGTGTCAGAACATAAAATTTTTTAGGTACCGCAGGGATTATTATATAAATTTGCAAGAGAGCCAAAGGAAAGAGATGGAACAAGCGGTAAGTTTCTAGCATTGTTTATTTAAAATTGCCTGCTAGTGTTGTAACAAACTAATAAAAGCTGGCTTGGTGTTTTTTTTTTCTCTAAAATTTTAAACTTCATGTTGTTCCGTCTGGAAATGCATGCGTAGTGTGCCAGTGAATTAATATTGAATTGCAGCAAGTGGATATGAGTGAGCCAGGGTGGCGCCTGCAGGTCGCCCCAGGCGAAGAGGGTTGCATGACTGAGTTGTATTTTGAGTCTCTGTCGAGCGTACGAAGGGCGGCCAGCATGCGCACTAAAAAAATTAATAGGCCTCACTACAATACCGGAAGTCTTAGAGGATTGGGACGCCGCTCTAACCTAGAAAATTACTTCCACCATTAATACGCACCCTAGCACCTGTAGTTATAGTTTGTAGGCACCTGTATATAATTTTGAATAAAAAGAAACGGAGGATTTTGAATGTCACGCTTGTGTCCGTCCTTTATCCATCGTTTGGAACACCTTGGTGGTAAAACGAGAACTTTTAGGGAGAGAATGGCAGTGAGGTGCCTTCGTCGCAACCCAGCAGCGTTGTTGAAGAGGCTCCAGCTACCCTTAGTGAGCCATCACTATATGGCAGCACCGACGACCTCCTCAGCGAAATCGAAAGTTTGCGCATGCCGTCCGTCAAAGAGCTGAGCAAACAGTTTGACATTTTGGCACCCAGAGCAATCGAGGTTTGGAAATTTTATATTTAATTGACATTATTTAATTATATTAACATAATTATTTGAGGAATTTTTATAATATGTATAAAAATAAATTCCTTACAGCAAGAAAAGAAATTTAAGAAGATGGAATTTAGCTTACTAATTTGAGTTTTTTATTCAAATCAAAAATTAATTTAACTGCAAATTTTATTTGTATCATCATCATCAAATTTGGGCAAATTAGGTAACTAATCCTTACTGTTTATTTCAGAGGAGACAGAAAGGAAAAGGACATAAGTTTGACAAGGATGTTATAATAATCGAGAGCACACCTTCGCTTACTCCAGCACCACCGGTTAGTTGAAAAAAAAATTTTAGTTTTTAAAATTAAAGAAAAATGTTTGCTCAGGGAACTTCATGACCTTGCGTATGAATAACTCAATCCTTATCTTTGAATATTAAACCATCAAAAGATTATAATGCAATTTTTGAGTGCTCATGATCAGAGCATGTTATTATTGATAATTGCAGGTGCACAGTTTGACAGCAAGAAGTTTGTCGAGTAATGTGCGAGCAAGTCTACAAGGCGACGTGGTTGACGCACCCAAACCTGCTGCTCGCCACCTTGCCAATTTGGAATTTTGGCGTCAGCAGCAAGCCCCCATCCCTGCACCCCGGAGAAAATAACCACTCGAACCCTGTCTTGCAATGCAGGCAAAGTCAAGGGCCAGAACTAGGGTTGGTTTTGTCAACCGGAGTGAGGTTGATTTTGTAAATTTTGTATTTAAATTCATACAAAATTATACATAGATAAATGATATGTACTGCATGTAACTGATAAAAGATGTGATATTTAAGTTTGACTATCTTTCTATGCTTAGCGGTCTCATATGGATTTATATATCCGTTCCGTACCATTAAATAAAGGCCTTGTGTGCCAATTAATAATTCTTCTTGTTTATTTGGTGTGTTGTATTAATCGCTTTGAAGATTCACTGGTCCGTTAAAAAAAAATCTGCACAGCAGAAACTTACCATTGAAACGGTCACTCTGTAAACGAAGGGTTTCCATAAAATGCACATCCAGAGCGCTGGATGATCTCAGATGCAGCCCAGATACCGCATTTGACGCAAACATCCATAGGCTTCCCTTGCACAAGTTGGGCCAAGAATCCTAGACAAATATATAATTATGTAAAAAAGTAAATATTTTTTTTAATCCCAAGGTCTACCTCCTACAAAAGCATCTCCAGCTCCATTTGTGTCAACTATTTTCTCAGCAGGCAATTGTGGTACAACATATTCGGTCAATTTCCCATCTATAAAATTTCACCGGGTTATTACGAAACATTTATACAAGACAAAACATGCCTTGAGCAACCAGCACCGGGTCGTGACCCTGCGTGATAACAGCAATGCGTGATGATGACCCCAACTTGGGTAAGGCTGCAATTTTTAGGGTTATCTCTTTGATATCCTTTGTTCCAAGATTCTGAGCCTCAGAGAATGCTAATGCTTCCTAAAAATGTATTATTTAATTAGTTGTAGCTCAAAAGCAAAAGTGATTGGTTACTGATTCGTTTCCAAAGAGGATGTCAATATAAGGAAAGGCACTCATTTGTGGTTCCTTGTAGAACTGGCAAATGAAGGGAGCACTGAGGTTCATGGTGAACAATTTTTTTTGTTCGAGGGCATGTTTCGCAAGCACCAACATCGAGTCCGGGCTTACAGTCAAGAAAAATCCCTAAAATATTTTAATCAATTTTTGCTATAGATTAAAAAAATCAAACTCACGGAAACATAAAAATATTTGGCTGTTTCAATGCTTTTTAGATTCTCAGGAACTTGCAGATGGTCAGGGGTGAAGCAATTTGCAGCTGCTAAGTTTGCACAAAGGGATCTGTGCGTGCTGTTTCCAGTACCAGTGACAATTACAGCACACGTCCCTAAATCACAAAAAGAACAATATTTATTATTAAAAAAAATAATATTAATAATACCAGTTGGGGTAGTGTCGTTGTATTGGTAGCGGGCAACAACTCCATCCTCCTCAGCTTTTGATTTTAAAATGTCGGAAAACTTGTCCTTTCCAACGCACCCAAAGAAAACAGCCACGCGAGGCTTTTGAAGTAGCCACTGAGGAAAATGATAAAATAATCATTTTTTTTATACTTTTCCTCGTGTGCCAAAAATTTTTACCTGGGCAACACGTAGAGAGTTTTGCACTGCTCCTCCAGCTATGTACTCAACCACATAATTTTCGACCAGTTCCTCGTACATGGGCTTGTGCTTTTCTTCGGCCAGACAAGCGTTGTTAGCGTCCAGGCCATACTTGCTCAGCAAATCTTCATCCCCCACAACCAGCATGTCCAGCAGCGGGTTGCCCATACCAATAATAAGTCCTTCTCTAACATTTTGTAAATAAAATAAAATTAAAATGTAATTAAAAAAATTATGAAAATATTTTTTGCAAGAAAACATACATAATTGAAATAAAAACTTTATTTCAAATCGATTACGTTATATAATTTCCCCAGTTTTTACTTACTCGACACTCATTATGTTGGCAGATATTTTGGATTTTTCCTCAGCGTCAAGGGTAAAATAAATTTATGCCAGTCCACAGAAACCTGCAACACATAGAATAGACGTTTAGTCGTTTATCATAACAATTTCAAGCATCGAAGAATACAATACAGCATAATTATCACAAGACACGAATGCAAATTTTCCTGTTGTTGACAACAACACGAATGTATATGGTATAGTATTTAAATGACACGCTATGGTTATGCTGACACAATTAAACCACTCAATATTGTTTCATAGACCAAATAAAAAATAATTTCTCTTTTTTAAAATCTCTAAGCATCATCTGGAACTGAAAGTTTCACATCGAATCATCGAAAACTTTATGAAATAATTTTGCACTCACGGAAGAAGAACTGCGACGAACAGTCTGCAGCGAGCGAGCAAACTTGTGCTTCTATTTCTATTTTTCGCTTTTCGCCTTCCGCCGGCAGGAAAGGGGGCGGGGCTTAATTTGCTTATGTATCCCGCGGTGGTAGAGACACCTGGCGGAGGTCACTGTTGTTATGATGTAAAGCCAAACCAAAAATTCCAAACTGTCATGCCGGACGAACGAAAGTAAAGCCATTTACGCCGTTTTTAATTGCATTTCCCGACCGCGTACACCACCAATTTCTCTCGGGATCGGTTGCCTAAAATAGGATGCTATGAAACTAAGCGGCACCATCATTGCCAAAGGTCTAGCTGAGATGCCGAAGACTCTGCTAAACGGAGTGGGAATGAATGTCGTCGAGTCCGTTGAAGTGGATGCTGCCTCGATGGTTCACGTCCTCCAAGACCATCTCAGCAAGAATTTACAGGTTATTTTCCTCAGCATTTCGATTCCTGAGTTTGTCCCGGACATTTTCCAACGGATTGCAAAATTTTCGCCTGTCCCATACTTTTATAACAATAATAAATAATTGAAAGTGGAATTGGCTCTTTCGCAAACTTGTTTACGCTTTTTGCGAGTGTCAAGGTCTTAGTGTTTGACCTTGATGTTTTGCGGATGCGTGTGTATTCCGCTCGCGAATCTGCATTTATTTTCTGTCGTTGATTTTAACGCGATTGTTTTGCAGGAGAAGAACATGACAATTAAGGAGGAGCGCTATTCTTGCGATTTTGATCATATGTACACCAGCACCAACGTCCATGACAATGGAGAAGTTCGGCATATCAAGGAGATGTCACTTCTGCATCTTGATGTCATCCAGCACCAGTCGGAAGAACTTGTCAGAAAGGACAAAATCATCGCAGCACTAAAAAAGGAGAATGAAATGGTGATTAATTTAATTAATTTTAAAATATTGCCGAGATAAAATAATATTGATTACCATTAAATTTTTATGTTTAGCTTCAACAAAGAGTCGAGAGAATGGAGAGGCGCGTCAGTTTAAACCACAAAACTAAAGTTGTCGAAGTCTTCCCCAACACTTCTGCGTCAACATCGCCAGAGGCTGAAGCTGCAGCTCCAGTTACCTCCCCCGTTGTGCAGCTACCAACTCCACCGGCAACGGCCACAAAATCTCCACCTTTAACTGAAAAGCCCTTTCCAAAGGCAGAGGACCCTGCACAACCGCCAGAGGGTCCTCGTATCAGCGGCGGGAAAAGTAGTCTTGGAGCGCAGCAACAGCAGCAGAAAGTTACCGCAGCCGTGCCGGAGAGGCCAACGCGTAGTTGTCGCAACTCATCTGCAGCTACCCCGGACAGTGGCTCTGCCAAGAGGTAAAATCATTATAATTTTTCAGTAAAATGATGGTACAAAAAGAATTTCTGTTTTGGACGCTATAAAAAAAGAACACGCTTTTTACAAATGTCAATGAATTTTGTATTTTAAAGGTCTGCAAATAGCAGCGAGGCACCGTCTAAGTCAGCAGAATCAACAGAAATGATGGCTCGAAGATCTAAACCGTGTCCAGTGAGACGGAAGACAAGCGAATCAGCTGGGATTGGTAAAATACGACGATTTGCAGGAGGTATAAAGTTAAGGTATTTAATTTACAGCTTCTGAAGCAACCACTCCGAAAGCAAGAGGGGCTCCCATTGCCACAAAAAAGAGACTGTATGTGCCTGGCACACCCGACATGAGCTTGTGGGACATCATAAACAACCCTGAGAAAAAGGTTAAAACGGAAAAAGTTGTTAATAACAACAGCTCAAGCCAGCCACAAGAAGCCACTGCAGAATCTGAGCTTGAGGTTAGTTCCATTTTCATGAATCAGTAACTTTTCTAAACATTAAAATTATTTTCTAGGTTCCTACGTGGAGAATAAAGCAGTATACCAGCTGCTATTCCATGGAAGGAACTGAAAACCTAGACGATGAGGTGTTTTTAAAAAGACATTCAAGATTGGAGCTTGATGAGAAACGGAGAAAACGGTAAATTTATAAATAATAAAAATGTGAGAACTCTGATTCAATTTAAAATTCTAGGTGGGACATCCAAAGATTGAGGGAGCAGCGCCAGTATGAGAAACTCAAGCAAAAGCAGTTCTCGCAAATCATAACTACCCCTGCTTCAAGCAACCGAAGGTCGAAACAAGCTAGCAAGGAAACGCCTGTTGTACAAGAACCGGAGGCGCTGTGGCCAAGCATCGAAAGCATTGAGTACATAGAAGTCACAAAATACCTGCCGCTTGTCGCATTCGGCTCTCCTGTTCCACACATTTCGGCCAGGTTGACCCGAACCCGTTAGTTCTTTGTGCAGTTTTTGCACTTCCGTTTTTTTTAATTGCAGTGATTTTGAACTTCCTTGGAGCTTCAGAGAGCCAGATGTAAAAGAGGAGGAAGACGACAAGCCAAAGCGGAGACGATCGGCTTTTGCGTCAACCATGTCTGCCACACCACCCCCTCAGCCTGCAAACACCAGACAAAGAACAGTTTCCTCTCCCTCCACCTCGGCAGTTAATCTCCGAAGCAGCAGACGCAGCACAATAGCTGCCACAGCCCCTGAACCAAGGAGAACCACGCGGAGACGTTGACAAACACAAAACTAAATTATGGTCTTGCCTTACAAACTGGTTACTGTGAAAACGAATCGTGCTGAACACTGCATGCTTTCAAATCAGCAAAATTATTTTGCTAATGAAAGACTCCAAAGAAAAACATAATTTGAATTACAGGCACTCAAACATTATAACGGCTTAGCTCACACAAAAAATTGTTTCCAGACATAGATTGGTATTCCCTTCTTTATGTTACCAAATATCTTGGTAATTACGCCAGTGTTATCTACTTCACAGAGAATACTAACCTAGAACAAGAAAATTGCGTTTACATTTTGATTTAAAGTTCTCATTTTTTGAATACAGGTCATGTTATGGCATCAAGAGCCAAAGAAAGAATTTGGTCGTATTGTTCATTTTTGCATTGGTTCACAGAATCATGACCGCAGTACAATCATTTTCCTGAAATCATTGTGGAGAGCATTTATAAGAAATGCTAAACAGTTTTACTGTTATTCTGTGATCGCGTTCTGTATCTGCATTATTTGACATTTAATCCACCTCAACTTGATTCCATAGTTGTATTTTCAAGTAATAGCGTCAAGAATAGTTGGGATTATACTGTATGTTTAATTTATTGCCGACCTGTTAATTTTGGAAACCTCGACTTGATCAGTGTGTTGAATAGTTCAGCTGGTTTTTAGAATAAAATATATGAAAATGTACAAAGTTAATCCAAAACTCTTTATTTGTCAGTTTTATCCTCCGTGGAGGTTGACGAAGGCTCTTCATCATCTTCACTTGATTGCGAGTCAGACTCGCTGCTGTCACTTTCACACTCTGAATCATCACTGTCATCAGAGTCTTCAACATTAGTTCGGACATGGAGACTGGCTTTCAATTGGTTTGTCAAACTTTCCATAACGTCATGTTCTTCCTCCAACGTCATTTGGCCGGCAATTTCTAACTCCTCCAGATCCCAACCAACATCACTTTTATTTGGTATATGCTAAGCAAAGTATTGTTACTACCTGGAACTTTAGAAATCTAATAATTTACCTTTTCTATCGAGTCAGCTAGTTTTGAAAACGTCTCCTCAGAAACAGACTGAATCCAAACGCAGTAAGGCTCTAAATATAATTGTGAGTGAATGTGATAGCTTTCACACTCAGCAAAGTTTGCTATCAAATTAAGTAAGCTCTTTATAATTATTACTCGACCTAAAAAGAAAACTTAATATAGCACTTAACGTACACATTGGGAAAAAATACATACCTCTTTTCAAAATCTTCTGCGTCTTCTCGAAGGCTGCCAGTGCTAATTTCCAGTTTCTATATAATGGAACACAAAGAGATCGTCTCATGCAAGACAAGGTTAGTTTTTGAACAGATGTGAAAGAACGAAGCCAACTAAAAGTAGAACTAAGACGTCTTACAGATCGTGCGCTCTCTGGACCAGTGTCGCCTGTGCCAAATTAAAAATAAAAATAAGTATTTTAAATTTCACAAATAAGAATAACTTACCCTGGGTGGAAATTTGTTCATGAGCCCAGCAAAACAAAATTTCTGCCAAACTTAGTAAGGCGGTTTTTTGCTCTGCTGCCGTCAGTGCTATAATATCTAACTTGGGCAACCTTATCAGACGCTCTTGTTCCTCAGCAGAAAATTCTGAAATTAATTGAAATTTTTAGTAGTTTGTTTTGCTAAACATTTTAATTACATATATAAACAGGCTAAATATTTTTACCACTGTCTGATATCTCAGGAACACAATGCAAATCCTCTTCCAACAGAGGTTTGATCAACTCGTCCTCTTCTGCCCAATCAGCTAAGAAATGCTCTTGGCTGAAATGCTCATTTTCCCAATCTTCTTGCAATTTTTCTCTTTCAGAGGCGGGTGTACTGTCGGGATATTTCAGATCCATGAGTTCTGGGAGATCAGCCTTTGAAAATTAAAATATTAAAAAAAATTAAAGGCTCTATAGATCTGATTCTACCTCCAAAGGTTTGAGAAGCCCACTCTTTCTATTAGCAAATCCATACTTGGGAAGTAATCCAATGATGTCTTCTGGAACCTCCTCAGAGATTTCTTGGTCAATGTGCCAATCAAAATCTAATAAATCCTGATGGTCAGTTTCCTCGCCTGGAAAGTTATGCATATAAGTAAGAAATAATTATAAAAATCACATACATATAAATTAGGAATACATTTTTATGTATCATAATTGTATTGATTTTTATTAGAAATTACCTAGTACTTCAATTTTTGTGAGATTTTTGCCTGATGGCGCCTTAAGCAAAGTATTAACCATGTCGAGGTCCTCAAAGTGCTGCCCTTTGTTGCATTTCGTAAGCGTGACCACATAATCTCCTGATCCAACGTCGAAATGCCCTTTAGATTTTTCATCCTCTGCAACTTGGCCTGGAAGATTCAGGCTGAAAATCAAAATGAGAATATAAACATATTCGTTATTTTCAATGCTGTAAGTACCGCAAATAATACGGAGATGCAAAGAAGCAAACTTGGTTGCGATCAACGTGGATTTCCGACTCGTTGACATCGGTGTAGGGCGCGTGAATGTGCAAAATAATATTTTCATCGGTTTGTTCCACTCGAAACCTCGGGGTCAGCATTACGGAAAAACTCTTCTCCTTCGCAAAATTTTCAAAAAAAGAATATGAAAGAGCTTTGCGATTCTTCACATGACGAACGTACAAGCAGCATGCTCGTGTTTTTTTTTCTGCGCAAGAAGGCCACGCCCCCGCCAAAAATAATTTCCCAGCCGCCGCGAGGGGCCTCTTGAGCGTCGGCGATTTGCGAGTTGCATAACCTCGGCAGCAGATGGCGACTGCCATTGAGAGTTGAGAGGAAGAAGGAAAGGAAAACAATAATTTCGGTACAAATTTGATTATATTTCGCCTGGATTACGTAAATAAACACTAAACAAGAGGCTGTTAACACAACAGAAATCATTCAAAGGTAATCTGCAATTGGTCATGCGTCAGCCGGTGCACCGCTGGGCCCGCGGGCGGCGGTGCTTCGCGAGCTGTGCGGAGATTAATATCGACTAAAGGTCACGGCATTCATTTTGATAGACCATGGCCGAAATTGTGTGCACGTCAATGCATCGACTCTGATCAGAATCTCCCATTCACTCGACCCCTAATTGATTTTCTTTTGTGCCGTTGCAGGCTGCCGCCTTTAGAAAACCATGTCTGCTGCCCAACAGTTCTGCTTGAGGTGGAATAATCATCAGCCCAACTTTGTCACCGTCTTTAGTTCCTTGTTGCACAGTCAGGTCCTCACCGACGTCACCCTTGCTGCCGATGGACAGCAAATAGAAGCTCACAAACTTGTGCTTTCCGCCTGCAGTACTTACTTTCAAGTAATACGCCAAAAATTTATATGACCTTGAAATTACTTAATAAATTTTGGAAATTTCAGGCTCTTTTTACTTCGTACAGTGGTCATCAGCACCCCATTGTGATCCTTAAAGATGTCACTTTTCGAGATCTTCGGACTATGGTAGACTTCATGTACTCCGGAGAAGTGCATGTAACACAGGAACAATTACCTTCCATCATAAAGGTGTGTTTAGCCCCCAAAATATAAATTGCGCACGTAATTAACTACAATGATCCAATTTTGCAGACGGCTGAGATGTTGAAAGTGAAAGGCTTAGCAGAGGGACAAGATATGTCGCACGTTGAAAAATCACAGGTATAATTTACGTTGTTTGTCTACTACAATAATTAATTATTTGATGAAAACAGCTTTCAACTGAGTCATCAAGGTTGTCTTGTGAGGCTCTTGGCGCCTCTACGGAATCCCATCAAACTTGGAGTTCTGAGAGGAGAAGTCCATCACCATCAATTTCACCCTCCACTGCTTCTAGGAGAAAGCGAATGCGGAAGTCCTCAACTGGCTCCACTTCTGGCTCAGGAGTTACAGGTATTTATTCAAATAAAAAAGCAAATCTTTCTTGAAGAACTAAACAATAATAACTTTTTTCACATTTAAAAAATCCTGTTGTTGATTTGTCAACAGAGAGGGTTTCTGATGACCAAGCTGATGTTGCATATCCCCATCATTCCCCACGATTAGAGCAGCAAGGTTCTTCCCAGATGAACCTTAGCACTGACATGTCAGAGCGGAGTATTAGAGAACAAACAAGCACTGACTCGGACATTCAAAACTGCTCCCAAGACAGCGGAAATGAACAAATGCCTTTGTCCATGGTAATTGGAAAGGAAAATTTATCCAGAATTTAGGTTTTAAAATGTACCTAACCAGGTTCATCCTGGAGTTCAGCAGCAACAGCATCATGGACCAGGAAGAGGGGTAGTGGAAGAGGTTCCGAGTCCATTGATGGAGCCCAGCGTGGCTCATCATTATTCCACTCTGAGCGCTTCAGCTGGTAAGAAAACCACTCCGCATTTTTTTTTTCAAATTTTATTTTTGAGGGTGTTCGTGGAAATTGATTTGATTAACCAGCAAGTGTTTCTCTGTGCTTTCTATCTCCTGTGTCTGTTTCCTTTAAATATTCACGAATCGTTGTATAAATTTTCGTAACTTTATTTGGAAAGGAACTGGAATTGGGTAGTTAACCAGCAAGTTTTTTCTCCGACTAAATTTTCTTGCCAGTCAATTTGCTATAGAGAATCACGGGAGCTGGATGGTGTAGATTTTAGCAGAGACACTTGCTGGGTAACGTCAATTCTGTTTCTCATAGACATCGCCGAAAAATTGTGAACGCACCTTGTATTTTGTAAGACAAAATTTTAATTTATTAGAAGGAATTCGTCATCAAATCAGGCCCATAAAATTTAAAATAGATACAAGGTGCGTAACTCATGAGAAAATTTGGGCTAGAGTCGCTGATTGTGCACCTCTACTGTAGGATTCCAATGGGACCCGAGCCACGGCAGTGTCTACTACCCTCGCTACCCCCACCCCTCGTGTTCCTTCATCAACACAGGCCCTCCAACCATTTCCCCGGACGCCTTGCGCCACAATGTGGCGCCCGCGTTCCAACCCAAGCGACAATCACCATGCAGTATCAACATCCCATCGGTGTCGCAGGCAAGTCCCTCAGCGTCAACTCCGTCGCCTTCCGGACTTCCGTCAGCAACGCCTCCAACGTCACCAAGTCCCACTGTCCGCCGCAAGCGGACCGACACTCAACGCGATGAGAATTTTCTGCAAGCCCTGGAGGCAGTGCGAACCGGCGGAATCGGATTCTGCAAGGCGGCTCGCATGTACGGCGTCAACAACCGGACGCTGTGGCTCGAGTACCGCCGCCGGGGCTATCCAATTACTCGACCGAGCCTGAAGCCGAGGGCCACCACGCCCCAGGAGTACCAGTACCCGACCGTGGTCATGAAGAAGGAGCCCGGCGATTCCAGCTGCAGCAACGACGACTCGACCTTGGGGGAGGGCACCTCTTCCATGCCCCCTACCCCCGAACAACAGCAGCAACAACAACAGCAACAACCGCCTCAGCAGCAGCAACAGCCGCCGCCTCCGCCTCCCCAGCAGGCTGTGAGCCAGAACCAGGTAGCCTACCAGCAGGGCACGCCGGCCGAGGTCATGTTCCTGCAGTCGAGTGACATTTTCTGACACCCACGCGATAAGAAATAATCTAAGGCCAAAGCCTCGACGTCTCACTCGCTGAACTTCTACCAGCACTACCCATTTTACTAGCAAAAACTGGAGCGAGGCGTTGTCGAGGCTTCGGAAGCTGAGTCTTAAAATAGTGTCTGCAGACATAGGACTGAAGTGATGGAACTATAGACGGTATTTTCGCATGATATTATTATGTGGAGTGCAATCGAAGAAGAAAAAGTGATTTGGATTGTTTGTTCAATGGTGTTGAACTCGACAAGCGTGATTGTGCTTCAGCAGAAGAAACTATTTGATTGATGTACATTTTGCATCCTATTTCACTTTTAATTAAGTTGACACGAGAAAAGAGCCATGGGTGTTAGTGTTATATTGGAACGTTGCTGTATATTTATATAGGTGACATTACTTACTACTTCCTGCTTAGTCAACCTGATAACCGGGACATCCTTGTTTTCAGCCAAGCATTTATATGATTGATTATTTTGATTATGTGCCGAATCCCGACTCCATTCCTTTATGTGTGAATGTGAAAGCTTAGATTGGAACAAAGTAATTCTTGTCATTCACAAGTACAGAATTCGTTGAAGAATCTCGTTAGTTTAAAAATATCTAGTATATAGTACTGTTGCATAACACAAGCTTGACTATAATAATTGCATAATCAGAGAATTTCTGCTGGCTCAGAGGTTCATGTTATTTTGAGAGAGCTGCGGACGCATATATACCAACTTTACTTAATTTGCTTCGAAGTGGACCCTTATTTTTAGATGGTAGACTTTAAAAGGGAATTATGGAGGATTATTATACATAGCTGATTGTTTGATGCCTTGCCGCATGCTAACTTTTCGAGTATGTACTTACATGTTTTAGAGTTATTTGTACATAGAAAGCCAATGCAAATCCTAATGAGTAATTGTGCAACAGTCATTGTGAAGTACTATATTACCATGGTTAAAAAGATGCAGGTGCACTTGAAATGCTCGCAAGTGGATCAATCCTAATTACTCATTAATGTACTCAAATCTTAAGACGAGACGCTAAACATGGAAGATAGCAAGGGATGTATCTTTAGATGTGCCATACTACAATATACTGCATGCTTATTTTATCATTTGTAACAATTTGTTATGAGTGAAAAAAATAATGCGAAAAAGAAAAATTATATTATTGATGTATAGTAGTTGAAGATATATGCATAACCTCTGCCTAGTATTGTTAGAATAACTAATCTTGCTATGATCTGCAATAAACTTCTGTAAGGTCAATAAATGTTGACTCGAAAAATAATTCATAAGTCATCCTTTATACCCTCTGCAAGCACACTTGAAACACTTATTTTTTTTTCTTTTTGCATCAATTTGCCGTGAGTCATTAATTTTTTTTGATATTTCTTAATTTTCAAGTAACTTTAATTATTTTTAATAGGGAAAGGTTCTTTGTCTCCGAAGCAAAAAAGAGGCCGTCTTCTGATTCGTCAACCTCGACTAAAGAAAGAAACCGACCCGCTCAGTTTTGAGAGTGACCCCGAAGATTCCAACTCTCCTCAGCCTTCAACCTCTCAGTACCTGCAAGTCCCCCATCTCAGGGTGGAGCGGCAAGCTTCGGAGCCTTTGCCCTCAAAGTCACTTCTTCAAGTACCATCCCCTTCTTTCCTTACCAAACAGCATTCACAGCCGCTCCTGCCAAGTCAACAAACCAAGCCCTTGACCCCAAAATCGTCCATCCTTTTAAGGCAGGCCACCATTAACGTGTCAATCGAGGCCAGCACCAGCGCTCAGCCGCCCAAAGACCAAGTGCCAATTCTGCGAGTTACCTCTGAGTCGTCCGAGTCACCCACTAGAAGCCTCATTCGTCGAGAGCCAATTAAGAGGGCCGTTTCAAACCCTGTCCAGTCCATCTCTGACTCGGAGCGACTTGGACACTGTCCATTGCTGAGACCAGGACCGGCTTTAGGATGCAACTTCTGTTGGAACACAATCGACCAAAATAACAGAATCCTCCGGAGAAAGACCAAGTACTACTGTCCAGAATGCCAGACCAATTTGTGTATTGTACCCTGCTTTCAAGAATATCACCACAAATTTGACCGTCAGACCACTACCACCTCACTGCGGTCATCAACTTCGACTGTGCAGGTATCGGCAGCGTCGGGATCGTCTCCAGCAGCTGCCTCTTCCGAGGAGTTTGTGCTGTCACCTTAGAGACCAGCACATACACAGTGGGCCATTTTGAACCAGCATAGCTTATTTTGGTCATTTTCAAATTTCAAAGGATATTAAACAAATATTTTGCAATACCTTTTTTGGAATGGGGATAATTATAATGAAAGTCAAATGGTTGCGATTAAATACAGGGTTTTAACTCTCTATGTAAACTCTCTAAAAGACCTCAATTTGAATGAAAAAACTCTTGTGACTGAAACTTTACACTTCTTGTCTAGATATATATTATATTGCTTATGTTTTTTTTTATGCGCGAATGGATGGGTGTAGGGACTGTCATAGGAGTCACATGATTTAAATTTTAAAACCCTAATAAGTAACCACTGTGATAGAAACTGGAGATCAGTCTGTTATTTAAATTTTCCAATGTATTCATGGATCTACGATGTAATTTTGTCTGATGATATGAACGAAAGTATAAATAACAAAATTTTTGTGTTCTTACAACAAACGCGCTCTGAGAAGGAACAAAAAAGCATGATTCCTTTTACCAGTTCTTATTTCAAAAAGTATTGATCTCATAATATTACAGCACCCTCGAGTACCCTTTAACGACATACTTTTAAACTAACTTTCAAGATGGAGATAATATAATTTCTCTTAATTGAGAAATATCTATAATATGTTTTGAGAAATTACTACGAATAAACGGGAACCATTACAATTTTCTGTTAATATAATATCTCATCAAGACAAAAATGGAATACAAAAAAAATGCTTTACGAGTTCATGGATTCATACAAAAATTATTTATCTCAAAACAGATTCATCAATTCTCTGTATAATAAGCACCACATAAAAAGAAAGTCTTATTGGAGGAAAGTCCAAAATTAAACATATATTTAAATAAAATAATATATTATATATTGATGTCAAGAAACTGCTATTTTAAAATCCTCAAACTACTCTTCTTGATGAGTTAAATAATGTAAAATAACATTTTATAATGCATTTTTCATGAACTTCATCATTGTGACTTTTCATTACGGTTTATTATATATGATAATTGTTACAAACAACGAAACATATATTATAAATAATATGTGGTTAATTATAAAAAAAAATTATTTTCCTGTCAAGCTGCTTTGTACAGAAAAACTTCTAATTGTTCACTTAATGTGCCTACAAACTTTCAAGTAAATCATATTTCTTAAACTGTCTTGGAAAAAATGGGATCACTTTTGTCGATACCTTGCTCAAATAATGTGTGAAAGAATTAACTGTGTACCACGCAACTGCATGTGTTTGTTAATTTTCCATTACATAATAGCAAAATTATGTTCAACTTGAAATTTGGTGTTAATAAATAGTGCAAAGCACCACAAGTACATTTATAGAAAGAAAAAAAACTAACAAATAGCACAGACCGTTAATAATTGTAACACTTCTTCCTTGTCAATTTCAATTGTTAATGAAAGTTTCCAAAAATTAATATGTGACTGTATATATGTCGGATTCCAATAATAAAGTGGAATTTAGATTTTCAACGAATTTGATTCAGTGTTGGATGATTGAATATTAAAACACTTATCCTTTAATGATTTGCATCAACATTTATAATCAACTTTTATTGGTATGTACAGGAAAAATAATAATATAGGATTTAATATACAAATTCAACATACAGAGATCTCATAATGACACCTCGTTGGGAACATCAATTAAGTGTGGACCATAAAATTGGTTAACACAAACATCCAATCAACAATTCCAAAAAATAAGTCATCATTTTGTATGACTAGCTCTCTTCAACATGACACAATCAAGAGTAATCAATTCGAGCGTTTCTAAGCTGTATCACCTGGACTTGGAATTATAGTACTTAAATTTCAGCTTCATTTTGGTGGGAGGACGCTTTCAAATAGTACATTTAATGAGGGATGTTAAATAGCAGCTACAATTTTTTAATTTAGTTGATTCTAAAAAGCAACAATTAAGATGTTGCTTGGTTTAAAGTTTAGTTTTACTATATATATACTTATGCATTGGTAATTCAAAAGAACGGAATGACTCACTCGAATATGAGCGAGGACGAATGCTGAGCCTCCACTCGTCCCCCTCATATTCTATTTGAGTAAAGGAAAGTAACTTGCTGCGCCTTCTTGTAACTTATTAGCAGAGACCAAAACCACCTTCATCGTCGTCATTATCAGCACCACCAGCTGCTCCCTCCTTTAAAAATTTATTTAAATAAATAACTAATTTCTCTGGTACATTTGACTTTCCAAACCTCAGCTTGTCCGCCCTTATTAGGTGATATGTAGGATGGTGCAGCTTTCTCAATGACTGATGCTTTCGACAATGGGGCCGTACCGCGGGGCAGAGGCAGGTCACGGGCTAGCCTGGAATACTCAACATCCATGTGCTTAATGAATGAACTGCTCAACGCCCTTGCAGCCATTTCCGGATCTTCCTCGTCAAATCCTTGAAGCAGCTGCTCTAGGGTTTGAACCTGAAAGTAATTTTATTTTATAAAAAAAAATTTGCTTTCACAGCGTATAAAGAAATTTTACCTCCTGGGGGTCGCAACAGTTTCCCCATTCTTTGAACGCCTTTTCAGCAGCCACTGTGTCTCCTCTGGCAAGCTGAACCAACACCAAAGCCACAGCAAGCCGACCAATCGATCCAGTACTCTCCGTCTGCTGGAGAAGTCCGATTTCTCTCCTGATAGCGTCCGTCGCTTGATCGTACATTCCCAACTTGACCATGATTCTTGCAACCTTGCTTGCGTACTCAGATCCCAGCCTGGCATTGTCCTCCAGCTTGCAAATTATTTAGATTAATATTGGAAAAAACATTTGGAAGCCCCAACCATATAAAAATATTGAAAAAAGAGAATTTATAAACCCCACCATTACAACGTCCGCAGCTCTCTGATATAGCTGGAGAGCTTGCTCGGGATACTGTCCTTCAATGATTTTTGCACCCTTGTCCAGCGCCATTGCTGCAGAGTCGCATGATCCGTGCTGCTGGTATAGATGGCAACTTTTTTCTGCAAGTTTTTGAACATCTCGAAGATCTCCAAGCTCCTTGCAAACCAATATTGCTTGTTCGTAATTCCTAGAATTTTATTCATGAAGTTCAAAAAGAGTGGAAAAAATCAGAATTTACTCACTTTGCAGCGTGGAAAAATCTATTAATGGGTCAAGAAAAAACATCTAGTTATTTTTTATAATTTAAATATGCTTAATCTCTAATGAGAATTTATAATTTTTTTTTTTTGCGAAAGGATACGATCGATTCTGCTTGTTGGAATCAGCAGCTTTCATTAGGCAATCCTTACATTGCTCAAATGATTTTGCAACCCTGAAGCAAGTGGCTGGAATAATTATAAAATGAAGCTTTGAATAATTTATGATTAAATTTTCAATTTTTAAACAATACCAGCTTTTTGATATTCATCTGCGGCAATGTCATAGTCAGGTCTCCATTTCAACAGAGAAGTTTTCATGCTGCCGAAAAGACAAGAAAAATTTATCAAATTCTGCAACCTGCTGCCATAGCCAGGGTTAGTTATTTGTTGTAAATTACCACTTCTCTGCATTTTTTATGTGCTCGAGTCCTTCTTCGAATTTCTTGTTCGATGCCATTACAATTGACTGGGCAAAATTCGCGAATAATTATGGACACACAAGGGTTGCCTGGGAAGAATGGAAGGCGTGCACAAAAATCAATATTAAAGGAGTGCAAGTTCCAACGCGAAAATAACAATGAAATACCAGCGAATTTGTCTTCCTCGCAAATCGACGGAATTCCTTCTTCAGTTCGTCGTCAGGAGAGAGCCGTGCACCATGTCAGGTGTGACAGACAGGTCCGCTCGAAACCATGTATGTCAATTTCGCCAATGCGCCATTCGCCAAGGGGCAGGGAGGACGTAAATAATTGCACTTCTGCGAAAGGGTTTACTTGCTCCTGCTCGGGGGTGGGCGGCGGGAGGCAGACGTTTGGTACGTAAAACAAATGCGCATCGGGATTTTGTGCTCCAGTGATGCATAAATTGGCAACGCATCAAGTTGACATTTTGGACAATAGATGGCGTCGCACTGTACACGTCAATAAGCTTTATTTGGTACACGGTACACGTTAAACTAAAAACTAAATAATAGAAATTTATTAAAATCATTTTTCATGCTTCCAAAATGTGCAAGAATAAGCTGAAATTTAAAGTTTAACTGGCCGCTAAAATCCTATAACTAATAAAATTATTGAAAATATATAAATATTAGTGTTCATGACTATGTATCAAATGGAAGAATAAAATAAATATAATAGCTTTTTAATGAAGAAACTTAAATTCAAGCCGAAACTACTACGACCAAGATTTTTTTTGCATTCAAATTTTAAATTAAGAACATTTACGAGTGAGAATTAAATTTTGATTGAAACGGCCGGTGATATAATAATTCCAAATATTTCCGTGGACTATAAAAGCTAAATGGATTGTATTTTATGTCGAACTTTTGTTGTAATAAGTTAAACTGCACTAATAAAAATCAATAAACTGTAAGACATAAAAATCATAATTTTAAAATATCAATTTCATAAATTTTTTATTTAAATAGTAGAATAAATTAAATCTTTCATTATCATTAGAATTATTAGGTTTATAGATAAGAAAAAACGAAAAAAAATATGTAAAAATAATGGAAAATATCATATTTTCAACATGTATGTGAAAAAAATTGTATATCATGAGATTTCAGATACTGATTTTCTCAATTATGAATTGGTCATGCTCCTCGTTGTGCTGACACTTCTTCATGGCAAGATTCTCGCACCTCTCTCCGCAGAACCAGTTGACATCAGGATATTCTTCATCATCCTCGCAAAAGCTGCACATGACCAGATTCTCTTCGACTCTTCCGCAGAAACGGCAGTGCTTCAGGGGCAGCAACAAGTCTTCTTTCCAGCTTCTGATTTTGCCCTCTTCTTTATCAAGTCTTGAGAGGTATGGTGCAAACAACAGCTTTTCAGAAGGTCTCTTGATGACCTCCAAGGCAGCCCAAGTCCAATTTTGGCGATCAAGATCGATGCACATTGAAGCAATTTCCAGCTTGAGCTTGCGCAGGTCCTTTTGGACGAAGTACTTGAGAATGAGCTTGGTGTTCTCAGGGTAGCAGTTTGGTGGGGCGTAGTTTTCCGGGACTAGAATGGTCTTGCACATTTCGTACAGTTGGTGCAGAAGGACGCCGAGCCTTTGCCAGGCTGTGACTGCAGTTTGGCCCCTTCCTTTGCTTCCTCCCAGCAGATCCAAGTAGACCTCCTCAAGAGTCTGCAGTCTGAAGGTGCAACCTTTGGCCAAAGAGGATTCAGTCTGGTAAACAGTCACCAGTTCAATCATTGCGTAAACTGCCAGCAGCAGGCTTTTGAGCTGTGACGGAGCCGGTGAAGCCTCTGCAGATGCACACAAAGACCCGAATCTAGCCATGCCTTCCGTCAGCGCGAATATTATCATGTTCGTCCAGGAAGCACCTTTCAGGGTCCAATCCAGGGCCAGCCTGTGCAGATATTTGGTCATGGCTGGGTCTGTGGATGGAACATTGTTGGCTGCGTTCTGGGAGAGCAGCTCATTCAACTTCATTATCGGAGTTGAGATTGTTCTGAACTTCTTTGGCACAACACTGCAAATACGATCCAGGAACTTTCTCCTAAACGCCAGGAGGGATGTCACATGTCTTGGATTTCCTGAAAGCAGGTTGGTTGTTGTTTCTTCAGGACCTGATCGAGACTTCCAAGCATCATGATCTTTGGAAAAAAGATCTACTAGCTCCTCAAGGAAGAACATGGACAACTTGTACTTGAAATCGGGGCTACTATCTTTGCGGAAGCAATTCACAAAAGCTGGCAGGATGTAGTAGATGAAGGTCCAGTCAGGGTATCTTGGATTACTTTTAGTTTCCACATGGACCATTTGCTTTGCCAGTTGGAACACACGTTCCTAAAACAAGGTAAGATTTTTTTAATTTTTTTTTTTATTAAATCAATATTTCAAGGGCTTTTACCTCAATTGAGTTCTGCGGCTTGGCTTGGTCCAGCGTCTGCAAAAGCTTTTCGGGAATATAGCTCGATCCATTCCATCCTTCCAAACTTTTGTCAACCATCTTCTGAAAGCCATCAGCTTTTACAAATTCATCAAAGATCCAAAATGCTCGGTTAATGTCCAACTCTATCAAAAAGCTTTCATCAGCATCTTGATGTAATGTTCGGTTTGCAACAAAAGGGGTCGATCTGGATAGCAAACCGAGCATGATGGAATTGTGCTCTTGAACAAGCAAAGTTAGCAGGCAACTGCTCTGAGTGATAGTGTGAACTTGGGTTCCATTGTATGTTTTCGACATTTCGGTAACTACATTTTTTAAAAACTTTGTGTAGCTCGTGTGATCTAGAAATTTTAAATTTGCTGACTTCGAGAGATAAACCTTGTTTAAAGCTTTGTCAAGTGAGCTCGTGAAAATTGGTGCTTCGTCCAAAAGTGAGAATACCTTGCTCTCGTTGATTTTTGCCTTCAGATCCTCGATTTTTGTAATGATGTCACCAAAGCAAGGCTTGATCACTTTAAAACTGTTGACCCAATACGAAAAGGTATACATAGATTCCTCTAGTTCATTATCAGAGTCCACAAAGATGTTTCCATTATGAATGAAAACTTCTTTTTTCTCTTCAGTTTTATCATTCTTGGCACGAAGTTGCGCAATTACACCAGGCAGAGATTTAAAGAAGTGTAATAGGAATAACTCATGGTTATTATCTCTAAAAAGGAACGCCTTCAGATAGCCCAAACAGGGTGCAACGACGTCCTCCATAATCAGTGTAGTCACTCTATCGTCCTTTTTTGGATACATTTTCACCTGATGGCCAATCAGGGCAAATCCGTAGTTCAGTCTTCTTTGCAGATCACTAAATAACATCAAGATAATTTGGACTGCAGAGGCAATCTGTGGTGGAAAGGATGAGCTCTTGAAAGTATGAAAGTTGTGGTTTATTTCAAAATTCAGCAAAGCGTTTTGAGCTGCCACAAGCCACTGGTTGAGCAGGACAGGATTGAAATGCAGTTGCCAAAGGACTCCCTCGTTGAACAGGAAATCCTCCTCAGCAGTTTCCTTATTTCCCCTCGCAGCAGGGTTTTTCATTCTGTGCGAAGAAAGTTCACATGACGAGTAATTGGTGACAAAAGCTGCCAAGGCCATCAGTGTAGACTTGTCATTATCCCTGGCGGCCTCATCCACCTTGCTCCAGAAGGAAAGACCTGAGCATTCAATACTGAAGGCTGTCCGAGTTGCCATGGTGAGGTCGTAGAATCGATCCTCCTCCGTCTTGGATTTTCCGCAGAACAAGAGCTGACAAGTGTAGAATTCTTTGTCTGCATACTCTGGCATGGCCAGTGTCTGGGTGAGGTAGAGTGTCATAAGCAGTTTGTTTTTGGTGAAAAATATATTTTTGAGGAATGATTCTCGAGTTGACAGAACATCGTCCGATGGTTGTTTACTGTCCTTGCAGCACTCAATCCACGGAAGGTAGGGTAAATAAGCCACATGCTTGGTCAGTTCTAGGAAGAATGCTAAAATTTTGAGGATAAAATGAGATGAAGGAAATTATTTTAATTTATTCAAAACACAAACATTTCTCAATCTCTTCATCTGCTAGTTCAGTAGGTGATAGTGGCAGTTCCCGGTGCATTGTGTGCTGCAGGTAGTGCAGATTATCCCTGCTTATTATTCCGACTTTTCCATTATTCACTTTCTTCTTTTTATTCTTGCTCATTGTTGTTCCAAAATCAGGTATGCAATCTGAAAAATAGAAAACAACATTAAATATGATATTTCTATAATAATTAATTATATAAAAAATTTAAGCAGCAGTGCATGCTTCAAGTCGACTTCAAAAGTGGATCCACTAAAATATTGAAAAAAAAAACTATATTTCTGAATTTAACCCAAAAACTCTGTTGATAATTTATTTTAAGCTTGGTAAGGACACAACATGTTTAATGACAAACATAACTTTCTGAAATTTTAAATTTAATTTAAAAAACCCCGTCATCCACAATGGCATTATGACCAATATTATTTTGATATAATTTTCACGATTTATTTTTTTTGCAGGAGTGCTTGGCGGTCGGCGCTTGCAACTTCTAAAATTTAAATAATAATTTAATAATAACTTGTGATTTTTAGTTGAATTGTGATTTTTTTTAAATTTTATTGCGTTCATGCGTTTTCATTTTGTATCGACAAATTTTCGTCCTCTCTCTTATTCAGCTCTTGAATACAAAATACAAAGATAAACATGCGATTTTTTACCTGAAACCACGAAAAATACAAATGGGAATCTGATTGACAAGTGCGTGAAGGTCGCAGGTTTGATCACTCTGCGGCTCTGCGTGCAGCCGTGCACCCTAAAATCTACCCTTTTCAGGGCGACGCTGGAGATCGAAGTCGGGCTGCAAAACAGAAATGCGTGTGTGCAATGTGACCGGACCGAGGAGTTAGTTCCAAACTCCTTGCGTGTGGCATCCGCGTTGTGCGCCAGGCGCCAGCTGACCTGAGGAGGGTTTGATTTATTTTGGCACAATTGTTCCCGCTGCTTATTAAGCAGCGGGAATACGGGAGAGGGGGAAGGGAGATGGTATACGGTGAGTTGTTCCGCCGGGGACTTGTTCCATAAGAAAAAGGTGAGTTGTTCCGGCCAATCAGAGCAAAGTGCCGCGCCCCCTGCACAATAGGGGAGTTGTTCCAGGCGAAGAAACACTAAAAGATTAATTTTTTCCTCACTTTCACCTCTGATTTAATTTTCTAGATAGTCGATTGTTTTGAATTTATAATTATTGCTAGTTAAATTGAAAATCCCGAATACGTTGGCAGGGTAATAATTTTTTAAATAAAGATTTAATATATTAAACACTCCGTGAGCGTCCGTGAGCAATGATTTTTTTAATAAACTTAATTTGCACGAGTTTTAAATTGATATAAATTCAATTTCATTTTAGCGCCCAAATCAAAATTTTCAGCAATGTCCGTCCAAAATATTAACGAAGAAGTCGATTCAACAAAAAATTCACAACTAGAATTAAGTAAAAAAACCAACAAGCAATAAAAGCATTATTAAAATAATTTTATAGACCAAATTGAATAGGAAATTATGATTATAGTAGCAGACTTAAGGCTTAGAGAAATATTGATTGTATATTTAATTTGTGAAAAAGTTATACGTGGGGGAAAACCTGATTTAGAATATAATAATGCAATCAAATTTCAAAATTGTTTCGGAATTTTATCATGTAATTGATTTTTCAAAAGATGACGTATCTTTGAAATAAATTTTGAATGCCATCATTTAAATCAATATATATCTTTCAAATACTCATGGAACAACTACCCTACTGTAAAGGGGGGCGCGACTCTTTGCTCTGATTGGCCGGAACAACTCACCTTTTTCTTATGGAACAAGTCCCCGGCGGAACAACTCACCTACAACCGTGTAACACCGTTTGGATTATAATGGAAATCTCACATGCAATTTTTTTAATTTTAAATTTGAATGCAAAAAAATTCAACTTTTATTTTTGAATAAGCTAAGATAAAACATATATAATTAAATCGATGGTGAAGTTGAAAAACAGCAGCGCGACCCGCTCATCTCCCTTAACAACCAAGGGAGAGGTTAAGGGAGATGAGCGGGTCGCGCTGCTGTTTTTCAACTTCACCATCGATTTAATTATATATGTTTTATCTTAGCTTATTCAAAAATAAAAGTTGAATTTTTTTGCATTCAAATTTAAAATTAAAAAAATTGCATGTGAGATTTCCATTATAATCCAAACGGTGTTACACGGGCCGCGGTCCAAACCTCGCGCACTATGCCCTAAACACTAAAACCTCCTTGGTTTTAGGGCGCGTAGTCCCCTTTGCACACTAAAGGGGGCGGATCCACACTAGGTGAAGTGCGTAGGGTAAAATTTTGGACCGCAGCCACGGTGTTAATATAATAATTCTGTGGACCACTTTGTCCAGATGACAAAAAATTATAAGAGTATGCACATTTCATATTTAAGAGAACACAAAAAGATCCGCGCTTAAAGGATGAGTGCAAGAGACTTGAAATGTGCATAACTTGCATAATATAAGTACAACCAATATCCCCAGCTGACTGCCAATTCTATACTTTCACTGCCTATTTACAGAGTGACATTAAACTAGTTTTAAACTTTAACTCTGTCCTACAACCCATAATACCTTAACACCTCTTTACATTTATTTTCATTATAGACTTTTATGTATGTGGATTGAAAAATTATTTATTACCCAATGAGTATTATTATTTATAGTTGTCTCGTACGGACCTCCTCATTATTATAGCACCATTTAACGTTGACCTTGATCGTAAGAATAGCATTACAAGGTCATGCAATGCTGATCGCTATAATGAGGTCCCTGCCTGTGAAAGGGGCCTAACTTGGGCCTACCTACGTCCTATTACTATACCACGTCCGGCAATCGTAGGCGGCTTGGGCGAGATGATTGAATCCAGAGATAAGGCCAAATATGACGTCACTCCATTGAGCGCATGTCTCATTCCGAACGCAGATCGGGAATTCGAAACGTGTTGGTGTCGAATGGAGCTTGCGGATTGGTTGTAACCGGAGTGATCGACGAATGGGGAACAAGAAGAGGAGCGAGAAACGCGGAACGAGAGAAATAGGACAGCAACAAGGACGGAGGGAAAACCTCGTCTCGTCGATAGAAGATCGGAATTTCTTAGTATTTTCATCCGTTCAAAGCTTAATTGTTCTCTTAAAGGTGAATATTTCATTTTAGAGAGTTCATTCTTTAGGTTAAGACACAAGCAGGTGGTGTGGTAAGCCTCTATTCGAAGAAATTCGCTGCCGAAATTCGGGAACCCGCACGGCGAGGCGCTTTCGCCATCTTGATTCCCTGCAATCACGCCGATTTCCATTCGTTTTTCTCAATAATGTAATCGCATCCTCGGACCACTGCACCTTTATTCTATTTAGCCCTGTCGCTCTTGCTCACTTCTGCTCGTAAGCTGCGTCAGAGGTGGCGATTTGCAGCTGGATTTGCGACTCGCGGCATGAGAGAGTGCCATTGATCCGCATACACAGACACCGCAGAGAGGAATTAGTCACTTTGCCCGACGCATACGTTCGCCCGCTTGCGAAATACCCTTCACATGGGTGACGTTGATTCAGCTACGTTCCTAAATCGAGATCATTAATTCATAGGTCTCCCCGCCCGTATGGTTTATGAAAATTTATTTCGTACTTAAAATTAAGTTTTTTCTTAATTCAAGTGCATAACCGTACATTCTATGCGTTTTTTTTTTTATTATTTTATGTATACGTTTTATTTTTATTTTACTTTGGGCGTAAATCAGGGTATCACTTTGCTTTTTTTATCTTTCCACTTCATTTTCTGCATATGGAATTTTCTTTAAATTATCTTTAAAATTATTATTTTTAAATTTCATTTTTTCGTTGCATTAAAAATTTAGAAATAATTAAATCCTCGGCATTCTTGCTCTGATGTATAAAAAGCAAGAATATTTTTGCCTCTTTCGCAAATCCCTTTTTTACTCTAAGCGTCGCAAAAAATAATCCTAACATTATTTTCTGGATTAAACTGGAAATATTGGTTAAACTTCATTATTAAAGCTACCTAGGAAATATTTTGATGGATAATATGACGCAATGGCACCAAAATTATTTTCCACTTATGGTAAAATGACCAAAAAATTTATTTTGGAAAAGTGTAGCATTTTTTTCTTAGTTTTTTTTAATGCCATGCCATTGATGCCATTTATTTTTTCCCTTAGAATTTTATTGTTTTCAGTTACGTTTTCAATATACTTTTTTTGAACACTTTTGTGGTACAGATTTTGTTGATAATTCAAAAATAGTGTGCAGCTTTTATTGAGCGTTCAAATCTGTTAAAATCATCACAAATATAAAAGCTGAAAAAAAAATAATAAAAGTAAGCTTATTGCCAAGTAGTTTTTTTTTTTTAATTTGGCGACTGCTGTTTTCAAACTACACATTGCAGATAATGAATTGTGTTGATTTCCATCAAATTATTTATATTGACAGACTTTGTATAAAGCTACTTGGTATGGTAGTTGTTTATTTAGTGTACTCGATCTAATTATTGTTATCAGGATTTAAAAAAAAAATATTCGAACTTGTTTGATCCAAAAAATCAATTAGCCACAATTTTTCAAGCAGAAAAGTTTGTATAAAGAGTTTTGTCTACAGTGGATTTTTTTATGTTGCTTCATTTTGCAAATGGATTTTGCTTAAATTATAAATATCACAAAAAGTGGCATGTGGAAATTTGATTCATGACTTTAATGAGTATTTCACGAGTTCTTTGAGTAGCTATTGATCTATTAAATTAGAAAATGTAAGCAGGATACTTTTGTTAGAATAAATCCGGATTACATATATTTGCATAAAAATATACAAACTTGAATTAAAGAAATCTTTGCTTTCATCAAGAGTATAAAATTGTTTAATAAAGTATTTCATCTTTATATGGAAGTATCAATGCGGACAATTTTGCTCAGACCAAATTTCTATAGGAAATAACGAAGCAGCACTAATTTCATAGAGGGCACCTTTCCAGTTTCCACCGACCAATATAAGTGTCAAGATCAATATATGAAATGTATTGATCGTGAGGATGGCTGGGCTATCACCATGAAGCTCGAAATTACGTCACTTTTATTGATCAGGTGCTCTGAATTGTTTCTGGAATAAAATATTAACAGGAGGACAAGAATAATAGAGAAGGTGCTTTTATGCAGTGTTTTAAAAACGCTACGCTACAAAATCATATAATTATTTTGGACGTGGAAGTTTTGAAATCCTGGTAAAACGAAGCAGGTCGCCTTAATCGTACATCAGTCCATCAATAACCTCATCTGCATTATTTTTTTTATATATAAATTTGAATCAGCAAAGAGAAGCATTCCTTTTTTAATTTTTTTTTTCAATTAAAAGTTAATGCAAAATTTATCATTCATCGATTTTTGTTTGTTTTTTCGCTCTCTTCATTTTCATACCATAATAATTATACAGATGGAGACTTCTGTGTCAATTTGGACGGCTTAGAATAAAATATACATTTACTAGGAAAATCCATTAATTTCGAGACGCAAATTTGATTAAAATAAGTGGCAATTGTGGTGCGGAAATTGTGCTGAAAAAAGAGATGAGCACTTGGGTCGCTGTCAATCCTCCCATCTGGACTTTGCCGCTGTGTTAATAGTCTCACTGTACACGCAGGCCACCATGTTCTGCTGTTGAGCATCTTGGCGCGGAGTGCGCTCAACTCCTCCCTTCGCCCGTGACTAAATTAACACAACGGTGAACTGAAAAGCTGGAAAACTATTAATCTGATTTCCCTTTCGCAATAACAGTGAAGAGTGTGCAATTTATTCATTTTTTATTGTTAAATCCCTCTTGGAAATGGTACCAGCAGGTCTGCAATATCTTAATGGCTGATAATATGGATCTCCGTTGAACACGGTTGTCTGTGGACCCACTGGGCCAGGGGGAAATGAGTACGGGATAGACTTAGTTGTTGGGGATTTCAAGGATCAGGAAAGTTAATCCAATTAGATTAAGCTTACTTTCTTTTTTAAATTAAAATAAGTACCAATTAAATTGAAAAACTCTGCCATTATTATTATTTTCATAAATTTAACTTTAATAATGATGTTTCTGTAAAATAAATTAAAGCAGATACCGCCAGTTACTTGCATTAGTAAAATCAAGATTTATCTAATATTTTTCGCTATATTTCCCATTAAAACTACAGCAAGAAAACTTATTAAAAGGATCGCGTCTAGATAAAAATTTTTAAAAATCTGCTGCAATATTAACTATTACAATTACGCTTCCCAAAGTCGCTAATAATACAAGCCTACATAAAACAATCGCTCGCAATCAACTAATTCACTCGCTCTTTCCGCAACAAATAATTGCGGCTCACTCTGCTTGTCTACAATGAGCTCGCTCACTATTATTGGTGTTTATTCCTCACAAATCAAATCAAAATAGAAAGAAAATCTAAGTAACGGCAACACCTTAAGCAAACAAGTAGCTAAAACGCGGGGCCTCTAGAGGTCCTCGCCGACATGAGTGTCAAGCTAATTATTATTCATGGTTTGTCTTAATCTATGGAATTAAAAATTATATTATGCCACTGAACGTTCGGTATGATCGATAAATAAATATAAATGATTCAAAATCCACTAAATGAATAAAAAGGTATGGAATAAAAAGATTTTTTACTTTGAAATAAATAAAATAAAAGATTTTGTACCTTTTTCCCCAATGCTTTTGCATCATTTAAACAGTGAAATTTCCAAAATATTTTCCTTGACAAAATTAAAGCAGCTCGTAGTAATGGGCTTTCAACTATGATTTCATGGCTTTCGGCGGCTAAAGTTTTTTTATTTATTACATTTTTTTATGAATTCTACAAATTTTATTTTACATATTTTAATTTTGAAGAGAAAATAAATAAAACATTAGATTACACGAGAAAATTTGCGATTTCAAGAGGAATCTACTTGTGCATTATGTGATCAAGATGAATTATTTCAATATGTTTCAATACAAAATATTTAAAAAGTCCTTTTAAATGCAGATTAATAAATTTTCATTCGGCGTTTTTTTTTTTTTTAATTAAAATGTTTTTTCCTCCATAATATGAAATAGAAATCTTGACTTATACTTTTTGTAGTATTTAAAAAACGTCAACCCAGCCTTTTTTTCTTCATGAGCTTGTACTTTAAGGGTATTTTAAAAGAAAAAAAGCGTGATTATTATAATTTTAGCGTCAAGCCACGTAGAAGAAAAGATTTTCATATTAATTTACAGTATATTTAATTGGCGAAATACATATTTTACGCTAACTAAAAAGAAACAAAACCCGCTCAGATAAATAATACTGTTTTTATTTAATCTTACCGCCTTTTTCAGTTTCCAACGCTATAATCATTAAAATAATATAATATTTGTGATTTTTTTTTTAAATACGCCTAACTTATTAAACTGACATTGTGATAGAATTGGAGTGTTTGGCAAGGCTTATAAAGATGTAATAAGTAAGAGTTTGCTAAACATTCAAGGAAATTTAAAAATAATAATTAATTTTTGCGCTCCTCGCACGAAAATATTAAATTTCTAAAATTCGGTTCAACCAATTTGATAATTTTAGCTACGCCTAAATTAAATAAATTTTTGATTATACATCTGCAAATTCTTCCTTTCTATTTATCTGCTATTTGTCTTCTGTATTGCTGTCTGTTAAGTTTAAGAAAAGGAGAAGTTATAACATGAATGGAAATAGAAATTCGAAATAATTTGCAGAATCGACTGGCAGCTGAATTGCGGCGGCAACATGAGTGTCATCATCAGGCTGCAGAATCTGCCGTGGTCGGCCAACGCGCTGGACATCAGGCAGTTCTTCCAGGGTCTCGCCATTCCTGAGGGCGGCGTGCACATAGTTGGGGGAGAGAATGGAGATGCATTCATTGCATTCAGGTACATATATGCAGTTGAAAAAATAACAATTGAGAATTCAAATCATCATTTAATTTTGTCAATGAAAATATATCCAAGAAATGATATGAATAATATAATAATAAAAGCACATATTTTGTTTTATGGAAACCATCAGCAATTAATTATTCCTGTTTTTGAATTGCATAACATTAAATGGATTTTTCAATCACACCTCTTTTGTGTTGAAGCAAATAAAAAAATAAATATAAATATATTAAAAATATTTTTGTAAGATTGAGAACGCATAATGGTTTGATGTCAAAAAAGCTAAGTTAAAAAGAATTATTTTTAATTTTATGTGAAAGTATTTAAATGGAAGCCGTATAGCGCCAAGCCCATTTATTGATTGAGAATTAGCATAATTTGTTTTTTCATTTACCTTTGTTACACTTATAAGTGTGCAAATAAATCTTACTAAATGCCAAAAATAATTCAATTATTTAATTACTTGGCAACTTCTGTACCCAACAGTAAAAGTTAATAGTGATGATTATATTCATTTCCTGTTTTCATTAATTGAGATTTCACAGAGCTAATTATTATGGAATTCAAATATTTAAAAAAATAATAATAATAAAGTGAAAAATTTCTTGGTTACTTACTATCCTTTCAACTCTACAGCACTGACGAAGATGCTCGCCAGGCTATGATGCACACCGGAGGCAAAATTAAAGAGGTACAAGTATCTCTTCTGCTCAGCAGCCGCACCGAAATGCAGAAAGTCATCGACACTGCCCGTCAAAAAGTCCTGGGTATTCAGGCCGCAAGCCTCATCGCTCCGGCCCAACCTGTTGCCCCAGTTCAGCAACCCATTCAGCAGCCAGTAGTTCAGCAGCCTGTGGTTAATCAGCCACCAGCAGCAGTAGTACCAAACATCCCTATTGTTTCCTCCCCTCAGATGACCATGCCTATGCAGAGCATGCCGTCGCAGCTTTCAATACAGCAGCGCCTCCTGGGAATGGTCGGCATGGGAATGGCCCAGTTGAACAATTTGCCCATGGGCAACACTCCACAAAACAACCAGCAAATCATGCACCCTCACATGATGTCCGCCCATCAGCCACCACCTCACTTTCCTCACCAGCAGCCACCCCCACACCATGCACTTCCAACTCAGCAGCCAAACAACCCAATGATGGCTCAGCAACACCACAATCCATTGATGGTTCAGCAGCACCCTTCCCTACCAAATCAACCCCTTCTGCAGAATCAGCCCAACAAGCCCATCGAACGCCGCACCAGCAGGGATGCCAGAGGTGAAAAGAAGAGGTCCCGTTCTCGATCGAGGGATCGGAAACGCTCGAGGGACCGCAGAGACCGCAGTGGTGGAAGCAGTCGGAGGCGCCGCTCTCGCAGCCGGTCCCGAGATCGAAATCGCAGGCGCGACAGAAGCAGAAGTCGAGAAAAGTCAAAGGACAGGGGCTCAAACAGGGAGAGCAGAGACAGACGTCGCGAAGAGCGGAGCAAGGGTGGTAAGGAGGAAAAGAGCAGAGGCAAGGACGAACCCGCAAACAACGTGGCAAAGAACAACCAGCAAGCACCCACACCTTGGGCCACTCCGAATGTGGGAGGCGCTGCTCCTGGCATGCCAATGAACATGCCGCGCTTTCCTTTTCCGCAAAACATGCAGGGTGACATGGGAGTTTGGGGCCAGCAGAACAACTTCAACCCCCAGCAGGCTCAGATGCAGCAGCAGATGGCCTTCCCCCAGAACGGTGGCCCTCCGATGAACCAGCAGAGGCGGCAAAATTCTTGCGTCGAGATGTCCAACATGTCCAGTATGGCCGGCTACCGGGACATCCGCGATTTCTTCCAAAATCTGCATGTGGTCAACATCAAACTGGTCTGCGACGAGAAGGGCCAGAAGGTGGGCAAAGCGTTTGTCAAGTTTGGAACGCCAGAATGCAAAGTGGCGGCTGTCAAAATGAACGGAACCATGTTCAAAGGTACCCAAAGGGTGGAGGTGAAGCCCTGCTCTGAGAAGGATTACGATCGAGCCCTAGACTCGTTTTCGCCAAACCAAGAGCCGGCAGTGGTTGCCATCACCAACATACCTCCCTATGCAAACGAAGTGGACGTCAAGCGGGTGTTCCATGGTGCTCGAATATTCAACGTTGTCCTCATGCACCCCGGAGACGACACTGCCATCCCTTCGGCCTTTGTTCAGTTTTCGACACAAAATGAGAAAAGCCGAGCTGTGGCTGCGAGCGGAAAATTGAAAATTGACGGCAAAGAAATTTACGTCACAGAGAGTTCGTTTGAGGACATCTTCAGGGCGCAAAAGGCTGTGCAGAATCAGGTGGTGGCAAGCAAGAGTGACACCACTCCTGCAACCCCCTCTCCCCAGAAGGAATTAGTTATCCCCCCAGGACCAGTTGTTTCTGAATGCATCCTGTTGCAAGACTTGCCCACGTCCGTCAACAACAGAGAAATCCTCGACTTCTTCTCGGACGTTGGTCTCATCCCCCTGCACATTTACATCATGCAGGATGACAAGGGTGCTCCAGTAGGGGACGCTTTTTGCGAGTTCCGCAATCCGGCAGAAGGTGCTCGGGCCGTCGGCAAGAACAAGTCCACTCTGGGGAGCAAGGAGGTCAGCGTGCGGCCTGTGGCCCGGCAGGAGATGGAAATGGCCCTTGGCTTTGCAAAAAATCCCAGCCAAATGATGCCTAGAAATGGACAGGAGCACATGAGGCCCCCGATGAGACCCAACTTCATGGGACGACCTCCATTTGACCCTCGAAATCCGCAAATGTTTGGCCCCAGAGGACCGTTCCAGCGACCCCCTTTCCCTCCACACATGATGGGAATGAGGCAAAGGCCACCTTTCAATATGTCCGGACCTCTCCCGCCTCAACAACAGGAGCCCGAGTTCGGCAAGCCTGGTTGTGTAGTGGAAGTGACCAATGTGCCATTTCAGGCAGATATTGATGAGATCTTGAGTTTTTTTGCCGACTTTGATTTGACAAGACAGGACATTATCAGGAGGTACAATGACAATGGCAAGCCAACAGGGGACTTGCGAATTTCGTTTCACACACCCCAAGATGCCCAAAGGGCATTGATGCTCAAGTTCAAAAAAATGAGAGACCGACAGATCTTCATTAACTTGCTGCAGGCGTAAAATAAGTGTAAACTGATTGTGAACTGTGTAGACTTTTTATTTTTGTTTCATTGAATTCTGAATTAAAAACCAACAATGCATATATATTTATATGCGCAGATCCTAGTTTTGTATTAATTAGGTTTACTAATTAATTATTATGCAAATAAATATAAACGTACAAATACAAATTCATGATTTGGTTTTAATTATATCTTTCCTCCGTTGCATTGAAAGTGAGAAAAAATTAAGTATTAAGTTATGTAAAATTTTGATTCAATATTTCAAGCTTTAAAAGTAAAGTAAATTAAAAATAAAATAACTATAATTTAATTTGTATTATTATTATTTTTTTAATAAAATTACCAAACAGTCTTCCAGCATGGAATTTGAATTTTTAACAAATCGTTTGAATCACAATGACACATTTTAAATATGATTTCTGACTTATTCATGCAAACATCAAAAGCTCAAAATTGTAATTTTTGGACAATATCTCTTCTTTCAAATCGGTAAGGAATGATGGTTTTGTCAATTGAATCACACCTTCTTCACACATGATCCCTGTGAGATTAGGACAATTATTATAGAAATTCTCTACGGTTGCTTGGCTGATCAGGGTTGAACCCGCAAATATGATCCTCCTTAACTTAGGAAGCTGATTGTCTTTAAAAAAATTTAAGAAAAAGATATTGATATTAGATAAAGAATGGAAAACATCAATTTTCATAACATCCAAATTTTCTCCATGGAGAAGAATGGAAAGTATAGTTGACACATCGTAACTATTTTTGCTGACTAGGGTCAAGTGCTTGAGGTGGGAATAAATTCCTGACGGAATTCGATCACATGACTGACCAGTTTCAACATTCTTGGCAGCCAAGTGGCGCAGATAGGGACAAGCCTTTCCAATCGATATCAACGCTCGAGCGTCCAACTCGCAAACGGTCTCACCAAGGACAAGCTCAGTCAGGTGGTATCCTTTCACAGACAAAAAGCTCAGCAGAGTTTCTGGCGTCGTTTGGAAGTTGCCTAGCGAGAGATGGCTCAATTTTAGACTTGAACTTGCAATTGCTTTTAATATGGCTTCTGTTTCTTTGTGGTGAGATTCTGTTGGCAGATCCTTTGCAAGACCGAGATCCATGTGAAGTTGAACCAAGTTCGGAAAGTGTTCCACAACAAACTGGACATGACTGAGGTTGCATCGATCTATTTTGAGGGCAACAATTTTGTATTTCTTTGTGCAACCGTCAGCAGACAAAGTCTGCAAAACACTCTCCATATACGGGTAGTTCATTGACTTGAGGTTGGGAATGCTCTGCATTAGTTTGATTATTCCTCTCGGGGTGATTTGTTTGCTCTGCATTCTCCCGGCGCCGATCCAAATCCTCTTCAGTTTCTGGCAATTGGTCAGATGCATTAAACCAGCGTCTGTGACGTGGTAGCCCATTTTCAGGGCGTTGAAGTTGAACTCTGCAGACAAATTTCGAGACTTGGAGATGACCCAGATTTCCTCCAGCAGAGGACAGCTCTCACCGATGACCTTGAGGATGCCATCGGTGAGCACGTTGGATAGGTGGAGGAGCCGCAACTTGGACATGTCCCTCAGTTGGGCCTGCCAGAAAGATTCCTTAATTGAGCTCAATTGGGACGAGGACAAACTTAAAGAGTGGATTTCGAATCTGGTGAGGTCTTTGTGCATGACTGTGGTGAGGAAGAGGAGCAGTTTAAAAACTGATTTGTTGTTGTAATCGTCAGTGTAGTCCTTGTGGTGTCTCTTGTTGCATATGGTTTCGCGCAGACCGTACGGTAGAGGGTTGATGAAGTGCTGCTGCACCTGTTGGATGGCATTGGTTGTGTCAATTCTGTTGTCAAACAAGTCCAACTCGCCAGCTCGTTGTATGCCCGAGGTCTCATAGATTTTGTCGCAAGCTTCGCGAATCATCCTGCAGACGTCAGGGACACACAACCAGTAGAGGGAACTTGGTTGCTTGTGCTGTGGCATTTTGGTTTGGTGAATCGTCTGAAAATTTGTTACCTGAATTAGAGAGTTTCAATAGAAAATAGTTTAAGTAATGCAAAAAAAAAACGTAAAATACATATAAATTAATTTTTAATATTATTATTTACTGTCATATCATAACATAAAAACCACTGTCTTTATTTTTAAAAATTAAAAAATTTATAGTTTGATAATTTGAATTTTTCTGGTCTTTTCCATCTTCCAATCCTTTATCCTTTAATTTGAGCGCAATGCGTGTAATAATCTGATGTTGAAAAAAGTTCTTACACTTGTTTCACTCACCCATTCACGAGTAGCAACGCCCAGGTTAATAATTAACAGGTTGCAAAAGCCGTCATAATTATAAGCAAGCAAAATTTTAGCTCATGAATACGGATAATTTTGCTGCAACAACACTGCGTCAGGTGATTTTTGTGATTTTGAAATTTGTTTTGAAAATTAGGTCAATAGTTTGAAGAAAGATGTCACTTCAGTCGAGTTTGAAATTTCAGCCAATAGGAATAGAGAACAGGCTGAACAGAGTGGAAAGGAGGGCGGGGTCGGTGGGGCGGGGCGAGAGCATCTCACAATGTCTAACAAAAATAATGCGGTTTTTCCATCTGATTTTCCCTGAAATTCAGTGCTCTACAGGTTCAAAATGAAATTGATATTTTGCGGAGTGCTGGTCCACTCGCTTTTCTTAGCCTCAATCTTCGACATTTACTTCAACTCGCCCGTTCTGCATGGCATTGAAGCGTTTCATCCATCCTTTGAACCGGCTGCCCAGAGGCTGGTGTTGTTTGTGGCAGACGGATTGCGAGCAAATTCGTTTTACTCCAATAGTGATTATTCACCTTATTTACGGTCCATTATCGAAACTAGAGGAAGCTGGGGAGTATCACACACCCGCGTTCCAACAGAGTCGAGACCAGGACATGTTGCGATGATTGCTGGCCTCTACGAAGACCCAAGTGCTGTCGCAAAAGTAATTTTAACAAATGAAATTTTAAATTGAATTATTAAATTATCCAATATAGGGATGGAAAGAAAATCCTGTCGAGTTTGATTCCGTCTTCAACCGGAGCTCACACACTTGGGCATGGGGAAGTGCTGATATTTTGCCAATGTTTGCAAAAGGTTTTTGAGATTATCTATTTTTAACGTTTGATATTAATCCTTTTCTATTGTTCTAAAAATTTCTAGGTGAAGCTTCGGGTCGTGTAACAACTTTTACCTACCCCAAAATAATGCAGAGGTTTTCTGGTGACGGGTCAAATGAAAAGCTAGACACCTGGGTCTTCGAGAGAGTGGAGAGATTTTTTAAATGGTCTGGAAAGACCGACCAAAAAGTACAAGAGAAAGGAGTTGTTTTTTTCCTACATCTCTTGGGTATTGACACTGCAGGACATGATGCCAAACCGCATTCAAAGTAGGTTCACAAACATTTAAATAGAGATTTTCAAATTTTAAATTTTCAGGACATATTTGAAAAACATTAATTTGGTTGACCAAGGAATTCATAGGATTGAAAAAGAAGTGGAAAAATATTTCAATAATGACGGTAAAACAGTTTATGTTTTCACTTCTGATCACGGAATGACTGACTGGGGTATTTTCCATCTCAAAATGTGATACTTTTATTAACAATTTCGTTTATGCCAAGGTTCGCACGGCGCAGGATCATTGGATGAAACTGAAACACCTCTTGTGGCATGGGGGGCTGGGATCAAAGGTCCAGAGAAGCCTAGATCCCCAAAAGAATCCCCTTCTCAGTGGGGACTGGATTATCTAGATAGGAAGGATGTAAATCAGGCTGACATTGCTGCCCTGATGTCTGCACTTCTTGCAGTTCCTACTCCTACAAATAATGTGGTTAGTGAATTTTCCTGAATTGTTGCTTGTAGATAACAATTTTTTTTTGCAGGGAATTGTGCCAAAGGAGTATTTTGAGAAAGGCTCCGATTGGATCGCAAAAGCAGTTATGAGCAATTTGCAGCAAATTTTGCTTCAGTTTGAGAGAGCCAAATTCTTGGTTCATGAAAAGGTTTTCTCTCTCTTGATCGTACCTTATGCAGAACTATCATCTATAGATCAATGGATCGTGGAATTGAAGAATGGAAACCACACAGCAGTGGTAAGAGTGCAAACTAATTTAGTGGATTTTGTATTTAACTCGATCAATAGGTCAACAAGGCAACTGTTGTTTATCAAGTGGCTTTAGAGGGCATTGTTTACTACCAAAACTACTTTGGCCGTAGTTTGAAATTTTCCATAACCATCTCTCACATTTTATGGATGGCCTACCTACTTACACGACTCATCTGCAAACCAAGAATACATAGTAGAAACTCTTTAATTTTAGACTTGACTGCCGGGATCTCAATGAGCACCATTTTGCTCCTAATATTAGGTACTTTTTGTTAGCAAGAACAATTTGAATGAATCTTAAACGGTTGCAAAATTTTCAGCTCAGAAGCTGCCTCTTCAGTATGTAATGTACTACTCGTTGCCAGTCATCCTTCTGTGGTTTATCCTAAGGGACTGTGATCTTTGGTGGCCTCAAGTTGCACCTGTTGTCACAAAAAATTTCTTTGGACTTCTGATAGTTTTTGGACTCACTATTCTTGCCATCGGATGCTTGGTTCTTTCCAATTAATAAGTTAAATGTAAGCCTAATGTTTTGTGATCTTTTTAGGTTATGTCGTTTTTTGAGAGAGCTGTGCTCAGCATGGCACTCTTAGTCATCTCAGTCATCCCTTTATTTGGAAAGCTCAGGGGCTCAAAATTACACTGGGCTGTTGCTTCAATGTGGACTTTGGCATGCATTGCATTAGCCATTTTCCCTTTACTGCCAGTTGTTGGAAAAGAGGCCAACTATACATTTGTGTAAGTTAAACCTTAAAGATTTCGTCTACTGCTATTTTTTCTATGCCTATGATTTTAATTTTTTAGATTTGCTGCTGGTATTGCAACTTCCATCCTAAGCATCTTCTACGTTATATTTTTCAACATCAAACCGAGGTGGCTCACACTTGGGCAGTCAGTGCTTGTTGCGATTTCTTCAACCAATGTCTTATGGACGTCTTCAAATTATGATGATGGCCTTGGATTAACCATAACAAACCAAATCACATCTTGGGCCATCTTAGGTATAGCGACAGCGACACAATGATTTTGGGATTTATAATATTTATATCATAAAATTTGTTTTTCTTGTAGGTTTAAGCCTAGCTTTACCACTGTTTGCTCATAACACCTTCATCAGTAAAATAGTCAGTCTGTCATTATCCATCTCCATGACATTTGTGCTTCTGAGTGTTCGACACGAAGCCCTCTTCTTGCTGTTTTTCCACATCATGCTGAACTTGTACCCTCTGGTGGAATTTAATGTTTCATCCGTTGACCAATTCCAGTTGGTAAGATATTTATTAGTCTCTCCTATTATTATTTTATAACTATTATTGTTCGTCTAGCAGATTTCCACTCGTCAAATGGTGGTGCCAAAACTCAATGGAAACCAATTTTTGTTGGCTGATTTGTGCCGGGCCTATTTTTATGTAACCTTTTCAAACCAGCTCACCTTTTTTGTAAAATTTAAAGATCAAAATTTCCTTAATTGTGTATCTAGCTCTTCTGCATGATCTTGGCGTTTTTCGGCGTTGGAAATATTGCAAGTATGAACTCATTTGACCCGACGTGGGTCCGAGCGTTCGTATCCACTTTTTCCCCATTCCTGATGGGAGGCTTGATTGTTTTTAAGACCGCTCTGCCTTTCATCGCAGTGGCCGCCTGCATCGCTTCAGTTTCATTTCTAGTCCAGGTATTGTTTCTTCAATTTAATTTGCTGTAAATCTCTTAACAATTGATATTTCAGAGGCCCATTCAGTGGCTCCTAGTGTTGGGCATGTGTGACATGATGGCTTTGCCGTTTTTTCACTTGGTTCGGACAGAGGGCAGCTGGCTGGATATCGGCCAGTCAATATCCCATTTTGTAATTGCCCATGTATGCGTATTGTTCCTCCTCATTATACACAGCGGAGTGCAGGCGTATCTCCAATATGATCCATACAAAGTATGGAGGAAAATGAAGGGATTTATTTAATCAAAAAGCGGCATCGAGGTACTTATTGAAGTTGATTACCCTGCACGATTTCAAATCTGACATGGAAAGTAGTTAGATTTAAAATATAATAAAGTTAATGTTTTTTTTTTTTTTAGATACAAAATTTTTAATGGCAAGCCTTTCAGGCGCCTTTTCTGTAATGTTGGTTGCACTGATAAGCTCTAAATTCTACATAGTTGGTATTTGAATACAATTTTGGTCCGTGGTGATCGTCAACACAAGTGCAATCTCTTGAGATATATTTTTATACATTTTTGGGCCGTCCTGTGATAAATGTCATATTTTAGAAAGAAGAAGGAATCACTTCACGTCACCAGCAGTTTTTAAATGTAAGTTAATTGAACATTTTAAGCTACTTTCTTGAATAATTACGAAAAAAATTCCGATTACTGCAGAGTTTATACGCTTAATTAATTTATAAAAGATGATTAATTATAATTTTATATTTTTAATCAATATCCTGCACTTTTGTTGGATCAACATTTTTTTATTACTTATAAAGAAATTCATATTAGTTCTGTGTAATTGACCAATATGCTTTGCGTTCTTTGTAACCTTTCTTGTGGGATTAAATTCACATTAACCCTGTATTTATAAATTTTGCTGATTCAAATTTTTCATTTAAATGAAGTTAAAAGCTTGTGTAGTAAATAATTGAATGCATGCATTCATTCACATTCAATTCAGAGCTCATTATAATATGGCACCAATAGTTATGGGTATCTTGAGGTATTTGATGAGAAAGTTTTTTTTTCATATGTGGCCCACTTTTGGTTGGACCGTCAGCCGCACGCACTGAGCCCATTGTTAAGTAGGTCTTTTGATCCACAGGTGAATACTAATAATCATCACGCAAAATGCTCAAAGTAATAAAGTGGAGAAAAGTTCTGAAATTCGGTGCAATTGGCGGCGCAGGAGTTGGTTTAGTGACTTCTCTCCATGCAAACAACTATGATGTAACCTCGGTCGGCGTTGTTCGCTTTGCTAATGCCGCTAAAGCTGTGAGTATTTTTTTTTAATATAGCAAAATTTTCACTGTTCATCTGACTAGGTCTTGGATATCTCAGTTTACTACAAGAAGAACCTTTACAGCAAAAATGCCAAGTTGATGGACCATGAATCTGAGGAATACTTAAAATTAAAATCAGAGGTTGTTTTTGGGGTTTTCTTACTTTTTGTGTATGGTTTTCATTTTCTTTTTGTTACTTCAGGTTCATCAGTGGGGAGCAGAACGATTACTTAAGCTGTGCTGCTTGAACAAAGGGGTATTCATCAAAGTGGGACAGCACATAGGAGCCCTTGACTATTTATTACCTGTTGAATATGTGAATACCATGAAGGTTCTGCACAGCAAGGCTCCAAAGTCTTCGCTGAAAGATGTCTACATGGTTCTAAGGCAAGATTTAGGAAAAGACGTACGCTGCACCTCCTTGAGCTAAATAATAAATCTTTAAAATCTGGACATTTTTGCAGCCCGAAGAAGTTTTCAAGAGCATTGACCCAGAGCCTCTTGGAACAGCAAGCTTGGCTCAAGTTCATAAGGCAGTCCTGCAGGACGGTAGAACAGTTGCAGTCAAAGTGCAGCATGCAAGCGTTCGAGGAAATTCTTTAGTTGATTTAAAAACCATGGAGGTTAGTTTATTTAACTGAAATCGATTTTATACTTTAATGTGCTTTGCTCAGTTTTTAGTATCTATTGTTTCGAGGTTGTTTCCTGACTTCCGATTTGAGTGGTTGGTCAAAGAGACCAAGAGAAATATTCCGCTGGAGCTGGATTTCCACAATGAAGGCAAAAATGCTGAAAAGGCCGACAGAATTCTTGTCAAATTTCCTTGGTTATTTGTAAGAACTTATAAAAAAAAAACAATTTAGGATTTTAAATTTGTCTCGATAGGTACCAAAAATCTACTGGAATTTGACAACACCGAGGGTCCTCACCATGGAGTTTGTTGAAGGAGGGCAAATCAACGATGTTGAATATATCGAGAAAAGCAAAATCAACAAATGGTTATTATCATCTCGTCTGGGGGACATGTATTCGGAAATGATTTTTAAGTATGGAAATTTTATAAAATTTATTGTAAATATTAAAGAAGCTGAATCTTTTAGACACGGGTTTGTCCACGCAGATCCGCACCCTGGAAATATTTTGGTGCAGCCCAAAGGCAAAGATTTCAAAATCATCCTTCTTGACCATGGTCTCTATGCTGTGAGATTCTTCAATTTCAGGCCATCAGACATTCCTTAATTATTCAATTTCTCAGGAACTTGAGCCAAAGTTCCGACGGCAATACGCACGATTGTGGCTCAGCATCTTGAATTTTGACATGCCTGCCATCAAACAAGTTGCAATCGACCTGGGCGTTGGTGACCTTTATTGGCTCTTCTCATGCATGGTGACAGGAAGAACATGGGAGTCAATTTCAGGCGCTGGTGGAATCGCAAAATCAAGGCCTGGCGCCGAGGAAGTAAATGCGAGTTGAATTTAAAAATTATGATTCTAATTTTCATTGAATGCACAGAAAAAGATCTTCCAGCAACGACTACCACAGTTCTTGCCTCAAATCAATGCAGTTCTCTCTCGGGTAGACAGGCAAATGCTATTGCTCTTTAAAACCAACGACCTGCTCCGAGGCATCGAACACACACTCAAAACTCACGGGAGAAGGGCAGCTCTCTTGACAATGGCTGCACGTTGCGTCCAAGCCGAATACTCTGAGCAGAGGAAGGAGGCGCTTGGTGCCTTACAGAGAAACACTATTTCATTTTGTGAAATATGGGCTTTGCTTAGGTTGAAAGTTTGGTACTTCATGCTCTGCATCACAGACTTCTTTGGACTTGCTTAAGCCAGATGTGATGCTGCATGATAACATGATGTGAGAGACTGAGATTCCTAGGAGAAATTATTTTAAATCTTAAGTCAAAAACTCCACATTACCAACGCATTATCATTTAGGCTGCTTATTTATTTCTATTCAACTACTGTAACTTAATTTTTGCCTATTGCACTACCCAGCAGCAATAGTTGTTGATGATATTTGATATTTTTATAACTTAACTGCCAAGAAAGGTTTCTTGTAAACATTATTTTTGCCATAATATAGCATCCAAGGTCTGCATTGATAATCAAATAATAGCCTTTTGCTTTTCAGAATCTATTATTACTGCTTTATTTCATTTAAGCATGTGTTATTTATTATTTAAATTCATTTAAAATTTGAATAAAACTTTAATTGTTTTATTCTTGCACACACAAAAAAACATGAGTATAATTTATGTGGCATGCTATATTTCATCATTGTATAAGTTATTATACATTTTTTGCCTCTGAAATTAAATAAGTTCATATTTATATTCTGTTAATTGAAGTTAATAAATATTTTTGAAAAAAAGTCATATATTGTTATGCGTATGTACACCTTTAAACATTTTATATATTTGTAAAAGAAAAAATTAAATTTCTAGACATTTGTTTATTATGAAAATTTGCCATATATAACAGCACATTATAAATTCATATGTATTTCTTAATTAATTTTATGAATTTTATTTTGCTTCCTGCGATGAAATTGGTACCTTATTATCCTCCCAATGGGTATTGCTCATTCACGCAACGTGGGCCAATCACGATGCAGTTCTTATCGCTCTCCACCAATGAGAGGCGGACAAATTACTGAGAAAGTACTTATCGCAGGAGGGGCAAGAGGGGAGTAAACACAAGACCAGCCTGAAGAATTGGGTTACGGAGCCACAGCGAATTATTTGTTGTTATTGCATGAAAAATCACGAAGTACCGAGAGTCTTTGGAACTTGACCTCCAGGGCAGCCGAACGAATACAATCAGAACGTGCTAGAGCTTCAGAATCTATTTTCAAGGTGCGAATTTTACCCATTTTCAAACAGTTTTAACCCGACTGTTGAGCTGGCAAGCTTTTGAAAACAAAATTGTACGCGCAAAATTCACTGTCATGTTTTTCTTGTGACGCAGATGGATGCGATCAAGCTGATCGTGAAGGCTCCGAACCAGCAGATCGAAGACCAAACCATCGACTGCGATTCTGCATGGAGTGTTTTGCAACTGAAAAGTCACCTTAGTCAAGTTTACCCCACACACCCTGTAATACATTTCTTTTTGAAGGTCGCTGGCTGTGTCCTTATCAAGCAAATTTGTTTACTCTTTCAGGCCATCAGCGAACAGAAGCTAATTTATTACGGACAACTGCTGTTGGACACTCTGACCTTGAAGGACGTCCTCAGAGACCTCAGCAAAGGACAGAGGGTGCATTCCCTTCACTTGGTCTGCGCCCCGCCAAGAGGATCGACCTTCGGTACAACTTCCAGAAGAACAACCCCGCCTGTCAACACAGATAGAACACGAACTCCTCAAGCAGAGGTTTGAGCTTTTCCTTGTATTGATAAAACTAAATTTTTATTTGACCTCATTTCTTATTTAATTCAAGGGAATTTAATTTTGACAAATAACATTTTTTCAGCAGACGAGTCAGCCAAGTGAGCCTAATTCTCCTCCAGTACCTGAAACACCGACTCCCAGCAGCGGAACCAGCACTTCGTCAGGCCCGGATCTGCCTTGGGTCGATGCCAGTCAGCAGCAGTTCCTGGCCACCTCGGCACAAAATCCAAACATCAACGCATATTCTGCTTTCTTGCCGCAAATGTACAGTCCTGCAAACATGGCCCAAATGCAACACGCCTACTCACAGTTCATGGCGCAGTACATGTTTCAGTAAGTTCCGGTTCCACTGATAAAAAATCCTTGCCCCAGAATGTTACCGTTGAATCAATGGTAATATTCTGGGGCACAGCGTTGATAAACTTAAACTAACTTAATTTGTTTACAAAACTCTGAAACGTTTGTTTGAAATTTTTTGAGTCTTTGTTTTTAATTTTTAAAGAGGACAATTCTGCTTTGATGTGTAATTTATTGATTAAACTTTCAGCCTTCAACAAGCTGGTATTCCCACAGAGACCATCACAAACCTCCAACAGGGATGGAATTGGAATCAGGGTGCGCAGCCTGCGGACAGACCTATCGAAGCAAACAATGCTGGCCAACAGCCGAATCGCAACCCTCAAAACAATCTGCCTCCCCAAAGTAAGTACTTACGTGAGGCATTCCTGATCATTTGTAATTTATTTTTCTGCAATTCGCAGTGATGGACGATGACATCGGTGGAAATAGGCAGCGAGATTGGCTGGATTACTTCTATATTTCTAGTAGAATGCTGGTGTTGATCAGCATTGTGTACTTTTACTCATCACTGCACCGATTCCTCTTGGTTACATCACTTGGAATGCTGCTTTACTTGTAAGAAATTAAATTAGTACTCTACTAAAAAAATCTTGCACTAAAAATTAATGTGCAATGAATTTTAGGGGCTAGTTCATTATTTTTTAATGTACAAAAAAAATCGATTAAAATTTAACATCTGTCTTAAAATTAAACTAATTTTCAAAGTTATGGCTCCAATGTAGTTGATGTTTTTTCAGTTTTTTATTTAAAACATTTACTTGTAAAATTAAATTTACTAAACTTAGATCCTTTTTTCTTTTGCATCAAAATTATAAACGTTATTATTATTTTGTTAAAGGTATCACATAGGCTATTTCAATGGCCGAGGCCAGCAAGCACAAGCTAACAACAATCCAGCCCCCGAAAACAACAACCGAGTGCCTGAACAGCCCATTCCCGAAGCTGGTGCAGCAGACCTGCCAGAAGGGCTGCGACAGAGACGGCGGGACCCTGACGCTGAGCAACAGGAAGAAATCGCGCCAGAGGTTGTGGCTGGTGAGCAGCAGCAAGAGGACAACGCCTTTTCCGTCAACTTGCTTTGGACTTTCCTGACCAGCTTCTTCTCATCACTGATTCCTGAGCGGCCCCAGGCAGCTGCCTGAACGAGTTTTAACATCTTAGTCACCAAACAGGATATTCAAAATCATAATCTGGCTGTTTTAAGTAGTTAAGTATGAAGAAAAAAACGGAATAAATAAAAATTTTAAAATAGTTTTTATTTCTATTGGTTAATCAGTGCGTAAGGAGAAAAATGAAAAAAACAAATTATATCAATTCATATTTAATTATTTTTCTTATATATGTGTATTTTTTTGCTCTCGAGTCCATTGTGGACTTGTGCTTTATAAGTGAATTTCTCATTAGTTGCTTCGTTCAATTAAGAGCGACGCGAGTGCTGTTTTTACAAAGTGCAATAAAATAATGGTTTATCTTGCGCCATAACAATTTGGATTTCTTTATTTCATTCCTCTTCTCTTATTGTGAAAATCTTCACGTGCAAGTGTGAATTATGGTGCAATTCTAAAATTCCTCATTATATTTTGGTAATTAAATGTCAACAATTAGCGCAGAGGCGTGAGAAGATCGTGCTGTGGTTTTCTCTCACTGCCGACCTGAACCCAGGTGCTGTTTTGAGTGTTTTCCCTTGTTAAATAGAATCAAGGTCTGGCCGTAACAGAACTGCGAGTTAGTGTGTCACAGGCGATGAGGCGAGTCAGTTGCTGCTCGGACGCTGGGAAGTGAAACCACATTCGCGAGAAGCTCCGCTGCAGCACCTCGTCTCGACCCATCGTCATTTCATCTCACTTTCTTCTTTTGCACGGTAAGAAGAGAAAAAAGAAATAACACGCCGCTCACCTTTTGCTCCAGATGCAGAGTGAAAAACCCGAAAGCTGTTTTTTTTTTTTTTAATATTTAGCTACTAAAACCCAAGATATGTAAGAAAATATTTTAATAACAATGTTTTTTTTTAATTATTGCATTAAAAATATTTTGATAAAATAAATTCACAATAATAAGTAATTGAAAGTGAAATCCTTTAAATATTTTTTCGTATCGATCGGAAGACATTGTTAACAATAGGCTGTGTTTGATTTATTATTGCGCCACCCATACAATCCTAAATTGTATTTTAATCAAATTTGTATTGTATTGCCAAATAGGAAGACCCAGAGCCGTCAGTAAAAATGCTGGCAAATCGTCTACCCTTGATGCGAGTTCTAATGTTGGTTTCGGTGCTGTCGGCGCTACCCACGGTGACACTGGCCCAGTTCAAATCTCCCCTTCTGCAGGTCTGGGGCGTCAACCTCGCCGGAACCCACAAACTCTCGCCTTCCGAAATCTGGGGCGTCGGACTGGAGAAGAAGCAGAGTGTCCCCTTTGACCCTGACGAGGGCGCCCGTCTCAGGTCGGATTTCGAAGCCACCTTTGGTGCCGGAGGTCAGCATCTGATCGATCTCCTGGGCTCCGGAAAACACGTCGACGACGTTGTTAAAGATTTGCGAAGCGCGCACAAAAATCGAGTTTTCGGCCAGCGACAGGCGGGCACAATAAATAATGATTTCATTTCTCTTAATGAGCGGCCCAATAGGTACAGATTTTAAGAAATGTGCCTGCAATTTATAAAACTGCCTCTTGCTATTAATATTATTTTTTTAATTTTTGTTAAAAACAAAACTTGCAACTTTATTAAAAAAGTGCGCGCTCGTGTGATGCAAAAAGAGGAAAGCTTCCAAAAATTATGAACGAAGCCGTTGTGGTACTTTGTAAGGCGTTGATTAAATACAGATTACTAATTTGAGAAATGTGTCCATTTTCTTGAGTAAAATGAAAAGTGCTTTTTTATGTACGGTCCAGGGAGCGCAAATAGAAAGCGCGCTGGATGGGCCTTTAACAGTGCAAGCATCCTATGTGAATTAGAAATGGAAATAAAATAAGATCAAATCTTACATACTTTCAGTGCATGGATAAGCAAAAATTCAATATCTTTTCCCCACGCAAGCTTCATACATTATATTTTGGTATTTGAACCGGTCTTCAGAAAATTTAAATAATGTTTTGTTGCTATAAGGAAAAAATTAATGATAAAAATTGGGGTGGAGACATGATGCAAAGCAACACGTTTTTATGATGCAGAAATTCACTTTGATAACAAAACCTTTGAAGTTAAATAAAACAAAGAAGAATTTTTGTATTTGAAAAAAATTTTGACTGTGCATAAAATAAATTAAAAGTTAACCAATTTTTAACCTATTAGGTTAAGTCTCATTGTACATATTTTAATTACATTGAAAATTAGTGTTTGAGCATGATTCAAAACGGTGCTGGCGTTTTCTTAAACAGTTATTATAAAAGCCACTTTTCAATTTGCAAAAAAAAAATTCTTGGGTATATAATATTATTTCTTATTTATTACTACACTGTTGTCACTCCGGTTAAAAATTAATATTAATGTATACATAATATACAAATTTACATTACATTGTAAAATATAAAAAAGTTTGACAGATGTTGCCAGATTAAAAGCAATTTTTATCAAACTAGCTTTCAGTGGAGCTGCTTTTTAAAAATTGTAAAAACATTAAAAAATTATAAGGTGCAAGCATGGCGTGATGCTTGGAAGATCTAGATATTTTCTCTCTTAAGAAAAATAACTGCCAATTATCATTATCATTCTAGTTTTTGCCAGCAAAAATGTTTTTATTTGCAGTCTTTCAACAATTTTAAAATTTAACCACCCAGTTTTCTAAAGCACAATTCGATTTTTATAGTTGTCGTTGAAAATTGTGTATTCTCTTGGAGATGATTCATACCCTAGTCACTGATGACTTCTTTGGAGAAACGCATAGATAATTGAAATTCGGCTTATTCAGTTCTTTCTGCAGAATGATACAACTCTAAACATCAAGAAAAAGCTTAATTTCAATTCAAACAATTTTTTTTACATTTTATTATATGCCGATCAAACTACGCGTGAGAGTGAATGATGAAATTTTAAAATTTAATTTGCGACGCCACAAATTTCCCCTCGAGCCGCGGATGACTGCGGCGCGCGGCTTATTCCATTAAGTTGACCGAAAGTGTTTTATGGAGATGCTAGTGAAATTTGGCTAAAAGACCCGGCGGCGCTCTGCGCACGCCAGCGAGAGCTGCACACAGGTGAGCCACCGTCATATTTTATGTCTCGTAATAAACGTTTTACGGCCATATTTTGAAAATAAGCTACCCCAAATTGGATTACACCATCTATCTAAGTCGTCGTCGCGCTCTTTCCTCCCCTGCAGTGTGTTGAATATTTTGTGCCCGAGCCAAGAAAAAGCCTTGTCCCTTTTTGCCGCACTCGCGCTTGAATAGGAAATATTAAGTATATACATGTATATTATATAATACAGAGCTGAAAATCACCTCACTTTCTCAAGATTGAAATTAAGAACTCTGAGAATGTAAATTAAATAATTAACAAGAGTTGCATGTGACCTGTGACATTCTGCTTTCCTAGAGGCCCTAGAGCTCTTCACAATAGCTTGTATAGTTGTATTTAAAGTCAAAACTTTATTGCAATCAATTAAATGAAGGGGGAAAAATTTATACAAAATACTCTATAGAATGAAGTGCATCATAGCAGAAAAAGATCTGCAGTGTTCTACAGTGTCCACAGCACAACAGTTTATTACTTATTTAAATAATGTACTGTTTGCCTATTATAGTAACTCAAATTAGTAATGCTGATGTCTTACTAAATATATGTAAAATTTATTTTTTAATATATAAATAATGGACGCTATAAATTAATGATAAAAATATGAAATGACAACTATTAAACGATGCATTTTAATTATAAACGTTTGAAATATTACGTAATTTTAAAAAATAGCTTTCAAATTGAATTGTATTGTATGTGGCCAATTAATTTTTGAAGCAGTTCTACAATATTACAGCTTCTAAATATACCATTGATTCATATTGATGTTTTGCAGCTGGCTTGATTACTTATTAAGCTATTGAATTTAAGAGCACACTTTGAACAGGGCAAGAGTAATTAGCAGTATAAATAAATATTTTGATTAAAATTGAACAAATATTAACCTTTGAAATATTTTTGTCAACAAATAAAAGAAATTCGAGTTAAAATTCCTTGATAAAATTTCCATCAAAATCAATCCAACGTATTCAATCAGATTTTTATCACCTTTTAAATGTTTTAATTTTATTTTGAACTTTAAAAAGAAAGTGAAAAACTAAACTACACTCTTTTGATTTGATATTTTACCACCGTACACATTTGACTGGTGAGACTGCTGCTGGCCAGTTAATCTATGCAATTATCGCATCTCTCGGCGAGAAGCGAATCAAAACATGGACTCATCAGATAAGTCCCTGACGGAGATTTTGCATAGTGCTGATGAGTCACGTGGCTCGTTAAGCGTCCGTCGTGTCGTCCCTTGATGAAATTAATAATTGAGCGCGGTCTGCCGGTGTGTGTGTGTGTGTCTCATTTGCTTTTTCTGTGTGCATAAACGAGAGGATAGAGAGAGAGAGGAGGCCTATTTTGTCTGATTCGCGTGTCGTCCTCTACCTTATTCCTTCATTCAATTTGGAGCGCCGGGGTGTTTGCACCTCCGACTCACTCGTCTGCCTTTGAGCCAGCGCTGCAAACAACTTCACATGCGGTAATTTTCCCTCGGCAAAGAACAGACCATCACATATTCATGAATTTGTGTCGTGATGCAATGAAGCGGCTGAAATTAGCTGCTCAAATCTTTTTTGCGTAGAATACGAGAGCAAACACAATCACGCACTCAAAGAAGTTATCAAGAGCTGAAGGGCGCAAATTTTTTTTGCGATACAAAACAATTTGAGTGGTGTGTCAAAGAATTGCCTCTAAAAAGTGCTTAAAAGTGTCCCTTATTTCTAATAATAGACGGAAATTTGAGACCGAATTTAAAAACAGTTATGTTTATTTTCTTGTCAATTCTTTTTTATATCTCAATATAAGACTTCTTTTCTGTAGAACTGTGAAAAAATAATAAATTTTCAGAAAAAAAAGGAAAAGAGAGTTGAGCTCTGTTAGATTTTCCCAATTACTGAAACATCTTTAGGCTAATTTTTTGAAAAAATATTCATTGCAAGCCTAAACTTTTTTCATACCAGAATATTACAATAAATAAACAGAAAATTAATTTCTTGCATAAAACTATTTTTTAAAAATAAATATTTTAATTAATAATATTTATTATTCTTTTAAAAATAAAACTTCCAATTATGAAGACCAACAAATTTTTGCATTTACATAATAAACAAATTGAAAGCAAAAATGTAAATAAATTGCTACAATAAAAGTAGATTTTTAAGGTTAAAATTAAATTTTATTCGACAACTCAAAATAAATTGAAATAAATATTGTTATTATTTAATACATGCAATTTACGCATATTTGCTTT